CGCCAAACATCTTAAAACTAAACCGTGTCCACCTGCCCTAACCCATGCGAGTAGCATCTAAGCACGCGCATGAGTATAGAGCATAAAAATGAACACGGCCACATGTATTTTCACCTACCAGTTTTCTTCATGTGTGCTGAAAATCCTGAGCTAAAAAACTTGATTAGAAACATACTAATAAAGTGTCTTCCAGCAAAAATTGACTCTAACTTTAAGCTACGACATGATGGGAACCGGAGGAATCGTAAAGCATGCGACTCACCGTTCGCTGTCTTGCATCACTGCGATCATTTTAGCGTTGTTGGCTGCGTTTGGACTGCTTTGAACTGCTTTGGACTGCTTTGGATTGCTTTTTGGATTTGGTAGTTTGTCCATTGGATTGGATGGCCTTCTGTAATCATAGCAGGACAACAATTTAGCAACTGTATATCAATTTGTATTTCGAGTAAAGTACACATTTTTTGAACGCAAACAGTAAACAAGTTTTTGTGACTTTGAGCATGCATGCAGTCCATTACAAACACCGGTAATAAATTTGCAAACATGTATCAAAACGTATAGTCACACAGTGAAACTTGATAAAATATTTGAAAAGTTATGTCAAATTACTTGGATAATTATTGTATGGAATGTGTTAAAACGTTTGCAAATTTATACCGAAACACATAAATAACTACATGCAACAACACACTAAAACAGTTGTACAAGTATGCAAGACACTTAAATAACCACTACATAAAATACACTAAAATATCAGTAACAGTTTGTTAAAATGTTTAAATAACCACTCTACATAATATACTAAAGCACCAGTAACAATATGTCAAAACACTTAAATAATCATTCCATAAAATACACTAAAGCACCAGTAACAGTATGTCAAAACACTTAAATAACCATTACATAAAGTGCACTAATACTCAGTAACAATTTGTAAAAACACTTAAATAATCCCTCCACAAAATACATTGAAACAGTAAAAAATTAATAAAACATTCAAATAACCGCACCATAAAACACAGTAATAAATCCGTATACACATGCACAATCACTTAAGGAAACACACTAGTAAAGTCACTGACACTTGGAGAATCACACCATAAATTTTATTAATACACCCCCATATTTAGTAAAAAATATTTATTAAAGCACACTCAACACTTATTAAAGCACATTAGGTAACATTGGGACAAGCACAGTATCAATTAAGTAAATCCTTGACTCGTACCGGTAAGTGTTGACAGGGTAGTCCGACCTCCTCGATTTCCAAAATACAACTGAGAGCATTCGACCTCCCTCTACTGTAAGAGTCATTGGTAGTTAACAACAGCCAATTAGACACCGTATAGTCCACCAATAGATCAAATTCGACCTTTTCGAGTGTAATAAGTGATTGGTAGTTTACAGTGGCCAATCAGACATTATGTAATCCACCTATAGGGTGCAACCACTCTCATTGGACGTCGTATAATTATTCCAACATTAATTTTGTTATAATTCTATATTTTTCGATTGTTTATTAACAAATTTATTGCTGTAACTATTTAAATTTATTATTTTTATTAATTTACTCTTGCAGATATGTTGCAAAATTATTGTTAATATATTACGATATATTTTATTGTAACTCATTATTATATAAATTAATTATTGTATTTCATTATTTTGTTAAAAATTAAAATTTACAGGGTGAACACGTTTTTGAAACTGTAGTTTCATTAGTTCTCCACACTGCCACAGGACGGCGCCACGTGTCTTTTCCGTTAAATTCAATTAATGTAGTTGATTTTATTAGTATAATTAATTAATATTTATCTAACTGATGACTACTATTGAAGCTTCACACAAATAATATTATTTCAAGCTTCATACTATTTTACAGTCCAACTCTCCAACTCCCAATCACCAATCTCCAGTAAAACTTTAGAGAGAAACTGAAATCGTGACATGAAATTGCAGATCGTTCTTTTTATCCGGGGCATTCAGCTGCCTGGTGCCAAGGAGGGCATTCTCTTTTACCTGACGCCCGATTGGAAAAGACTAATGTCCGCGAAAGTGTGGGGCGACGCTGCGGTACAAATCTTCTTTGCTCTGAGCCCAGCTTGGGGCGGTCTAATCACTCTAAGCTCCTACAACAAGTTCACCAACAATTGTTACAAGGACTCACTGATCGTCGCGGTCAGTAACATCGGCACGTCTTTTTTCGCCGGTTTCGTCATCTTCTCTGTGATCGGATTCTTGGCCCATGAACTTGATGTTCCGGTCGCCTCTGTCGTTGATCAGGGTGCTGGATTGGCGTTCATCGTGTATCCCGAAGTGAGTAAAGATACAAGGTCAATAGAAAGTGGGAAGTGATGGGATAACATTTTTTTTTTTTTTGAAAATGAGAATAAAACATCATATGAAAAATTGGATCATCTCACAATTTTTTGTTATTCTTTTATTTTTCATCTTTGTAAATTGTTTTACCTCTTGATGTTTCTTGACACTCCTGAATACATTAATATCACGGTCTGTAAAATTACAAATGTAACTTTATTTTGTTATTAAATTATTATATTGTTGTTACATTCACGAAGTAAAAACTTGTTCAGTAAACAAGGGTTGAATACTACAAAAACTGTCTATGTTAAATTTATCAAAAATAAAGTTACAGAAAAGATTTTATTTCATTTTAGATCGACACTCAAAGTGTTAAAAGGTTAAATCATAGACATTTTTCAGTAACTATTATTACAGACAGTTCGACAATTAAAAATTAAGAATTTGATACATGTAAAGTTAATTTCATGAATTATTATTTCTATGAAGTGTTCATTTAAATTGTTAATTTCTATTAATTGTTGTGAATGATTTTGATATATGAAAAATTAATTTCATGAATGGTTATTTCTATAACTCGTTAATTTAATTGTTAATTTCTATGAATTGTCGTGAATGATTAAATTGTTTCTTAGAGCGATTTGTTTAAAAATAAACAGGTGGTAGCTCGATTACCGGTGGCGCCAGTCTGGTCACTGCTATTCTTCGTGATGCTTCTGAGCTTGGGCCTCGATTCGCAATTCGCATTGATGGAAACCGTTACCACGGCAATTCTTGATGCTTTTCCGGCACTGAGGAACTATAAAATCTGGGTCGTCCTTGCGGCGGCCGTGTTCGGATATTGCGGTGGGATCATTTTCACTACCAACGTAAGTTTATTGAGAAAAAAGAAAAACAATACTTTAGACAATTTTTGTTTGATATTTCAAGTTTTTAAAGAACTACGAATTATTCTGTGGATGTACATAAGTTCACAATATTGATTTTTACTATTTCTATTACTTGTGCGCGTCTGGTGAGTTGGTGAATGGTACAATAGGATTTGTGTTGCTTTTGATTGGTAACTTATCGGCCGTGTAGTTTCGTAACCTTAGATGTACATTTGAGGACAAGCCTGGTTGCGTTTGAATAAAGTTTAGGAATTTAATATTTTTTACTTTTGGGAATTTGACAATTTGGGAAGTTTGGAATTTGGCAATGTGGGGATTTGTGAATTTGGAAATTTCAAATTCAAAGGGGTTATGGAGATGTGGGGAAGTGGGAATTAGTAAAGTAGGGATCTGGGTATGTGGGATTTGGAGAATATCAGAGTTGAGAATGTTGGAATTGGGCAATGTAGGGATTTGGAAAAGTGAGAATTTGGAAAAGTGGGAATTTGAAAATGTAGGGAATTGGGAAAGTAGGAATTTGGGAATGTAGAAATTTGGGAATGTAGGGAATTGGGAAAGTGGGGATTTGGGAACGTAGAAATTGGGACATATAGGGATTTGGGCAAGTGGGAATTTGAAAATGTGGAAATTGGGGAATGTAGGAATTTGGGAATGTGGAAATTTGGGAATGTAGGAATTTGGGAATGTGGAAATTTGGGAATGTAGGGATTTGGGAAAGTGGGAATTAGGAAATGTAGGGAATTGAGAAAGTAGGAATTTGGGAATGTAGGAATTTGGGAATGAAAGGAATTGGGAAAGTAGGAATTTGGGAATGTAGAAATTTGGGAATGTAGGGAATTGGGAAAGTGGGGATTTGGGAACGTAGAAATTTGGGAACGTGGAATATTCCGAATGTGAAAATTTTGGAACATGGGAATTTGGGAATGTGAAAATTTTAGAATGTGAAAATTTGGGAATATATCGACTTGACAATATAAGGACCTAGAAATGTGCAAATTTGGGAATATATTAATTAGCAAACGTAAAAACTTGAGAATATAAGCAAATAAAAAGTAGAATTTACAAATAGTTTCCCCACCTAGTACCTCTAAAACACAACTCAATCTATTAGGCTGGAATGTACTGGCTACAACTGATGGACAAATACGCAGCCAACTGGTCAGTCCTACTGATCGCCATAGGCGAATGTATCCTAGTTGCCTGGATCTACGGTGCAGATCGTTTCCTCGACGACGTTCAACAGATGATTGGACCACGTAGTCGTCTGTGGAGGTTTTTCTGGACGTGGATGTGGAAGGTCATTACTCCTGCCACGTTGTTCTTCATCCTCTTCTTCAATTGGGTCGAGTATGAACCCCTCAAATATGGAGGATACGTGTATCCAAAATGGGCGGACGTCGTTGGATGGGTCGTCGGTATGATACCCATTCTGGTCATCGTTGGATTGGCCATCGTAAGTAATTTACACTTTTAACAATTATTTAGAAAATTTCTAATTTTCTCTAGTTTCTTAACAATTTGACAAGCTACTAAAATTTTTATAATTTGATAAATCCAACAAAATTTTTGGATTTTAATAATGAAACGATTTAGCGAAATTAAGTTGTGTTGAAATGTTAGGGTCTTACATCTTGATTTATGGTATATTGAGTATACTGTTTATGCTGTATTGATTCAATGTCAGAATATGACTTTTAGGACCCATAACAATTTTCATAAGCACAAGCCATAAGTACAATATTTTTCAGAGTTTTTTATACTAATTTGAGAAGTAGAAGTTTGAATATTTGATTGTTGAAGAATTTACAGTTGTGACGCACATCAGTCCAAATCTCCCAAACCTTACTTATTTAATTTAATTATTAAACCTAAATATTTTCACTACAAAATTACGAGACCAATCCCATAATCTACATAATGATCGCTATTCAAGATATACCTAAAATTTCAACATTTGTCAATTGAACTAACGTTGAATCAACAATTATCTACAGAAGAAGTGACAGATCAAGTAATTAAAATTAAATGTTGATTACAGAACCAATTAAGAGACCCACGTCGTCGATCAGCCTACGACGACGACGACGACGACGACGACGACCTAGACAGCAGACCTTCATCCCAAAGACCGGGAAAAGGAAAAACGAAGAAGAGCAAGAGCAAAAGTGTTTGGTGGCGCGCGAAGATGCTTCTGCAGCCAACTTCCGACTGGGGTCCCGCTGCTCGAAATCCCTCGACTCCGTCGAGAACTCTCACTCACACACCGTCACCAGGTAATCAGAAACTTAATTAAGCTTCAGTCGCGTGCAACTAAACACCATCGTACGTTCGAACCTGTATTTCTATATTAAATACGTGCTGTGTATAGCTAGCCAGATCTCTCGTTCGAGGGTGCAATTTCAAGCTCATCATCCTCGGTTGTAATCGGATTTAACTCGACCGATGGATAATTAATCTAGATATAATAAACGCCATGATGGTTACTCGATATATCGTTTTAAGCTGTCGATATATGACAAACTCGGGAATATAATAAAACTTGGGAAAACTCTACTTAAATTAATCGTGATTAATTAGTTTGTTAAACAGGAATCATTAAGGAGAGTTATAAATATTTTGTTAGTCAAATATTTATAAAATGTTCATGTAGATTTAAGTTAGTCAAACTTGTTCCTCTTTAATTCATAGAAATCATTAAAATTGATCTTCCTTTGAAATTATGTTTTAATTAAAATTAGCTTCTGATGTTAATTTTAAAATTGTTCTTAAACAGTCAGATAATTAAGTACAAAGAAGTAAATCATTTCTCTTCAAGTTTTTTTTATTGTATTTCTAATATTAGTTGTAAACTTGAGACCATCTTTTTTCATACTGAAATAGTTTCTGATGAAAGCATATTTAGTGCAATAATTTATTCTAGCACATAGTGTGTTACTTCTTTATGGTACATAGTATGTGACTTCTTTATGGTGTATAGTTTGTTACTTCTTTATGGTGCATAGTATGTAACTTCTCTATGGTGCATAGTATATAACTTCTTTAAATGCTCAAATAATTATTTGTATTGAAGTAAATTATTTAAAGAAGTCTTAAAATTGCAATATTCTTGTAAAGTGATTGGATGGAATTTTTAGTATAAAGTTTGATGTGATGTTCCAGGACCACCAGGAGGATACGATTCGGTACGGGACACCATAGTGTTGGTGAACGGTCAACCAATGATGGTGCAGCCATCGAGCACGTCAGGCACCGCTCAGAAGCTTCCTGGACCATCGATCCTCAAGAACTCAAGTAAAAGCGACTTAATCACATCTCAGCAAGTCTGACACGATGTTCATTTTATCTGTAACGACGAGTCTGCCCAGAAATCTATCGCCAAAAATACAACGCGCCAATAACAGGTAGTCGAGTATCTGATAGGTTCGTAAACGAGTGGCAGTTGAACAAAAGAGGATGACTACGAATGTTCCACAATAGAAGAGAGATTTCTACGAATTTATTTTTTTAAAAGAAGAATAGCCAGCGTATTTTTCTGATATATTCCTCAACAATCCTAGCGCCTTATACTTTTTTATTAATTCGAACGTGAATCGTCGTTGATTCAGATCACTTGGAGATATCTTCCGTAATATTCTTTCCATTCGAAGGAGTTCATTTCAGATCGTATCCTTTGATTCGTACAAAAGTTCATCAAAATTCTTTGAACGAATTCGTTTACAAATCGTTGCAGTTCTAGATTCAACGGACGATTTCAACGTCTTCTAATTTCTGCAACACCGAAACGGACAATATCGAGCGGTTCATTTAATTACCAGTAAGTGCAAAATCGTTTAAGCGTTGAAATGGGATCGAAAATGGCGGCCGAGGAATGGACGTTGCCCGAGAAAATTCTGCGAGACGCTCCAAACGTGCTACGACATGTAACCGTTAATTACATGTAACCGTTAACTAGTAATTACGCTACTCCACTGCTTTCAATTGTACATAAGACGAAGAGAAACGCGAGGAAACAACAATTGAAGAAAGTCACCGATTGATTGCCACGTGCAAGCGACACACAAATGTTCTAGAAAACGAAGAAAAATAAATCGCCCAATGGCACATCACCGAAGCGATTTGCTTCCGTGTAAGATTTATCTAAGGTAATGTTACTCTTGCATAGCGATCGATCTAGATTAGTATCGAAGCCCGAATTCCATCGATATCAGTCGCAAAACAAAGAAACAAATTTCCGTACACTTGCTCAGAAACTCATTTCATACACGTTTTTGAATAATAATATATGTTACCTTTTAAACGTAATAATATATATAATATGTTTCTAGAAAGATAATATTATCGAAATAAGTGAAAGTAGTTTGTATTCATTTGAAGAATCGTATCGAACGGAAGAGGAAGAGATTCAGACAATTTTTTTGGAGATTTTCTTGCAGAGCTTTGTTAATTTTCAAGTTTGTGAACGCTTTGAAGTTATGAGGTTTTGAAGCTCGGAAACTTGGGAGTATGGGAAAGTTTGGAGGGCAGCATTGAATATTAAGAGCTTTGGAATAAGACAGAATTGGGAAGAATTAAACTTGGAAGTTAAAGAATTTGGAAGCTGAAGAACTTGGGAGTTAAAGAATTTGGAAGCTGAAGAACTTGGAAGTTGAAGAATTTGGAAGCTGAAGAACTTGGGAGTTAAAGAATTGGTAAACTGAAGCACTCGAGAGTTAAAAAGTTCGGTAGTTACGGAAATTTGAAGAAATCTAGTTGAGAACGTTGGAACTTAAAAATATTGGAATGGAAGTATCAAAGAATTCAACAGAAGTATTGAACCGTGAAAGTGTTGCTATTTGGAAGATCTACAACTTGAAAGTATTAGAACTTGAAAACAATAGCACTTGAGAATATTGTAAGATTTAGAAGTTGGAAGTATTGGCACTTGATAAATTAAAAAGCATTGAAAGCATGAGAATATTGTTGATTCAAAACATGGATGATTTAGAACTAACAAGAAGATATAAAAGTTGGAAGTATTAAAGCTTGATATATTCAAAATTTGACAACGTGGGGACTGAGGAGACTGAGAACTTGGGAGAAGAAGAATTTGAAAGCAGTGGGACTTAGGAGTATTGAACTTAGTACTAATACCAGGGTATTGGTATTTGAGAATATTGAGACATAGGAATAATGAAAATTTGAAAGTATCGGGAACTTGGACGTATTGGAACGTGGAAGTATTGGAACTTAGGAGTATACGAACTTGAACGTAATGAAACTTGGGTGTATTGCAACTTGGGAGTAATGAAACTTGGAAGTATGACAGCTTAGAGCTATTGGAACTAGGAAGTATTGGAACTTGGAAGTAATAAAACTTGAGAATATTGGAATTTGGGAGTAATGAAACTTGAGAGCATTGGAACTTGGAAGTATTGGAACTAGGGAGTATTGGAACTTGTAGGTATTGGAACTTGGAGGTATTGGCACTTGGAGGTATTGGAACTTGGAGGTATTGGCACTTGGGAGTAATGAAACTTGGGAGTATTGGAACTTGGAGGTATTGGAACTTGGGAGTATTGGAACTTAGAAGTACTGACACTTGGGAGTATTGGAACTTGGAGGTATTGGAACTTGAGAGTACTGGAACTTAGAAGTACTGAAACTTGGGAGTATTGGAACTTGGAGGTATTGGAACTTGGGCGTATTGGAACTTAGAAGTACTGAAACTTGGGAGTATTGGAACTTGGAGGTATTGGAACTTGGGAGTATTGGAACTGGGAAGTATTGAAACTTGGAAGTACTGAAACTTGGGAGTATTGGAACTTAGAAGTACTAAAACTTGGGAGTATTGGAACTTGGAGGTATTGGAACTTGGGAGTATTGGAACTTGGAAGTATTGAAACTTGGGAGTACTGAAACTTGGGAGTATTGGAACTTGGGAGTATTGGCACTTGGGAGTAATGAAACTTGGAGGTATTGACACTTTAGCGTAATGAAACTTGGGAGTATTGGAACTTGGGAGTATTAGAACTTGGAAGTACTGAAACTTGGAAATATTGAAACTTGAGATTGGAACTTGAAAGTCCTAAGGCTTGCGAGTAACAGAACTTGAGCGTATCAGACCTTGAAAGTATTCCATCTTAAAAGTGTCTAACCCCGTTTCAAAACTTAAAAATATCGGAACCCGGTAGTTTCAGAACTTAGAAGCAATTGAACCCAAAAAGCTTGGGATCCTCAACAGCTAGATCTTTGGCAACTTCAGAACTTAACAACCAGGAAACTTTAAAGCTTGAAAGCGTCAATAGCGAAGGTATCTCCCAAGGGCAGTAATAGTTCTAGCCACCGTTCAATTAAACTTGATTTAATTTATATTCCCTGACCGGAATTTCGCACGTGCATTCAAATTAACCGGCCATTTGTGTAAGAACGCCTATAGGTATAGTAATAATGAAAGTAGTTCATACCAATTTAAATCATTAAAAGAAGTGAGCGAAACTTCAATTGGCAATCTATAAATGTTAAATTAATCCATTCGTGTAAAATTTAATTCTACTATAAATTAACTACTGATGAAAGTGGTCTTCGGTAAGAAAGCAAAGATACGAGGATTCGATTTCGTTTACAAAATTATGAATGAAATTTTGCATGTATCGAAACCGGCCATTCGTATTAGGGTGTCGTAGATATAGTAATAATGAAAGTAGTCTATGAAGGTTGCAATTTAATTTACACGGTACAGTTTCTCATGTGTCCATCGAAGTGTACGGAGATTTTTCTGACAGATTGTTTCACCCAACAAAGTTAAACTCCCCTGCTAAGCTCGACAATTTTGTCGCAAGGATTTATCGTTATCGAAGAGTTCAGATGGTCCGGACGTAAACGGACCGTCAATTTTTTGTAATATACCATAGTAATCTCGTGGACGTTGAGTTCTCGATGTTGACTCGCGAAGTGTTTCATACCGTGATACGTTATCCTTGCTGAAGGAATTATGTCTCGAATAAAATTGAATTTATTCAGGAAAAAGAGAGGAAAATTCTTAGGCTTAGTATTATTTATTTTAACGAATCTTCCTGTTGTTGCTCACCGATGTCCTCCAATAGAAACAATCATTAGAACATAGAGTTTTCTGTTGTAGATTTGTTGCGATATGCTCTATTTTTATCGTTTAGAGCTTTTATCGTTGTTCTTGAAAATATTGGGGTTTTACTTGTTAGATAATTTATTACATTATTTCTTAAATCAGGTTGATTTTTTAAAACTTAAAAATAAGTATTAATTTTTTTAAATGGTTGTTATTGTCAGTATGATGCATTAATTACAATGCAGCAAATCTCTTCAGGGAACAGTTCAATTTTTTATGTAATAATATTTCACTCATTTTAGATTGATAATTAAATAAGTTTTGAAAGAAGTAAATAATTTAAAAAGATATTAAACACATGAGTTTTGTAGAAACTCTGTATCTTTGAAGAGGTTAAGTTGTTGAGAGTTAAATTAATATTGTTCGGTCGTAAAAAAAATTTATTATACCGAAATTTTAATTGAAAAGCAAATTCAACAAGAAGTTTTTATCCTATTGATATGAAAATTTGAAAAATTTTTTGTCTTTATTCGATCATATCAACCCTTTCATACTAACCCTTCAATGGTTGAAAAAATCACTACAAATATACCAAAAATTTGACTCCAATATTTACAAACTTGTTATTCATTAAATTTCACTGAATTTAAAAACACAGAGTTCGACAATAATTATTTAATAATTATTTCGATAATTTTTTAATATTAAATACTGCACTCTCATCCTGAAAAAAAATCTAACCTTCTCAAATTCATTTCAAATTAGAATTAAATTTCTATGAAATTTTTTCAGCGTGAGACTTCAGTAAAAGTTAACAATTAACATTTGATTTATTATACATAAAGTCCATAAATGGTATTTCAAAAAGCTGATTAATTAAACAGCCCTTTATAAAACGGTGATGTACTAAAAAATGATCGAAATGGTTGTTTACTTCGTATTATTATTGTATTTTTAGAAGGTATTGTTACTTTTACATGGCTCGACGTAAGCGAACTGCAGTTAAGAGAAAAGGGTTATTTTTGCGTCGATCGCAAAAGGGAGGCAGACAGGAAAAGGGCAAAAGAGGGTTGTGTCGTTTCACGGGTCATCGAGATAAGCGCATCGGTTCGTTTCAAACCGAAAATAGGAATTATAAAATACACATTAAGCCGGTGATGTCGAGCACACCGGACAATTTAACGCGTACGTACAGTCAATAAACGTGAGAGATCGTGATTCTTTATTTTTTATGTGACCCCGTTTGTAAAGTGTTGCTAGCTGTATCATATGTATTGACATTTATCGTACATACACATATACACAAGTTACAGATATATACATATAATATATACGAATATATTATATATATACATACAAGTATATTATATAATATTTATAGACGCTTGGTACACTGGTGTACAATGGCGTCGCGTAGTTTATTATTCCGTGTACAAAACAGAAAAAAAAGAGCATATGAAAAATGAAAAACGACACGATCATCGTTTGATATTAAGAAATTCAGGGCGGAGTGTCGCGATTATACGTGAAACAATTAACATTATTGAAAACCCGCTGCGTTCAAATTATAAAACAATAACAGAAATATGTTAACTCATATCCGTGCGAGAGCTTGTCGAGAGTTGTTGCGTTACGTGGATGAATAAATGAATACAGGGTGAGTGTTCAGCGTGTACGAATATTTTTTAGAATAATAAGGGCCTAACTCCACTTTCTGTTCTCTTAACGATCCACCTGAACGGTTAGGTCGATGGGCAATGGCAGCTCGTAGGCACCGATGGACTCTATGTTTAAATTTTTACATTTCTTCATCTCTAAATTTTTACATTTTTTGATCATTAAATTTTTAGATTTCTTCATTTCTAATTTTGTAGATTTCTTCCTCTCTTTTCTACATTTTTTGATTCCTAAGATTTCCAATTTCTAAATTTCTAACAGTTTCAGATTTTCTTCAACCTCCAAATTCTTGAAATTTCTATAAAATTCTTACATGTTCAAATCGCTAAATTTTTAATATTTTTAAAAATTGAAAATTTTAAATCGTATAACTGATTCCACTTTAATCTACGCACCGTCCGTGCCCACGAGTTTGGGGCAATATATCTGCCCCCGGTTAGACTTCAGTGACTTGATTTCTGGAGAACGACAACTGCATTTAAAACGCACGATAATTAAAAGGGGTGAGAATTTTGTAGAATTTTTGAATCTTTTGTAAAATTCGTTTTTGGTAATAAATTAAAAATAATGACGGTGGATGTTAAGAGTAAACTAAATCGTCCTTTGCCATCGATCCTTTGCTCAAAGGGACGAACAAGTGGAGGTGGATCCTCGCCATAAGCGTTCGAGATGGATCCTCGTTGACCTAATTAACAATTTAGAATCTAGTTGTTGTTAATACTCAGAGCTTCAGATTCTAGGCAAAACATTCAACTAGGACGATATTCGAATCCCAAGATCGGAATTCACGAACAATCGGGGCACACCTCGTATTGAACACAATGAAAGTTAATCGAGAATCGATTCACGCTTAATATACCGGTATCTCGAAGTACGTTTCGATCGATTCAATTGTTAATCGAATGAGCAACTTTCATCGATACTTCCATAGCCATAAGAATAAAGGAGCTGAACATTTATAAAATTTTATTTACTTATTTAATTTCAACTATAATTAATTAAAATTCAACTTCAAATATCGTTAATTAAACTCCAGTTTCAATTATGACTATTCATAAATTATTTAAACTTTTAGTACTGTTACGAGATTTTCTAAATTAATAACAAGCTCCTATTTTAATTTCTATTTATTACTAATAGTTAATCTTGTTATGTACATATTCATGACTTTAATATTACACTTATAAAATTAATAATACGTTTTCATTCAGATCTTTATACATTTTACACAGTTGTATTGTATATTTATCTTTTCATTTATGTAGGAACGAAAGTGTTGTTCAAATTTCGCGCCAAATTGGGTCACGATAATGGCGTCCTTCTGATTCGTATGGCCATGGATTTTTCGTTTACGAATTTATTTTGAACGAGACTGTAATCGAAGTACCGAGTTGCATTTATTGAATTCCATTGATCTTGACCCTCATAGGACCATATTGGACAAAAGACGTCCTTTGGTATTTTCATGTGTTAACAAATATAATTTTCACAACTCTTTTACCTTACAAAATTATCGAATTTGCTATATTGAAAATTGTATGCAATTGCCTATAAGATAGAACAAATGTTTGCTGTAGAAATTGTTTTTAATAAATGTAACAAATTTTCTGCTGTAACGTTAATACATACATCTTACATTTTTTTAGATAAATTTCAGTATCAATTTTTAGTACAAAAATGTAAGAGTAGGATAATTAAGTCTTTTTCAGTTAACTAAATTTACAATACACAATTATTTCTTCGAATTTATAAAAATTGAAAGGCAAATTTACTCTACTCATTAATTCGACCAAATGGTTCCAAAGAGTCTATGGTCCCAAGCTTCACTGGTTCTACGAGGGTTAACAAAACATATCGTTTGCTATTTTAAATTCATCAGTTTCAACGGAGACATTAGACTAACGACACGTACTGATATTCGAGAATTAGAGGAAGAATTCTAGAAAAGCGAGAACACCTTCTAACTAGCCATATCTGAGACATAATCAAGAACAAATAAATTTTCTTCGTTTAAGAGAACCCTGAAAACGACCGTTCGATCGATAAAGAAGAAGATCCTTCGTTGTCGGATAAAGTAACGTTCATCGAAAGCATTGAACAAAGAAAGGGAAAAATGCAAAAAAAAAAGAAATGAGGAAAAGAGTACTTGGGATTCGCGAGGGATGGGTGACTGATAGATAAGCGTTCGACAAACTTTAATGTCCCTTAGGCTAGATAGGCGAATCTAATGCAGGTATTAAAAAGGAATTTAAACAAACAAAGTTAGCACGTCATTAACAACAACAACAATAATACTTATTATTAATAACAGTTATGTTACAAAGTAAGGAATAAATAATAGTGTTAGCTGCCGGTTCAAGCTGGCCTGGCCACGCGGTCGACTGTCCTAGATAGGGTTAAGATTCGGTTACGTAGAATTATCGGTAACAACACGGTAATGTCATTGTTAACAATTTAAATAAAATTTATTTACGGATATTTTTGCTGTAAAATAATTTTATGAATCTTCGGTATGTAATTTTTCGTGCACTTCAAACTCGGGTGCTTATCTTCTCTTTCTTCAGTAAAATCAATTTATAGTTAAAACAGAGGACTTGGTGTAATCACATGATATTTATTAGTACACAAGACAATATTGCTTTCAATATTTTTTTTATATGAATTGTACTAATTTTGTGGCGAAATTTCATACAATTTTTAATTGTACTTCTTCTAAACTTTTGAGGTTATGTACACGGGAATGGTTTAGAAAAATAATTAATGAATAGCAGAAATAAATTTATTTTTCTGAATACAATTTTGAATGGTATACTAATCGAAATCGATTACGATTGCTCAAACTTTTCATTTCCTTTTGTGAAGATTCAATTTTGTGTTCATATCTTCAAACTTTTCATTCGCAAAGTTTGTGGAGATTCAATTTTGTGTTCATTTTCTCAAACTTTTCATTTGCAAAATTTATGAAGATTCAATTTCGTGTAATTATAAATTGTGCAACTTTGAAGATGTAGTTAAGAAAGTTAATTTATAGAAAGTATAATTTATATGAAGGATGGTTTAATTAAATTATGTTCACAGTTATCGTGTAGTGTTACTGGTTTTACGTGACCAAGAGCAACCAGTAGAGCGAACAGTACAAAGTAACGTGTCCTAGAGCTAATCGAGAAAGAGAAAAGCGTTCGAGAGTGAAAAGTAGGTGATAGAAGATGCGTTATGTTTCGTGGAAACGATAGGATTTAGAGTTCCTTCTCGTTAAGGCAGATTTTTGTACGTCGATTCCGTGGGAAATCGTTGAACAAGAAATATTTCAACCGCAAAGCGTAGCTTGTGGGAAACTATTTTAAGTGAAGAAAAAATCGATTATTTGTTTTTGATACGCCTCGATCGTGTCTCCATTTTATCTGCTAATTGTTCACTCAAAAATTATATAATTCGGTTATATTCAATTTTCACTATTTTACTGCAATTTTCATTTTTATGAAATTTTAATAAATCTCTTAATAAATCTCTGGAATTTTTGATGGAATTTTATGAAATTTGAAAAAGACAAATTTCTTCAAATTTGTTTGAAGATTTTTTCATTGTATTCTGCTTTTATAAATGCACTCGTAGATTCATGTATGTGAGCATATGTGAAATATTTTTTTGATTGCAAAAATTTTTTAGTAATTTTTTTAAAAATGAGACACCATCAGCGTCGAACTGTATACAATCACAAAACACAATAAAGAAAAAATTATTTATTAAACGATTGTAAGCTGTCGTTCAGAAGTCTTAGAACATTTGTCATCTTCGAAGAAACTACAATTATAAATTTCATTTTTTTGACTCTTCAGACTTGTTTAGAATTTAAATTAAAATACTTGTAAGTTCGATAATTATACTCACCGTCATCACATATGAAATTTATTTATAACATTCCCAGTTCACTAAATATTTTTAGTATTAAATAAATACGCGAAAAGAAATATTTTTACCACAATAATTATAATTGTTATAATACAAGAATACAGGTAGTAGTGGTAGGTATCAGTAAAAGAAAATAATTTAAACATTTTATTTACATTTCAATTATATCCAGCATCATATAAAAATACCAAAACATAAATCAATTTTTCGTGGTACAATATTCTAAGATTTTCGAATGTCGGCGTAATCAAAAGAGAAAAGAAGAAAGGAAACAGAGAAGAAATTATATTGTGTATCAAACCTGTATGCACACAAATTACAAAAAGAATTATGTATACACGTTGTTGTATAATGTTAGAGACGAAGGAAAAACACAAATTTTACGCGTGATCCACTGTTTGATTCGAGATGTTTATCGTGCGTTGAAATTTGCGAGAAATTAAGAAACAGTATATTATATAGAAACGAGAGATTTAAAAGGAAACTAAATGGAAAAGATGAAAAAAATATATATATATTATAAAATACGATATTTAAGAGACGATGAAATTATATCGAGACATAAGAAATTGTATTAATATACATGTACATTGCATTGCGAAAGATATATACATTATGTAAATTCTATGTATATGTATATGATGCGTGTGTAATTAATAAAGTGTTGATATATATGGTTGACGATAACTAATTCTTCGTTCTTTCCATTTATTTAATGATCGTCTAATACGTTACACGTAAAAAGCGGTTTATAGTTAACGATAAATGTACTTTATTTTTTGGTCAATGTTTCGTCTTATAAATTACAGTTATTTTATTTTAAAGATAGAGTTCGATGAGTTTTGGAATATTGTGTAATGTGCTTTGTTGTAGTGGTTGCATAGGGTTTGTGGAATATGGTTCGTCTGAACACAAGTGTCGAGTATTGAAGTCGATCTATAATACTTTGACGATTTGGTATTTTGGAAATTTGGGAATTTGGAAAATTGCAGAATTTTTGGTTTTGAAGTTGACAAATTTGGGAATTTACGAATTGGGGAATTTGGGAATTGGGGTATTTAGGAGTTCGGTAATTTAGGAATTCGGTAATTCAGGAATTCGGGGGAAATCTAGAAATTCGGAATTTTGGAATTCGGAAATTTAGGAATTCGGAATTTTGGAATTCGGAAATCTAGAAATTCGGAATTTTGGAATTCGGAAATTTAGGAATTCCGAATTTTGGAATTCGGAAATTTAGGAATTCGGAAATGTAGAAATTCGGTAATTTAGGAATTCGGGAATTTAGGAATTCGGAAATGTAGAAATTCGGTAATTTAGGAATTCGGAAATGTGGAAATTCGGTATTTAGGAATTCGGGAATGTGGAAATTCGGTAATTTAGGAATTCGGGAATTTAGGAATTCGGGAATGTGGAAATTCGGTAATTTAGGAATTCGGGAATTTAGGAATTCGGGAATGTGGAAATTCGGTAATTTAGGAATTCGGGAATTTAGGAATTCGGGAATGTGGAAATTCGGTAATGTGGAAATTCGGGAATTTAGGAATTCGAAAATGTGGAAATTCGGTAATTTAGGAATTCGGGAATTTAGGAATTCGGGAATGTAGAAATTCGGTAATTTAGGAATTCGGGAATTTAGGAATTCGAAAATGTGGAAATTCGGAAATGTGGAAATTCGGTAATTTAGGAATTCGGGAATTTAGGAATTCGGAAATGTAGAAACTCGGTAATTTAGAAATTCGGAAGTTTAGGAATTCAGAAATTTAAAATTTTAGAAATTCCAAAATTTGCGACTCTTAAAATTGACAAATATAAAAATTTGAAACTCTACAAAAATTCTAAAGTTCAAAAATCTAAAAATCTCTAACCTTGATAATTTACAAATTTACAAATTTTAGTACCAGGTCGCCAAAGTGTTAATAAAAATTGAATATCGCTTCTTTTATAACAGCATACACCATAGACAACAGACAATATTATTTGCTCCCCGATTATTCACCTCGTCCTGAGCAAATAAAAATAAATTTCTGTATTTACATCTGTTTAAAGCTTCACAATCAGCAACAAACTGTTTACATATAAATATAAATTGTTTAAAAAATATGTATATTGAACACTGTTTCTCGGCAACATTGAGATGAGTTGTGTTTAAGTATCCTACAAGAAATTCCGGATAGAGGACGGAATGCATGAATATTCTAACAGTAAGTAAATTAATAAACATTCTTTCGTATTTGTAAAAAAAGAAGAAATGCGATGGTACATACATTTTCGAGCCTCAATTTTCAGAGACAAGAAAGTCATTCAATTCAATTAAATAAAAATTTAATCAATACAGTTAAAAATTATTTTAAATATCTGTTCGATAAATTTCGAATGTGATATTCTTAAAAAGAAAACATTAGATATGAACATTTATACAAAAGAAAATAATGTATATTAGAAAAATAATGTTTATCAGTAATTTTTCAATATATTGAATTTTTGTGTTCTTCAATTTTCCATTGTAAATGCTTTGATTCAAAGCTACGCACTTTGATAATGTGCTTTATTTTTATTGCTACTGTTCTTTTGGGTTGTAGTGTACTATATTGCATGATAATGTAAGAGTGTCGTTGCAGAATGACACACTATAATTTTTTTAGTAGTACTGAAGTGGTATAGTAATTTTTATACTTTGTATGAAATGGTATTATTATACCATTATTATTATATAGGTATTATTATACTTGCTATAATATAGCATGTGCTGCAGTATGTAATTACATGTAATTGTACGTAACTTGCTATATTATGCAGAGTTATACTTATTTTAGTATAGTATATTATCACTACTATATCATTCTCATTATCTGCAAATATAGTACAGCATCATAAGTATATTACAATACCTTTACACAATAATATTACTATACCACGCTATATTATAATACAGTATAGCAACGATACCATAGAAACACTATATCAAAGCTTTACCATTTTAACTGCAGTAAACCATTACTATACATCATATAGTAATATGATATTATTATTGCTTATCATTGCTATATCAGATCATTGTACTAGATCATTACTATACTATCCATTACAAACATACAGTATATTCTCACAATACTGTACTATAATATCAGTATTACAATCAGCTGATTATTATACAATACTCTATCCCTAAAAATACAGTACAGGGCGTCTCACAACTAGTGAACGTCTCCGAAGTGGGAGTAGCTCTTGCGTCTGCGCGTGCGTAATCCTCGCGCTCTAATTGGACCATGTTTTTCCTTCATACTTCAAAAAGGAAGCTTCGAACGCCATTTTTGCAAAGGGCAATCTTGTACAAAATCGCGTCAGCTACTCCCCATTTCAGGGACCTACACTAGCTGTGAGTCACCCTATATATACGCATGTTTAGAAGTAATAATATTTGAAGAATACATGGAAGGAATTATGACAATAGCATGTCAGAATAATTCTTTTCCTTGCAACCGCACTAGTTGCAGTTTCACCACGCCAGCTGTGAAACACCCTATATAAGAATACAATACTGCAGCTCAATAATCCTATCCTTCATACTACATTACAGTATTACTCAATTCACCGCACGATTACGTTACTAAAACACCGTATCATGCAACACAGTACACCGCAACGACATTATACACCCTGAACAATGACCCCGTAGCAAACTAATCTTCAGACTCGACCGCAGTCGAAAATTTACGATTACGACGTGGTAGGTGGTGGTCCCATGATGACCTTGGTCCTGGAAACAGCTCCCAAAACAGGTTTCAATAAAAGAAAGAAACCAGCGATGAAGAACGACGCGAACACCAGGTTCCTTCCGGTGTCGCTTCCGGGCCACCATCTTGAATACGTTCCGGTGATCAGCGTGGCCAGCAATAATATCATGGCTAAAATACCGCCGAATGCGTGCATCACTTTCAGGAGGACGGGTCTCACACGTGGATAAAGCCACTTGGAGTTGTTGGTGACGATACCGAAACCAGCCACCAAGAAACATATGATGATGGTGATCAGACCGAGTATCGAGTGAGGCGTGGCAAAGTGAGGTTTATTGTGATCGATTTTGTGCACCACTATGAGGATCAGGCCGATTAGTAGTAGTGCGAGGCCGATGGTGTGCAGAATCCAGTGCATTCTTATCCTGCTCATTCTGGAGAGGCTGTAGCTGATGTACGCGTCGCCGGAAATGGTGAACACGGCCTCGGCCATCAGGAGACCCGCCTGGAATGATTAATTGGTAAACAATTTTAGCTTACCAGTGAAATTCGATTGGTTTTTGGACGTAATGAGGTTTGGAAGCTTAGATAGGAAGGGGGGAATGTGGATGTTGAAACTTTTTGAATTTGGGAATTTAGGGAATTTAGGGAATTTAAGGAATTTAGGGAATTTAAGGAGATAGGGGTTCAGAAATATGGGCCTTTAGGGGTTTATGGGTTTATAAGTGGAAGAATTTGAGGATTGAAGGATTTAGGAATATGGGGATTTGGGGAGTTAGGGATTTGGAAATATGGGATTTTGAGGAGACTGGGATTTAGAAATGTGAGAATTTAGAAGTATGCGTATTTGGGAATTTGGGAAATTTGAGAAATTTGAAACTTGGGAAATTTGGAATTTGGGAATTTGGAATTTGGGAATTTGGAATTTGAGAGATTTGGAATTTGGGAAATTTGGAAAATTTAGAATTTGGGAAGTTTGGAATTTGGGAAATTTGGAATTTGGGAAATTTGGAATTTGGGAAATCTGAAACTTGGGAAATTTGGAATTTGAGAAATTTGGAATTTGGGAAATATTGAATTTGGGAAATTTGGAATTTGGGAAATTTAGAATTTGGGAAATTTGGAATTTGGGAAATGTGGAATTTGGGAAATTTGGAATTTAAAAATTTTGAAATTTTGGAATTTGACAATTTGACAATTTGGTAATTTGTGAATTTTTAAACTTAAATTTCAATTCTTAGAACCTTCCTAATTTCATAAAAATCATCATCATACAACAATTTGAATCGAACAATTTGATATTTTAAACACGTTCCTAAATTTTTGAAAATTTCAAAGAATTCAGAAGTAATTGCACTCGATGAACCGTTTTAATTCGTTCGACGAATGCCATAAGTAATTTGACTATTTAGGTCGACGTTACACTTTAGTCTTGAAATTTACGTGCATTCAAGTGAACAACGCCCACAGGTTCGTCTCTAGCGCGAGAATGAATTGAAGGGTAAATGACATTGTGCGAGAAGTAATTTCAGTGGTGAGACACTCAATGTGTGTTTATGATAATTTTAAAACAGATGTACATCTCCGATGAATGTTCAGAGGTTTCTGGATAATTTGCAAGGTACGTTCGGTCATTTGACAATCATTCTTGTATTTCAGCTTCAATTGTCTTACATCAGATAGTAAATTTAGTCTAGGCAGATAATTAGATCTTGGTATTTTTCTAAACGTAAGGATGATCGAATACTTGTGGAACTTGACACGAGATTGTTATGAATCATGTCTAAGAATTTATTTCAATCATGTCAAAGTTTGTGTCAAATATTGTATATTTTGTTAAATATTTTAATATGCATAAGTTTAACATTATATCAGCTCTGTTTCAAATTTAATTTTCGACGATCAATAAATAATGATATACATTGGAAAATTAATTTTGTGCTGGGAATACTCGAATGGAAACTGCATGAATCACGTGTAGTATCAAGTTTTTATACTGGAATTCATAGAATCGTACACAAGGCGTGACACCATCGTTCTTCAAGTTCACGATTACTCATAAACATTCTTCAACCAGCTCATAACAAGATCATTTGAATCATGTTGACAAAAATCGTATTCTTCAAGAGCGTCCTCTATCGATTTCCATTGTATTGAAATACCAATTGCTATAATGCGAATTTACGTAACTGCGTTCGAAGCGTAAAAGAAAAATTTATTGCATCCAGACGTTACGAAATCCGTTGTCTCAGCAATGTATTCATGAATTTTATACAATGGAGCTTCCCTCGGCTATAAACTAGTCTTCTGATATTTGTGACTGAGAAACACAATAACTTTTCTAATAAAATGAGTGATTTAGATTAAATGAAGCTTAGCTCAATCGTTTGGACAGAAAATAAGAAAAAGTTTATGTAATGAACAAACATATCGAACATTTTATATTTTACAATAAATGAGAGAGTAAACAATGCTTTTTATTGTAATGAGATGGTCTGTGAATAATTATATTAATTAATTGTGAGATTGAAATTAGAACTGAGTTACTTGTCTATACGACGCCATTTTGAATTATAGCTGGAAACCATTTTCGAATACTTTTCGAAGCTTCGCTGATGAATAAATATAATTTATCGAACATTATTCTTGAAGATTTGAGAAGTTAGAGTATCAACTATGTTAATATATTTATAATAGTTAATAATGACAATAATTATTCATAAATAAATCCATTACAGATGGAAATATTATTTAATTCTTTATTTAATGTATTATAAAGAAGCTTTAAGTTCTTGACACTTCGTTGATGGATGCTATTATAGTTTCTCGAATTCTGTTTCTAAAAATTTGAAAAACTAGAGTATCATTCATACTAAAATCTTTGACAAACTTTAATAATCAATAACTAACAAAATTATACATAAACAAAGCCATCATTAACTTCAAAATTATTTATTTCTTTATTTATTGTATTACAAACAGAAATTTCGAAAACTTCACTCTGTAAATTGCCCAGGTTAGGTTACATTAGCACCAGAAAGAAGTTACCTAACCTAACCCACAAGTCTGTGAAAGATCCTCTAACATGTCTTAACCAAACGAAGGTTGAAATGTGAAAGATGCAGGAAATTAGCATACGTTCGACAGAAAAGAAAATCTTTTGTTGAACGTATTATTGCGTGTACGTAATTCTACAGTTAGAATAAAGTAAAAGATAAAGACCTAAATTCCTGATCCACGTACTTCCATTACTTTTCTTGTGTTGTGCAATTAGTATTGACCAAGTTGACTACTTACTCCGAGGCTCATGAGGATTGGATGAACGAAGATGACGTTGGAGAATGACAACACCAAAATGTAGATCACCGGTGCTATGAGAAGAAAATGTGTGAGAGCTGAGAAGGCGAGCATGATGGCGCTGGGTGGTCCTTTGCCTCCTGGATGATCCGTCATTCTAGGTGTTTGTTTTCACACCTGAAATTAAGACAGATGTTTATTAAACTTACGAGTTACATGTTGGAGTAATGGAAGTGTACTTTGGATGAAGTATGGGGTTTTTGAGGAAGGTTTGGAAAGTTAGGGATTTCAGGTTTTGGGGATTTTGGAGAGTTTGTGGATTTGAGGATTTGGGGATTTTGGTGACTTTGTGGATTTGAGAATTTTGTAATTTTGGCAATTTTTGTAATTTTAGAAATTTTTGAGGTTATGGAGGTGTGAAGGTTTGAGGATATAGGAATCTTGGAATTTGAGGATTTGGGGATTTGGAGAGTTGGAAATTTGGGGAGTTAGAAATTTGAGTAGTTGGGAATTTGGCGAGTTGGGAATTTGGGGGGTTGGGAATTTGAAGAGTTGGGAATTTGGAGAGTTAGAAATTTGGGAAGGTGGAAATTTGGGGAGTTGAGAATTTGGGTAGTTGGGAATTTGGGGAGTTGGGAATTTGGGGAGTTGAGAATTTGGGGGATTGGTAATTTGAGGAGTTGGGAACTTGGAGAGTTAGAAATTTGGGAAGGTGGAAATTTGGGGAGTTGGGAATTTGGGGGGTTGGGTATTTGAGGAGTTGGGAATTTGGAGAGTTAGAAATTTGGGAAGGTGGAAATTTGGGGAGTTGGGAATTTGGGGGGTTGGGTATTTGAGGAGTTGGGAATTTGGAGAGTTAGAAATTTGGGAAGGTGGAAATTTGGGGAGTTGGGAATTTGGGGAGTTGGGAATTTGGGTAGTTGGGAATTTGGGAAGTTGGGAATTTGGGGGATTGGAAATTTGAGGAGTTGGGAATTTGAAGAGTTAGAAATTTGGGAAGGTGGAAATTTGGGGAGTTGGGAATTTGGGGAGTTGAGAATTTGGGGAGGTAGAAATTTGGGAAGGTGGAAATTTGTGGAGTTGGGAATTTGGGAAATTTGAGAATTTATAAAACGTAAAATTTAGACAATTTTATAAAACTCGATCCCTTCTAAATTTGAATATTTTAAATTCTCTCAAAAAAATTCCCTCAAAAGAATTTTCAAACTCATCTCTGAACACAAAAGAGTTTAAATTGTATTTTAAATACATTACAAATGTATTTTATAATCAGTTAAAAATGAAGAAATCAGTAATTACAGTTTCATTATAAACGCAATGTACGTAAAATTACACATATAGAAGAAGAAGATATATTTTTCTCGCGTCGCAACTGCTCCTACGATCGTTTAGATGCGCGACGTGTGATTCATAGTTAATTGTGTGACACGATTCTACGTTTCTTTCAGCATCCACTTGGGCGAACTTGCAGAATGTCGTCTTTTACGATGGTACAGAAGCTTCAATTCGATAAATGAAGCTGTTGATTAAGTGAATGCTTGTTGAGATCGAAGAAGCATTAATTGCCACAATTCTACTGTTGCTCTGTTCACATAAGTTCATAGCCAAGTTAAATATCTCGATAATAAAATTTCCTAGAATTTCATATACTGAATTTTATACCATTTAATTTATATCATTACTTTTTTCACGCTATAAATTTGATATATTCATACAACTGTATATTTCCATTTTTTAAATTATTCAGAAGGGTTATGAGTGGTAGCAATGGTTATATTTTGAAATGATGGAGGTACGTTGATATAGGGATATGAGATACACTGATCTAGGGGTGTAGGAATCCATGGATAAAGAATAGAAATTCAGAGAAATCTATGGACATACATGTATGTATAGGGAATATAGGAATATGGAGAAAATAGAAAATATAGGAACCTGAGGAGAATTAGGTAAGATTTGGGGGAAGGGGCTGTAGGAATATAGGGAAATAAGAATGTAACAGTAAAGTAGTCGATGAACATGGTATTCAAGTGATATAGAAATTTAGAAATTTAAAAATGCAGCGAACTAAATATTTAGGAATTTAGGAATTTAAGAAATGTGGAGATATAGAGTGAGATATAGGAAACTAGAAATATGGGGATGTAGGAAATTAAGAATGTAGCAATGTAGGTTAAGAATTTGAGAATACGACAATCTTTGGATATCTGATTTTGAAAATTTAAAAATCTAAGAATATCAAATTTCACAGTTATGAAAATTTAGGGATATCGAAATTTAGGAACGTAAGAATCTAGGGATATACAAGCTTAACAATATAGGAACCTAAATGATCTTATCATAAAATACCTCCAAATATTATTAAATATCATCTTCACTAAAAATAGTATAATCTACAATAAGAATCGTTCTTATTGATCATGCATTCCACATGCATCGCACTTTAAAAGTCAGCCAGCTGTAAATAAACATTCATTAAAAAATTAATATTATGTATACTTATCACGATCTTCACAATGTAATCAACTCAATCAAAGATGTATCTCATTATCTATGGTACGTGCAAAGATAATCAGTGTTGTATTGCAATAATCACTCTAACGTGATCAATTGATTATGTTATCATGATTGTTAATTACATTTTTCTTTTCTATACACGTCATATTGCTAGTTGAGAGTATCACTATATCTAATGGGTTCAAGTGTTAACAATCATTATTTCTGATGACTGTTTTTTTAATCTTTTAATGCAGTTATTTTAGATTTTTTTATTGAAGTGTTGGTGGAAAACTAGTGAGAGATTTTTACTAATTCTAATTTCTAAATTTTACAATTTTTAGATTTTTAAATTTTCGTAGTTGTTAAGGTGCAAAATTCAATAATTTACAAATATAAAAATTTATAGATTTGAAAATTTCTACGTTTCAAAAATTTCAAATTGGCAACTCTGCAATTTCTAAGTATATCAAATTCCAAATTTTCCAATTTCCAAATCTCCCATTTTCCAAATTCCCAAATTTCCCAATTTCTAAATCTTCAAATTCCAAATTCCCAAATCCCAAATCTCCCAAGTTCCAAATTTGCCAAATTCCAAATTAAATCTCCCAAGTTCCAAATTTGCCAAATTCCAAATTTCCCAAGTTCCAAATCTCCCAAGTTTCAAATCTCCCAAATTCCAAATCTCCCGTCTCCCAAGTTCCAAATCTTCCAAGTTCCAAATCTCCCAAGTTCCAAATCTTCCAAGTTCCAAATCTCCCAAGTTCCAAATCTTCCAAGTTCCAAATCTCCCAAGTTCCAAATCTTCCAAGTTCCAAATCTCCCAAGTTCCAAATCTTCCAAGTTCCAAATCTCCCAAGTTCCAAATCACCCAAGTTCCAAATCTCCCAAGTTCCAAATCTCCCGAATCCCAAATCTCCCAAATCCCAAATCTTCCAAATCCCAAATCTCCAAAATCCCAAATCTTCCAAATCCCCCACATCTCCCGAATCTCCCAAATCTCCCAAATCTCTCAAATCTCCCAAATCCTCAATTCCCCAAATCCTCAAATTCCCCAAATCCCCAATTCACAAACCTCCAAATTCTCAAATCCCCAAATTCCCCACATCCACAAGCGAACCACAAACCGCAATTAAAAGATCGAGCAATACGCATTACAATACACTTCTCCTTATTTGCCAAACGTCTGACAGAATTAAAAACAATCAATCATACAGCTGTAAACTTCATACCAGCTGAATACACTGAAATTCTCTTGAACTCGAGGAAAGTGTTCATTAGAAGGAAAACACGCCACGAACGTATTCTTATCGAATACATATTTTAATGCTAAGGAAACAGTGCGTAGTTTCAGTAAACACGAAGATTCCGCGTGTTTTCCTCAGACTTTATCGATTATCTTGATGATTAAATTCTCTCGGACGAGCGCAGAAATAAGTGCCTATAAAATCGTACGAAAATAACTGCAGTATGCAAAGTGAGACACCTTGATTGTTTGCGATGAGATTAACAATGAACGGCGCTGAACAAATATCAAAATGGAGGAAGTGCGCTAATAAAAAACGAGGAAAACAATGGCAACTGAAGCGATCGTATCGTACTGTTACTAACTAACTGTAAACGTCTGACGAATTACGATAATTGTAACTGTCGAGATATATATCGTGTAAATATTGAAATTCATTGATTACTTGGATTACTGTAAATAAATATAGTATCGAAAATCGAAGGTGGATTGGAAATTCTTGACGGTGAAATCGACGATAATTAGAGCGAAGAAAATGGTTAGGTTAGGACAGTTTTTTAGGTTAGAAAGGAAGTGTATAAGTAAGGTAGAGGTTGTGTTGAACTTTTGTTTATACAAAACGCAAATTTCACTTTAGGATAAATTTCATAATTTCATTTATGTTGAAGTTAAGATGTCAATAAATGTAAATATTATTTGAAATGTACTATAGTATTTGTTGATTACTAAAATTTATATTTAAGGTCAAGAGTTAAGAAATCAATGAATGTCAGTATTATTTAAAATTTGCTATATAATTTGCTGATTATTAAAATTTATATTTTAAGTCAAGAGTGAAGAAATCAATGAATGTAAATATTATTTTAAATGTTCTATATAATTTGTTGATCATTAAAATTTATATTTAAGGTCAAGAGTTAAGAAATCAATAAATGTTAATATTATTTAAAATGTACTATATAACTTGCTGATCATTAAAATTTAGGGTCAAAGGTTAAGAAGTCAAAGGTCAATAAATGTATTATTTAAAATTGACTATGTCATTCGTTACTTATTAAAATTAATGTTAGTGCTTTTTGTGCATATCATTCTTATGTACAGTTATTATATTTGTACCATATGTATGATATATTATATATGTTTTGTAGTGCATTGATATGAAATATACAGTTTGACAATACATTTTAAAATTATTAATAAAATTGTCTCATAGTAACAATCGTTAAATCAACAACTTTGTTGAAATGATTTCTCTCTGTGATATTTTCGAATATTTCAAAAGTTTCTTTCTCTAGCAAATAAATTTTGTTCTATATTTACCGCTTACTTCTACTCGAGTTATCTTTCTCCAAGATATATTATCAATAAAGGAACATTGTATATAGAAATGATGGAAGCGTGAATATTTGATAGGTTTATCGTTCGAAGAGAAACAAGATCAAAAGAGATTACTAAAATCCAAAAATTGCTCAATGGAGCGTGGATTTTAAGCGTCGATACAAAACGTTTGGTAAGTTGGTCAACAGTGATATTTTCGACTGGTCGTTATGCTCATAGCAATTACGGTCGCGTGATTACGTTTATCGTAACATAATCACGCTTACCGTGACGTTCCGATTCGTGGCATACTTTCAGATACGCTCCACTTTCGTGATCCGAGTAAAATACGCGATTTCCATCGCGAATCTCGTGTTTACATTGGGCGTATGGAAATCTGGCCACGTTCGATTCGTCATTTGCTGACAAACGTTTTTTTAATCATTCTTACGCGATCTAGTGAAAATAGTTACACCGTGACACGGAATGAGCTGTTCAGGTTAAATTAAATTGCACTTTCAATTAACTCCTTGTTACTAACATTCGATATTTACTGACAAAGTTCTTGTACTAACAAAGTTCTTGTATTTTGGTGAACGTAAATTTTATAGTGAACGATGTTCTATAGATTTCAATTTTTATTTATTGCACATTAAAAGTATACTAAAATTGTACATTAAAATTTTGTTGGATTACTTGAAAATGATGCACATTTGCAACATATGATTCTCATTAAATAAATTTCTTTAATTTCATTTAATTTTGACTTTTTTTAATAAAAAATGCTTTTATAGACTCCTATTTAAAATATTTGTATACATACTATTTTTTTATAGAAAATTATGTCAATATTATCGTGTAGACACAACACAGACAATCAATGTAATGATACGTCGTTTTTTCTTTGATTAGGTATCATTGCACCAACTCGAAGCTGATCGTATCGTTAACAAATATTGAATGTACAAGACAATGCAGTTTGTTAATAAATATTGATAAAAAGTTATAGTTATCGTACATAAATTATTTTGTTGTGGGGTCAATTTTTTAAAATACATTTTTTTAAATTTTAATACAGTGAATAAATTAAAAATTTTTATTATAAGTGTAGCTGTTGTATATAGTTATTATATGTACTGTTGTATCATATGTGAGATTATTATAAAATAATATCATAATATGAATACAGTGAAATAATATTATATATTGTATTATTATATGTAATTATTATATGTATACAGTTATTATGTACAGTTATTATATACAGCTATTATATACAGTTATTTTATATGGTTTTTGTATGCAGTTGTTATATGCAGTTTATATATGTAATTATTGTATGTAGTTACTATATGTAGTTACTATTGTATTTCATGTGAGATTATTATAAAATAATATTATAATATGAATACAGTGAAATAATATTATATATTGTATTATTACATGTAATTGTTATATATAATTATTACATGTATACAGTTATTATAGACAGTTATTTTATATAGTTCCTGTATGTAGTTGTTATATGCAGTTAATATATGTAATTATTGTATGCAGTTATTATATGCAGTTGCTGTATGCAATTATTCTATGCAGTTATTATTGTATACAAGATATATTATTACACATTGAATATTCATTATCATACATCAAACTAAATTATCACATAATTATTTCATGTAGTTATTCAGTTATTACATGAACTTACTATTTGCAGTTATTAAATGAAGCTTCATATGCTGTTACTCTATGCACTTATAATATACAGTTATTATACACCGACTACATTATAATATATTAAATACTTATTATACTTGAAACTATCCTTTTCCCAGTTCCTTCCAAACTGAAGCATCAAACAAAATACCACAGTGACAAACATAACCATGTCCCTCTAACGTCCTCCTAACCAGATAAAATCACCGTACTCACCTCGACTTCAATGTACTTAAGCTTCCAAGGAAAAATACGTAAACGTCAAAGTGGGTCAGTTTTCCAGAAACGAAATCGCGTTCCGACTGCGGCGAGCAAAGAGGAAAAGCACGGAGCGGAGTCCGCGCCTCGACTGAAACACTCTTTCAGGAATAGTCGCAACCATGGTTGCCACAAATAAACTCCCCATGACATCACATCACGCGAGACGTCATTAAACGATCTTCTTTGATTGGCGCCGGTTATCGTGACGTCACACGTCACAAAATTTCATTGGTTTAATGCTGTATGCGTTAATGCGTGTAGCTCGGTAAGACGTCACATGTGAGGTCCCCGAGCGGCAACTCTGGTCGCAAAGATCTATCGCTGTGTTGCCGATGCACCTTAACGAACAGGAAAATCGTTGTGTAAACGCGGCCTTGGCATGCCTGATCACTGCGGTCCCTATAAAACGGACGACTTGCGGTTGCGACGGGCAGAGCTGGATCATTGTTCGCTTCGTCATGGTCCGATGTGTCGGCGATAGGGAACTAGAGTTTATGTATTATTCTTCTTGGGTTTCTTTGATTATATTGATTATGGGGTATGATTGGAGATAGAAAGAGTTTTGGGGAATTGGGGGAGTGAGAGTTGGGGAATGAGTATAAGGAGCGTTTGGGGTTTTGGGAATTTGGGAATTTGGGTATTTGGGAAATTGGAGACGGGGATTTGGAGATGTGGGATTTTGGGTGATTGGAAATTTGAAGAATTGGGGATTTAGAGATATAGGATTTTGAGAATTTGGGAACTTGAAGAAATAGGGATTTGGAAATTTGGGATCTTGGGTATTTGGAAATTTGGAAATTTGGGATTTTGGGTAGTTGGAGATTTGGAGGATTGGGGGATTTGGAGATGTGGGATGTTAGGTGATTGGAAATTTGAAGAATTGGGGATTTAGAGATATGGGATCTTGAGAATTTGGGAACTTGGAGAAATGGGGATTTGGGAATTTGGGTATTTGGGTATTTGGGAAATTGGAGACGGGGATTTGGAAATGTAGGATTTTAGGTAGTTGGGGATTTGGAGGATTGGGGGATTTGGAGATGTGGGATTTTGGGTGATTGGAAACTTGAAGAATTGGGGATTTAGAGATATGGGGTTTTGAGAATTTGGGAATTTGGAGAAATGGGGATTTGGAAATTTGGGATCTTGGGTATTTGGGAACTTGGAGAAATGGGAATTTGGAAATTTGGGATCTTGGGTGTTTGGGAATTTGGAGAAATGGGAATTTGGAGATGTGGGATCTTCGGTATTTGGAAATTTGACAAATTTGGGATTTGGAAATTTGGGATCTTAAGTATTTGGGAATTTGAAGAATTGGGGATTTAGAAGGTGGGAAATCTGAGAGTATAGGGTTGGAGACAGTTGGGAGTTAGGGGATTTCAGAACTGAAGGATTTGAAAAAATGTAGTGATTGGGATATTTGACAATTTGGACATTTACGATTTTTAGAACCAGAGAATTTAGCAATATATGGAGATTGGGAAATTTGAAAATTTGCGAAGTCGAGAACTAAAGAACTTAGGAACTTATGAATTTGAGAATTTATTGATTAAGAATATGGAAATTAGAAAACTTGACGATCTACAATCTGTAATTCAGTGTTGTTCAGTGAAAACTTCAGTATTTTAAAATCATTTCAGAATTTATACATGTAATATATGAAAAAGAGTTTACATACTGTAGGCTATATTATAGAATCTATTATAATTATATTATAGAATCTGTTATAGTTACAGAATATCTTATATTATAGAATATATTATTGTTTCCTAGATATTGTATAATAGTTAGTTTTCAATCTACATAAGTTTTATTAGTAATATAAAAAGAAACACTAACAGTCCGAAAAAGCGTTAATACCGCCATTTTCTACTAAGACAAATCTTCATGACGGTACTTCGTTCGAACGTCTTACTGATTACAGGACCACATGGTACGATCATCATCCCTTCCTCTCCTTTTCGCCCACAAGGTCTGTTTTTAACAGCTCGACGTTGTATATTCAACATTATACATATACATGTATACGGAAGCGTAACTTCCTCACATAACTGATTTCCCATTGAATTCACCTACCTACGCTTTTTTTGTCACTACCGCCCACTCTTCAGTCTCGGATTACAAAAGAATTAATTTTGACAGTGATTTAATTAAACTGTCATTCCACGAACAATGATTGAGAAACTTTTAATCGTTATTAAATTACGTCGCTCGAAAACAGAAACTGTATGACGTGGGACGTTGAATTTAAAATTTCTTTACGATTGAAAAAAAGAACAGAGAGAGGGGAAGTTATATATGAAATGAGATTAGTTTGCAGATATGAGATGCCGTGTAAACGAAGTTTCGTCAGAATGGGAAACGTCGTTGATTTCTCGTATGTGAAATGCTCGGCAGGAATATTATTCTTTGGAGAACAAAGGTGTTACTCTCTCAGCGTAATTATTCGTTGAAAGACAGCCGACGTTTCTTCGTTAATCACCGTTCTATTTGCCGTGTGTACACTGGACTTGAAAATTTTTTCGAATTAAAGAGGAATTTTCAGAATTTTGTTGAATTTAAATTGTAATGGTTCTTAAGTTAGTAGGCCATCATTAATGATTAGATTAGGTTAAGAAAACCACTATTAATGGTGGTTAATGTTTTTGAATTTTAATGGTTCTTAAGTTTCTAGATTTGTAAATATTCAAATTTCTAGGTTTGTAAACACTTTCCCAAATTTTCATCTCTTCAAATTCCAACATCCCCAAACTCCCAAGCTCCCAGATGCCTATATCCCCAAATTCCCATCTTTCCAAATTCCCATCTTTCCAAATTCTAACCTTCCCAAATTCCCAAGCTCTCAAATTCCTAAATCCCCAAATTCTCATCTCTTCAAATTCCAACATCCCCAAACTCCCAAGCTCCCAGATTCCTAAATCCCCAAATTTCCATCTCTCCAAATTCCAACATCCCCAAATTCCCAAGCTCCCAGATTCCTAAATTCCCGAATTCTCATCTTTCCGAACTCCCAAGCTCCCAAATTCCCATCTCTCCAAATTCCAACATCCCCAAACTCCCAAGCTCCCAGATTCCTAAATCCCCAAATTCCCATCTCTCCAAATTCCAACCTTCCCAAATTCCCAAGCTCCCAGATTCCTAAATCTCCAAATTCTCATCTCTCTAAACTCCTACATCCCCAAACTCTCAAGCTCCCAAATTCCTAAATCCCCAAATTTTCATCTCTGCAAATTCCTACATCCCCAAATCCTTAAACACTCAACTCCCTAAACTCCCATACTCATACATCCGCAAACCCTAAACTCCCAAAGTCACATCTCTAAACTAATCCGCAATCCTAACCCTCCCTCAAACTTCCATATCCTCAAACACGACTAACTATTTTATTAAATCTCCTAAAGTTATCTATCATGACCATGTCTTCTTTTAACACAGAAGTGTTAAAAGTGTTAAAAGTTACAAAAGTATTTGAATAATTTGTGAATATGTTGTGAATGGATCGTAGTCCTCAAAAATCTCTGAAAATCACAAAAGGAAATCAGATTTGTTGTTGACTGTACAGTCAGCGAATGCTGGTCATGTCGATCTTCTTTCGTCATATACGTCATCCTTTGCGGCGGAAGTATGCATGGACAGTTCATACGTATGCACGTGAGCGCATAAATCGACCTCGACGATCATCGGAATGTACTACGGTCGCTTATTCGAGGTGTGGATGCCAACTATACTCCGATTATGCAAATATTCGGCGGTAATAACGTTAACGATGCAGAAACGAATCTTCTACGCGCTCGAGCGCACACGTATTATGGAGACCTCGGACGATCGATAGTAAAGTCACCTGATATGGGATCCATTTCATTAAAAAATCATAACTCTTTATTAGGAACGCTTTTATTAAAGTTTCATATACCTTCAGAAATAAGACGTGTTCGGTAACTGATAAAATTCGGTTCGTGATCAAATAGTACATAAATAAAAGAATGAATTAATAATTTGAATCCTGGTTTCTGGAACTTTTGGTACGAGATGTATGTTTTAAAAATAAGGTGCAGACTGCTGGAAGAAATAACAGTTTGTTCTTGCATGATTGAATGGAGACGTTATACATAAAATTATATTTATACATGTACAAGTATGTGTAGGTACAAGTATAAATTCTTAATAAGAGTTTCAGTTTGTATATTTATGAACTTTTGTTAAAAATTTGATACGTGTTGTAAAAATAAGATGTGTTCTCATGCAAATTATAGTAACTGAATTTTGTTACCCTGTAATTAAATAAATACGAAAATTATTAAAATATACAAGCAAGAAATGAATTTCTAATTCGAATCCCAGCTTCTGAAATTTATGTTTGTTATATTTTTTTATAAATTAAATATATGAGATGTGTTTCTTTGCCTTCATAGTTTGTCTGAGTGCATCCATAATATTTCATATTCTTCATCGTTTAGTATTAAATTAACATAATTGTACATAAAGTACACAAGGTATTATCAAAGGGTCCTCGAAAATTGCGATGCTGAAGTTTTGTGAAAAAGTAAAAAAAAAATAGGTTTGACTATTAACATTTTTTATCCAGATTTTTAATATCAATTTCCTAGAGTCTCACATACAAAAATAAATTGTCAAGTAGCAAATAATATAAGTAGCTTCAAGGCTGAATCTCCATTGTTCAATGATGTGCGACTAATAAACATTAAACTCAACTGCACGCACTAAATAACGTATACGAAAATGATTATACAGTTAGCACAATATTTGAAATTTAATCATTTCGAAAATTATCTACGACACAATTCAGAACTATATATTTGCTGAAGAAGTTTAATTGACTTCAAGAGTGCGTATAAAATATGCGAGCAATTAGTTAAGAAATAAAGGAGCCTTCATACATTTTTTAAAAGTTAACGGAGATAAGTTTGAAGTTTCATATTAGCTGAGGTTTTGGTATTAGCTTTATCGTGTTGTCAATATTTCAGGGCTATTAATATTTATTGACAGTATTGAGACATCAATATTTATTGGCAATATTGAAATATCTGTTGGCAATATTGGAATATCAATATTTATTAGAAATGGAATATTAATAATATTGTATTGACAGGGTATATTAATGGCGAGAATCTTGAAATATCGACAATGCTGAATGATAAATACTGGCAATATGTTGTACGTTGTCTGAGGTCTCCATTAAATGAGATTTTCACTTACGCCATTTTGTCATTGTCTCCCTTGAACTGGTAAAGTTCGAACAACGAATTTAACTATTAATTTATGGAGGAATAAATTGAATTCGTTACTGGAGACTGTAAAATGAAAGAGATAAATTGTTTCTGACAGTTGTGTTTAAATAAATATTAAACAGAAGAAGTGTAATTGTTTTTTATTTAAAAACCCTTCCAAAAATCGATTATCCCAAAAAATTATTATAAACACAAAGCTATATTGGTGTTAATAGGCAAAAAATAAGAGAAAATTATAGAAAAATGCATTAAATAGAGAAAAATACAGAAATATTTACAAAGGTCTGCGAAATAATTTAATAAATTTGATTTTATGTGCACTAGAATTTTATGTGTACGTTTTGTGTATGATACTGTTAACGCCATCTCACGGAGAGTTGACAAAGTACATAGGAAAAGATGATATAAGAAAAGGTGCTTTTACGTAGTGTTTCAAGTTTACAGATTTGAAAACTTTTAACTTTAAAAAATTGGTCATTTTATAAATTTTAAATTTGGATATTTGTGACATGATAAAGTTCTCAATTTGAAAGTTTGTAATTTTGCAAATTTGAGAATTTGTGACTTTAGAAGATTTTAAATTTGAAAATCGATGATTTTGCAGATTTTTAAACTTAAGAAATTCTAATTTAACAAATTTTTAAACTTGTGAATTTGACATGTTGTAAATTTCTAAATTTACAAATCTGTAATTTTCAGATTCCTGAAATAAAAATTTGAAAATTTACAACTTTCTCAATTTCTCAATTTAAAAGTAAATAGATTCAAAAGTATGGAGTCCTGTAAAACAATGCAGTTGTACAATAAAATTAACATGCATGATTTCTGAAGACCTTGAAACCATCCCTGATTGACTCTCAAATAATTACCATTTAATATCAGTACAAACAAATAATTTCAAATTAAACAATATTTTACTTTGTCTCCTATTTCCTGCGAGGGTGCATTTCACCCCGTCTTTTCATCAGCTACGACCCTGCAAACACGTGGCACAGCTGGTTTGTGTTGACCCTCGATCGTCATGACAACTCGAACGATTACTTCGTCAGTGTTTCATAGAAACCCCACAAAATGCATCTACAGAACCTTAACAAACTACATAACTACTCTAATTAGTTTTAAATAGTGTCATTAATTCGGAAAGAATCAAAATGGTAGTCGATGACAAACGGAGATCCCTCATAGTAGCCACAGCAGGTCACTTCTTTGGTGTGAACTTGGAAGACGAACAAACTATCAAGGACGAAGAATCGGTGCTTGATAATTTCCTGGATAGATCCACGTGTAGAACACTTTGTGCACAACCGGATACTGAGTACGAAGGAACGTCATTGAAGCTCAGTAATGAATTACCTGTTGGCAGAAATACCTTGGTCTTCTTCAAGGTATGGTTCTAACCATAGTTATTTAACATTGTTATTATGAATTAATTCTTTGCATTATTTTGATGAGTCTGACACATTGGTACTTTAGCTGTGATCAATTTTACTTGAATTTTTAATTGCTCTTCTTCAAGGTAGGGAAGTTCTAACTATAGTTATTTAATATTGTTATTATGACTTAGCCCTTTGCAGAGGGGTTAACCCTTTATTTCTACGAGTCTGACTCATGACACACTGGTACTTCAGCTGTGATTAATTATTTTTCCAATTTTTAATTCAACTTGTAGGAATTATAGTTCAAGTCCATTTGTCAAGTCAAAGTCAACGATTGTATAATACGAAATTGACGTAGCATTTCAACTTTCTTCCAATATGAATTCTAATATTATATCTATGATTAGTTTTGACTGACGCACCCGAGAAATAAATTATAGAGCTAGGTATTAAGGCAATTACTTCAAACTTTCAGTTCATAAAGTTCTACGTCAAAATTACCGACTGTAGCAATGACATGTAGCCTTAATATGTACGCAACAATATGTAACAGTGAATTGAATAATTAACAATATATTGATACAGGTAAAAGAGGCGCCAGTGACAGAAACAAATTTCCACGACCTCGTTCACGTGACTACAACAGGCAGCGGCAAAGGATCAACCTTAGTCGAGGCTCTTCGTCAAGTATGGGTACCCACCCTTCGATCTTCCGGTCTCGATTCTTCGTATCTGAAGAAGTTGGAGGAGAACCTGCTTGGTTCATCAGCCACGACTTCGGTTTTCGAGGAGGAGGATTATTGGAGAAAGAGATGGGAAGACGCGAAACGTTCGCACGATAGAACGATCTTTGCAGAAACCGTGAAAACGTTGAAAAGCATCAGGGCGGAATTAGAGAGTGCGGCGGTGTCCAGGTGAAGTATCAAAATTCGTATAATGTTCATTCCCCATGTAGGAGTAATATTATATCTATGATTAGTTTTGACTGACGCACCCGAGAAATAAATTATAGAGCTAGGTATTAAGGCAATTACTTCAAACTTTCAGTTCATAAAGTTCTACGTCAAAATTACCGACTGTAGCAATGACATGTAGCCTTAATATGTACGCAACAATATGTAACAGTGAATTGAATAATTAACAATATATTGATACAGGTAAAAGAGGCGCCAGTGACAGAAACAAATTTCCACGACCTCGTTCACGTGACTACAACAGGCAGCGGCAAAGGATCAACCTTAGTCGAGGCTCTTCGTCAAGTATGGGTACCCACCCTTCGATCTTCCGGTCTCGATTCTTCGTATCTGAAGAAGTTGGAGGAGAACCTGCTTGGTTCATCAGCCACGACTTCGGTTTTCGAGGAGGAGGATTATTGGAGAAAGAGATGGGAAGACGCGAAACGTTCGCACGATAGAACGATCTTTGCAGAAACCGTGAAAACGTTGAAAAGCATCAGGGCGGAATTAGAGAGTGCGGCGGTGTCCAGGTGAAGTATCAAAATTCGTATAATGTTCATTCCCCATGTAGGAGAATGTTAATTCAATTACTCCATGATGTTAATTTAACATATATGTTAATTCAATTACTCCATAATGTTAATTCAATTACTCCATGATGTTAATTTAACATATATGTTAATTCAATTACTCCATAATGTTAATTCAACATATATGTTAATTCAATTACTCCATAATGTTAATTCAACATATATGTTAATTCAATTACTCCATAATGTTAATTCAACATATATGTTAATTCAATTACTCCATAATGTTAATTCAACATATATGTTAATTCAATTACTCCATAATGTTAATTCAACATATATGTTAATTCAATTACTCCATAATGTTAATTCAACATATATGTTAATTCAATTACTCCATAATGTTAATTCAACATATATGTTAATTCAATTACTCCATAATGTTAATTCAACATATATGTTAATTCAATTACTCCATAATGTTAATTCAACATATATGTTAATTCAATTACTCCATAATGTTAATTCAATTACTCCATAATGTTAATTCAACATATATGTTAATTCAATTACTCCATAATGTTAATTCAACACATGTTACTTCAATTATTCCATAACGATAATTCAACATATAGTCATAATTTTACGATCATATATTCGGACAAAATTTTGATGATTAGATGTGATCAATTATGATTCATTTTCATTAAATATTTTGGGAGGGTCGAAACTCGGAAGCTGATAATTCTTCTCGAACACTGAAATTAATGTTAGCTAAAATTTGAATTTAATTAGGGATGGATTGATCGGGGTGGAGGATGCTGTCGAGGCAGTTTCGGGATACGTGGACGATTTATGGAAATTAGGGGATGCTGTGTACTCGGAAGAGCGTATGAAATCTTTTCTGAACGTCATCGGGGATGAGGTGGTTTCCCTTGTGCAAAATACAATCGACGAGGTACAATATAATTTTCATTTAAGACAAATTTCAATATAATTTTCATTTACTTTACTTTAATGATAATTTAAATTTTACTTAAAATAAGGTATGATATGTCGGTGGATATAAATTAAGATATATATTGATATTGATTGGTCAAAGTAGATCCGAGTGCCGGATGATCGAGTGAAGATCGAAGCGATATTAACAGGTGCGGAGATCTGCGAAAAGTGGGCAAATATGGCAGAGAGATTTACCACCTTGTTTTGGCCTCATCACTCGCTGCATTCCTGGAAGGGTGCGAGTTATGTTCCTGAAAGGTGTTCACGAATTGGCAAACGACTTAGGTACTTATGAAACCTTCCTCCATTTTTCAGTAACTAATTTACCTAATATTTATTTAAATATTCGTGATGTTTAGAGAGATTGCAGAATTACGTGCTCAGTATCGACAACTAACCAGACTTCTAACACCCAGCGAAAGATCTGGACTCGGTACAGATTCCTTGATGCAATGTTTCGATGACGTTAAAGGTACTTCCACATTTTTAATTTCACAAAGAAGGCATATTTCTAAAGACAAGGTTCCATATCAGTTGTCTTCAACGACGACGAGAAAAATGTCGATTGGAATCGACTGAAAAAAAAAATCGAAGAAGGTTTAATACCCGCTGAGGATCGCGTTGCACAGAAACTGAAATCGCAAATTGCTGATGCTACCACGCCTAATTCATTATTGGCTGAATTCCGACGATACTTCGAGTTGATGAAGAGGGACGGCCTGAAACGTGCTCTTCGAGGAGAACGAGAGGCACTGCTCTCTGCCTATGCGGATCTCATTGGTAATATTTGAAAAAAAGTTATGAAGTTCTTAAGATACTCATGGAAATAACAATCTGGATTTGGTATTTGTACACTGTGATGTTACGAGATAACGTTCGCTGCGGCTCACAAGCCTAACGCTGGTACATCTTTTCAGATTTAAGTAATTTATGATTTGTTAGGTTCTATCTTATTATCATTAGGTTTTATAATTATTTTAATCTTTACTAGTTTTCAAGTTCATTATTTCTTGAGAGATCATTTTACTTATTTGATAAGTTCATTTCAGTTAATTTTGGAGAAGTGATAGAAGCAATAGTTAAATATTTTTTATAATTGTTACAGTACTTGTATACATACTATAATTGTTATAGTATCTGGACATATGTAATTATCATATGTGGACATACTATACAAATATCACAATATGTGGATATATTCTGTAACTGTTACAGTATATGCATATCTGTATTCTTATAATTAGTGCAAAATTATGTTCGCTATAATATTCACATCATAGATTCGATTCGAACTCCATAATCACTCAAATTAATTTAAGTCCCTCTCATTTAAATTTCTCTTCATGTTCACCCAAAGAAAGTTGCCTGGCTGGTCCCGACACCGTCGACTTGTTAGACACCCCCAGAATTCTTCAAGAAGTCCAATCCGCAAGGTCAGCCGAGCTCCGTCTGGAAAGTTTAAACAAATTAGGCAAAGAACTACTATTAGACCTCCCTGGCTACGAAGAGGTCTCCTCAAGAGTAACAACAGCGCAAAAGGACGTCGAGAAGAAGAGACAAAGCCTCGTCGACACTTGGGTAACTCTTAAACAACCAAAACACTGAAACAAACCTTAAACAACCTTACACCCTACAACCTTAAATTCCACAGACAGAGGAAACGAAAGAGGCGGTGGAAAGAAATGAATTAACCTTGGGCACCGACTCAGCAGTGGTGGAGTTAACGGGAACCAGTATGATGAGGGTAACATACGATCCCAGACTGATGACCTTGATTAGAGAAGCCAGAGCTCTGTCGAGTCAAGGTATCGAACTTCCACGAGAAGTTAGGGACCTCGTTGAGAGGGCAGGGTCACTGGCGGGTCGTGCTCGAGCTCTTCAACAAGTTGCCACTTTCCATAACACCATCGGCGATCGCATGGTGCCGTCTCAGCGACCTTTGATGCTGACGACCGCCTTGGAGCTGGCTCGAGCTGTTCAGGAACAGAACGGGGTTGTTTGGTCCGATCCTCAGGCGGTTGATGCTTATACTGCCAGATTGAAGGAACTGGTAAAACATGTCATTGATTAATTGATAGATATTGTGCTAGGTATATTGATACTTATAATGTATTATACACAGGTGTATATCTGTGTAGGCATATTAAGTAGGTGGGTTTGAGGTATTCATATGTGGGCTAACGTCGAATAGTCTTAAAGGTTTTGTACATTAACTTCAAATAATATTTATGTGGGATTTATGGAGCATGTGTGTCATATGAGGATATGAAATATAAGCAAGACTTCAAAAGTTTTTACAAATTAACGAATACTGAGCCTCTTCGGTTGCCATGTTTTTTATCTTTACAAAAGCTGAAACTAAGGGATGAAACTCTTAAAAATTATATTAATTTAAAAAATAACGATGACCCCAATTTTCTTACACAGACTAAATGTCTATAATATGAGCTTCTGTGAATTTGTTTTTATTGCAATCAACCCAGGTAAGAAAGTTTGCGCAACAAAACTCCGAGCTGGCAGCAAAACACAACTTGCTCCGAGATCTCGTGTCCAATTTGCTAAAAGGAGACACTGTTAATTTGATTGGAAATTTCAACACATGGAAAGAGACATTAATGAACATGAGGACGACTGTCGATACGGTGGAGGCTGAATACGGGAACACGACAGCGTGGAAATTGCATTGGGACCGACAATTGTTAAAAGCCTTAGGTGTAGCTTACAGGTACACTTCTAACCACAACTTCCTAACTCAAAGCCCCGAAACATCCATTTCAAATCACGTACTGATTCAATCCGAGAAAAAGCTAAAAAAGATTGAAGTTTCTCTAAAAAATCACCGAAAGAGTTGATCATTTTCCATTATGCGGAGAAAATAATTTTTAATAATCTCGAAATGCGTTTGGTCGTCTTTCAAGATCGTAATGTTCAATTTTCATATTCATGAATGATTTGCATGAAACAAACGAACGAGGAATTCTCTTCTGCTTCAGAGGAGCGTTGCCGACTTTGCTGAAGAAGTTATCGGAAATTAAAGTGGAACTGACGTTTCGGGATGGATGTTTGCAATGGCGACCGCCGCTCGAGGAGATACGAGCGAAATTGTACTCGTCGATTCGTCGATCGCTGTCGATCCCCATGAATTTCAGAGGCGTCGGAGACGCGGCGGAAGCACATTTTAGCGACCTCATTCAAAGGAGCGGCTATCTCTTCGGCGGCGTCTACAAACAGGCCGAAATTGCGCTTTCCGCTCTGGAAACGCTTCGAATGAAATGGCTGTATTTGGCTGCCCCAGCGAAAATCGATGTTGCTGAACGGTACGAGTCTAACAGCCATGTTATTGCCAATAAATCTCTTATTACTCGAAATCGTGACAAATATTTATGGCGTACAATTGACGATCTCGTACGTTCCACATATGTTACGGAAAGTGGTTCGATATGTTCACAGTTTTTGTATTAGGGGATATTGGTATTGATGGAATTGAGGAATTGGGGTTTGGTAAATTGGGGAAGTTGGAAATGGGGTGTTTGGAATTTGGGATTTTTTGAAGTTTGAAGTTGGGATGTTTGGAGAGAATTTAGGATATTGGTATTTAAGGGAATTTAGGAATTTATGGAATTTAGGGAATTTAGGGAATTTAGGAAATTAAGAACATAGGATATAGAAATTTGGGAATTTGGATATTTGAGAAATTTGGAATTTGGAAAATTTGGGAAATTTGGAATTTGGGGAATTTGGAATTTGGGGAATTTGGAATTTGGGGAGGTTGGAATTTGGGGAAGTTGGAATTTGGGGAATTTGGAATTTGGGGGATTTGGAATTTGGGGAATTTGGGACTTGGGGAATTTGGAATTTGGGGGACTTGGAATTTGGGGAAGTTGGGACTTGGGGAATTTGGGACTTGGGGAATTTGGAATTTGGGGAATTTGGAATTTGGAATTTGTGACTTAGGAATTTGAGGAATTTGGAGAATTTAGAATTTGGGGAATTTGGAATTTGGGGAATTTGGAATTTGGGAAATTTGAAATTTGGTAAATTTGGAAGTTCAAACATTGAAACCTTGAATATTTGAATTTTTAAACCTTGAAATTTAAATTTTGACTTTTGCTGCCTCAAGAGCCTTAATAATTTTATGGGTTTAGAACTTTGCTACTTCAGATATCGATGTCATAATTCTCTGCTTGATTATTTTCATTATCACGAAAAATTTTAACAAAGAACATTATTATACATATACTTTTTCCAATTGTTTGTTTAAAAAGGTTGAAAGGACGATCACCACAGGAATGGACAAGGGCCTTCAAAGACGCCAAACAATGGGCACAAGAGGTTAGCCACACAATAATACAAAAACACTCAATTACCCTTTGAACTCTCTTACTTTCAACTGTATTTCCATTTCATAAATTTTAACTTCCACATCAAAGAAACAATATATTTACAATATTTACAAATTAACAAGTTTCTCCACTTCTATTAATCTATTCATAATTAAATATTCCCTACTTCCAAAGTCTGAATATTTAGGACCTGAATATTTTGGGTCACCGACGGTTAATCAAACGTGACATCAAATTATAAAATGATATTATCTATCCATAATTTATGAAATTTTGAATTATGAACAAGGTGGGCAGATTACGAGGTAACGAGGTGAAAATTTGGTGCATCAGCGTGGACACAGCGACAACCAGGAACGATTTAGAATCAGCTTCGCGTCGTTACTGGGAACGTCTCTGTTCCGATTTAAGGGTGGAAGCCTCATCGAGATTAGTGGCAATCGTAGAATTTCTTTCATCAGCGTCCAAGGAACTCGAACGAAGACCTCGAAACGTGGAGGAAGTCGGAGTAGCTTATGAAGCTCATGCACGAATCGAAGAGCAATCTTCTGGCATGGCCGAGGAAATGGACGCCATTGTTGGTCTTTCTAAAGTACTCGCTGCATGGACTAGCGAGAAACTTGAAGGTAAATTTCTAAATTAGATTTTTAACTTAGATTAACTTGGGACAAATTACGTTTCGATGTTATTTCAAAGTTTTGTGTGGTTAAATTTTGTGGTTGATCTTTTGCATTCGAAAGGTGCGTCATCATTCTGTTCAATAAAATTTGAAATTTTTTATATGATTATATTGTTAGATTTATATTATCAGATGTGATGTGTGGACATAATGAAATGAACAAGAGTAATAATTAATAAAAAGATAACTTCAAAAGAATTTATTAAACTTTTCAACTAAAATGTTCAACTTGCTATCTGCCTCCAGCAAAAGTACCTTCAATTGCAAGAGTTTAATACTTCCAAACATAGTACCTTCTGATAACAAAATTACTGTACCATTCTTCACATCCTTTTTTAGTATAACCTTAAAATAATGGTGTTAAAAAGTAGACGTTAATGTATGTACATGATAAATTATGTAATTAATATTTCCAACTATAACACGACCTGATAACAAAATTATTGTAGTATTATTCACATCCCTCTTTTTAGTCAAATCCCAAAATATTAAAAAATGTTAAAAAATAAGTGTTACTGCAATTATATAGCATGGCAGAACCTGACTAATCATCTGGAACATCAAAAAACTTGTAATCATTTTCTGGCATAAATGACAAATAAAATAATTAATAATTTGAATCATAACATGACTTTCTGACATCAAAATTATTGTACCATTAATCACGCGTCTCTACACTAAATTCCCAATATTATAAAATTTTGTTGAATACTAAAATGTGTCAAAAGGTGTCAGTGCAGCGTACACAGCATGGCAGGACCTAACCGACCGCCTAGAGCGCCACAAAACAGTAATAAGTCGAGAACTCGAGGACGCGAAAGTGAACCTACGACACAGAGCAGTAGCCCTGCGAGACGAGATCGAAAGATGGCAAGCAAAATGGACGTCCAAGCCAGAGATCCCCAGTTTGGACTGGGTCATCTCCATGCGAGAGAGATGGACGAACCTAAAAGAACAACAAGATGTCCTGAAAAACGACTGTCAAAGAATCGGTCTGAACGTCGACGACATTCTAGAGGACAACGAAGAAAGTATGAAGAAACTGGAGCTGCAACTAGACCTGGAGGAGTCGAACTGCAGATTCCAGGCAGAGTTTCTGGAGGAGTTGAAGAACCAGGAGGAGGAAGAGTGGACCGTCGCGAGGAGGAGGCTACCCAGACTGCACGATTGGCTCGATTCCTGGGAAAATAGGATCAGAGTTCAGTTAAAGGATGAATCGATGAAGAAGGATAGTTTGGAGATGGATACGTTTGTGGGTAGAAAAGTGCGCGAAGTTAGGGCTGGTATAGAGTGGTTGCAACTTTTACGGGGGGATGAGATCGCGGAGGAACATTGGGGAGAACTAATGCCGCTTTTGGATTTGAAGAGCGTGAAGAATGCGAGGGATATCACGTTGGGTCATCTGTTTCGCGCTGTTGACAAGATTCAAGAGAACACGGAAAAGATAAAGGTGATATATTTTGTAATATTCAAGATTTATGATCTAATGTTTTGAGAATCTTCGAGTTTGCATCGCAACTAAATTCCAGTTTGTAACTTCTTTAAATTTCTCATACTTATTGCTAATATTATCTTATCGCTTTACACTTGACATAGTTTTTTTATTATTTCGAACATATGTTATTTTAGTATATGTTATTAAATTGTGTTCACTATTTTGTGGACAATAGTTTTGTCAGCATTGTAAATAGCTTTTTCAAAATTCTGACAGAAATTGATAGATTTTGACGTAACTGTTTTTCAATGTAATATTTGACGCTTGAAGATATTTTGACGAAATAGAAGATACTTTATTTTAGACATGATTGGAAGCTTCGTGCCTTGTTAAATGTTGTATATGATGTGTGATGATGTATTTTATGTTCAGGAAATAACGAAAAGAGCTGCGGCAGAAAGTGGTATTCGTCAAGGGTTGATGGAACTAGAGTCCTGGGAAGCATCGTCTTATCTTCAAATTCAGGAAGCAAAAGATAGTAGGAATGCTAGTATACTTCTTGTTGATGATTATGGCAGCTTACTAGCCAGGGCAGGTAAATTTTCACATATTTTTCTTAATTTAAATTTTGTCTGTTAAAAATTTTGTGGACGTTTTAGAAAATATTTACAAGAGTTACATGGTGAAATTTTATGAACAAATTTATAAGTTGCATTAAATTAAAAAATTAATTAAAAAGTGTTCATATATTTCTCCTAAAATTTTAGCAAGTTTTGTCTACTGAAAACTTTTTGAATACTCCGGAAGAAATTTTTAAGGGATGTTAATTTATGAAATTATATCAAGGAACGTAGAAAGTAAATTAAATAAAAGAAGTTAGATTTTAAAGTCACATTAGAAGTTACTCAAATTAAATTAAGAATTGATTTTCTAAAATCGGAAATTCAATTCCTTGAAAGGTGAACTGAGGTTACTACTGGAGGGTGTGAAAGGAGCCGCAGGATACGAGAGATTCGCGACAAGGGTTGCAAGATGTGAAGCAGGATTGTACGAAGTTGAAGAGAGAATAAAAGTCTTGAGCACGATACAAAGAAAATGGGTATATTTAGAACCAGTTTACGAAGGAGGGGCAGCTCCAAATGATACTGGGAGGTGGTCGAGGGCTAACAAAGAATTTAGGTGATTGAACGAAAACCTAATTACTTAAAATCCAAAATCTGGACATTTTATACAAAAATTGTTATATATTGCTTGCCTATGAAAAATTAGTTCATCTAAATTATTTTTCAGTAAATAACTTTTTATATTTTGAATACTTAACATTTTTTAATTTAATATTTAATATTTGCTTGTTTATTACGTGTTCATTATTGTGTAAAGGAAACAATTTCCTGTTAATTGAAAAATTAAATGACTAATTAAATAGTGGGTGGAAAGACTTAATTATGCAAACAAATATTTAGGTACTTAATGGGAGAGGTATCCCGAGATCCAAGGGTATCTTCTTTGAGACGGCTTCCTCTTTCAGCTTTTGCAAACTTGAAGGACCTCCTCGATCGATGCCAGAGAAGCCTCGATGAATATTTAGAGGTACTACAGAATCTCTATTTAATCGCTTTTTCTGACATTTTTTTTACTGTGTTCAAATTTCAAAATGGAAATTCTATAAATTTTTATGTTAATAAATTCAGATTGTCCATTTGTCGAATTTCCAAATTTTGAAATCCCCAAATCTCCCAAATCTCATATCTCCCAAATCCCAAATCTCCCAAATCCCAAATCTCCCAAATCCCAAATCTCCCAAATCCCAAATCTCCCAAATCCCAAATCTCCCAAATCCCAAATCTCCCAAATCCCAAATCTCCCAAATCCCAAATCTCCCAAATCCCAAATCTCCCAAATCCCAAATCTCCCAAATCCCAAATCTCCCAAATCCCAAATCTCCCAAATCCCAAATCTCCCAAATCCCAAATCTCCCAAATCCCAAATCTCCCAAATCCCAAATCTCCCAAATCCCAAATCTCCCAAATCCCAAATCTCCCAAATCCCAAATCTCCCAAATCCCAAATCTCCCAAATCCCAAATCTCCCAAATCCCAAATCTCCCAAATCCCAAATCTCCCAAATCCCAAATCTCCCAAATCCCAAATCTCCCAAATCCCAAATCTCCCAAATCCCAAATCTCCCAAATCCCAAATCTCCCAAATCCCAAATCTCCCAAATCCCAAATCTCCCAAATCCCAAATCTCCCAAATCCCAAATCTCCCAAATCCCAAATCTCCCAAATCCCAAATCTCCCAAATCCCAAATCTCCCAAATCCCAAATCTCCCAAATCCCAAATCTCCCAAATCCCAAATCTCCCAAATCCCAAATCTCCCAAATCCCAAATCTCCCAAATCCCAAATCTCCCAAATCCCAAATCTCCCAAATCCCAAATCTCCCAAATCCCAAATCTCCCAAATCCCAAATCTCCCAAATCCCAAATCTCCCAAATCCCAAATCTCCCAAATCCCAAATCTCCCAAATCCCAAATCTCCCAAATCCCAAATCTCCCAAATCCCAAATCTCCCAAATCCCAAATCTCCCAAATCCCAAATCTCCCAAATCCCAAATCTCCCAAATCCCAAATCTCCCAAATCCCAAATCTCCCAAATCCCAAATCTCCCAAATCCCAAATCTCCCAAATCCCAAATCTCCCAAATCCCAAATCTCCCAAATCCCAAATCTCCCAAATCCCAAATCTCCCAAATCCCAAATCTCCCAAATCCCAAATCTCCCAAATCCCAAATCTCCCAAATCCCAAATCTCCCAAATCCCAAATCTCCCAAATCCCAAATCTCCCAAATCCCAAATCTCCCAAATCCCAAATCTCCCAAATCCCAAATCTCCCAAATCCCAAATCTCCCAAATCCCAAATCTCCCAAATCCCAAATCTCCCAAATCCCAAATCTCCCAAATCCCAAATCTCCCAAATCCCAAATCTCCCAAATCCCAAATCTCCCAAATCCCAAATCTCCCAAATCCCAAATCTCCCAAATCCCAAATCTCCCAAATCCCAAATCTCCCAAATCCCAAATCTCCCAAATCCCAAATCTCCCAAATCCCAAATCTCCCAAATCCCAAATCTCCCAAATCCCAAATCTCCCAAATCCCAAATCTCCCAAATCCCAAATCTCCCAAATCCCAAATCTCCCAAATCCCAAATCTCCCAAATCCCAAATCTCCCAAATCCCAAATCTCCCAAATCCCAAATCTCCCAAATCCCAAATCTCCCAAATCCCAAATCTCCCAAATCCCAAATCTCCCAAATCCCAAATCTCCCAAATCCCAAATCTCCCAAATCCCAAATCTCCCAAATCCCAAATCTCCCAAATCCCAAATCTCCCAAATCCCAAATCTCCCAAATCCCAAATCTCCCAAATCCCAAATCTCCCAAATCCCAAATCTCCCAAATCCCAAATCTCCCAAATCCCAAATCTCCCAAATCCCAAATCTCCCAAATCCCAAATCTCCCAAATCCCCAAAATCCTCAAATCCCCAAAATCCCCAAATCCCCAAATACCACAATCTCCAACTCCTCTATACCTAAAAATATCTGTACCCTTTAAACCCAACAAGACCGGAAGTTAGAACCTCATAAAGCCTTATAACAGGTTTGAAAGTTCGCTCATATCTGAAACTGCAATATATCCTGGTTTAAAGGAGAAACGATCATCCTATCCGCGTCTGTACTTCCTCAGCGACGAAGACCTTTTGGAATTAGTGTCAGCCAGTGGACGAGGCTTGGAAACTCATCTACCGAAATTGTATCAGGGCGTCGGCTCGATAATAAAGGACGATAATGGACTGACGGCCGTAGTGTCGCCAGAAGGTGAAATATTACAGTTATCCAACCCCGTCGATCTTCGCGATCCATTACCACGATGGTTGAGCAACCTGGAAGAAGCTATGAAAAATGCTCTTCGACAAAGCTTGGAGAAATGTTTGGTTGACGTTACTCCTGATCCATCTGCCTATCCAACTCAAGTAATTTATTTTTCTTTTGCTACTACTTCAAGTATACTCTGCTTTTAACCATTCTAATAAAATACCAATTCTAATATTGGTATAGTATAGTATCAATAAGAAAATAATAGAATTTTCTGTCAAGGAAATTGATTAAAGAACAAGTTTTGTAATATTATACATTTACAATATTTTAATTTGGTTTTACAAATAATAATAAATAAAAAATTTTGTAGAATTAATTTATATTTAGCAAACTGCCTAAAGTTTGTAGAACATTATTTATAAACACGATCAACGAACAGTTAATAAAACAATAAAGAATTAACGTAAGGATAGTATTATGATACGACAAGTGAACCGAGGAGTCGATAAAACGTCACTAGACTCGATGCAATCGAAATAAATGGGATTCCATTGTATTTGGAGGGCGTTTGTTAAGGTTTTGCTACTGGCGGAGAGGATTCGTTTCACGGAACGCTGCGAGGCGGCTTTAAAGGAAGGTCGATCGGCTTTGAAGAATTTGGTTGAATATCTGGAGACACAAAGAGCGAGATACAGAGGCTTGGAAGATGCTGGTGACAAATTGACGGCATTGAAAGCACGTGGCCTTCTTTTGGACGTTGTTCATCATCTGGAGGTAGCTAGGAGCCTTTTGAACGTCACTCTTCGAGAGGAAAGCGCCGTTTGGACCTGGCAGAGACAACTAAGAAGCTATAGAACTGTAAGATTTGCTCGGTTTATTTCACAGATATCTGATGCAAGCTTCGTTTAATCGATGTTTACGAGACCACGTAAAAACTTGTTACTGCACCTATGAAGACACTTGTGTTTGTACTTAAAAAATTTAAGTGGTTAGTACGTAAAAATTTACACTTGTAAACAAAATTATTATAAATTATAAACACCATTTTTGATATTTATTTTTGATGTGTATTTATACGATGACAATTATGGAAGTTCAAAGTAAAGTTTTAAATTTTAACCTCGTATTAATTGCATCATTATGGGAATAAACATGACTCGAATTTCGCTGTACCACGTAATATTATTGTGAATATTTAGCAAGGATAAATATTTGGCGTAAATGTTTATTGTTGAATTCATTCGTGATGTAGTATAATTAATCGATGTAGTATTAACAAGTAACTGTTTAATTTTTGCTGGAATTTTCTCTTTGGATTGCTTTCATACGCATCGGTATATCTGTCTTTAACCCCTTGCCTTGCAGTATCTCTAACACGTGATGCACTTACTGTGACGGTTCAAATGTGAGAAATCTTACTGCAATTTTTAATACACACAATTTAGAGTTTGTCGAAATATAATTTGCATTGTCAAGGATAGCTGAATAAAAAATTAACATAACATTTCAACTTCCTTTCTTTATTTCACTACTGTAGCTGTGATTAGTCTGTTTCGATTGACGCACCCGACAAATCATAAGGCAAGGGTCCAAATAAAAAATCCAGAAAATTATGTCAGAATGTAACATTTAAAAGAATTGAATGAAATTAAAGAAATTCAAAACGTATCATTAAATGTATGAGATTTAATATTTTTTTTAATTCTTTCAATTTTAATTTTTTGAAGACCAACGTTTTATTTCTTAAAAGAAAAAATTTCTTGTGAGATTTTGATTATTAGCAAAATGAATGTTTCTGTAGAATAAAGGACCAGTGGTGCGTTGCGCTGCAGCAGAGTTTCCGTACCGCTTCGAATATCAGGGTGCAGCGGTCGGTTTGGTTCAAACACCATTGACTGAAAGGTGTTTCTTGGCTCTCACTCAAGCCATGAAACTTGGTTTGGGTGGAAGCCCAACTGGGCCAGCTGGAACTGGAAAAACTGAAAGCGTCAAAGCACTTGGAGCTATTCTGGGAAGACTTGTGTTAGTCTTTAATTGCGATGAGGGTAATTCTTTGAAGTTATGCATTATTTCATTTCATGGTAATATATTTCAAATTTTTAAAATTGAAAACTTGTTAATTAGGACGTTTCGAAATTTGTTAATTTGGAAATTGAAAATTTGTTAATTTGAATTGAGCATTTGGAAATTTGAAAATTTGGGAATTGAAAATTAGTTAATTTGGAAACTTAGAAATTTGTTAATTTGGAAGTTAAAAATTTCTTAATTTGGGCATTTGGAAATTTGAGAATTTGGGAATTGAAAATTAGTTAATTTGGAAATTTAGAAATTTGTTAATTTGGAAGTTAAAAATTTCCTAATTTGGACATTTGGAAATTTGAAAATTTGGAAATTGAAAATTTCCTAATTTGGGCATTTGGAAATTTGAAAATTTGGGAATTGAAAATTAGTTAATTTGGAAACTTAGAAATTTGTTAATTTGGAAGTTAAAAATTTTTTAATTTGGACATTTGGAAATTTGAAAATTTGGGAATTGAAAATTTCCTAATTTGGGCATTTGGAAATTTGTTAAGTTGAAAATTTGAAAATTTGGAAAAGGAAAATGTAGAAATTTGAAATCTCTTAATTTTTACCTAAATACCAATATTCCTAAATCTTCAAATTTCTAAATTTCCAAATCTTCTATTTCAAAATTTCTAAATCTAAATTCTTGAATACAGTACAAGCGACATAAAAAAAATACAATATAAACAATAATTCTAACAAATATAATTTCAATAATAATTTTAACAAATACCAATAAGAATCAGTAACCCATCAAAAAACCCTCCCCCAGGAATGGACACCGGAAGCATGCGACGAATTCTTGGCGGTTTAGCTCAAGCCGGTGCATGGGGTTGTTTCGACGAGTTCAATCGCCTCGAGGAGGAAACCCTAAGCGCTGTGGCGATGTTGGTCAGGCCTCTTCAAGAAGCTGTTCGCGATAGTTCACCTCAAGTTTTGTTAGGCGACCAGAAAGTGAATCTCGACCCACATTGTTGCGTGTTCATCACGATGAACCCTGCAGGCTCAGAATACGGTGGACGTCGCAAGCTGCCAGATTCTTTGGCTCGGCTGTTCAGACCCATCGGAATGGCTCATCCGGATAGATCTGACATCGTGAAAACTTTATTGGAGTGTGCTGGATTTTTGGATGCTTCGATGCTCGCGAAACAACTTGTGGAAGCGTTTGATATCGCGGAGATTCTTCTTTCTAATCAGCCGCATTATGATTGGGGACTTAGGACGTTTAGATCTGTGCTCGATGCCATTCCGGTGAGGTCAGATATGGATGAGACTAGCAGGTTGGTGATTTTAGGTTCTTCTTTTTTTAGACGAATGTTCTTTGTACTTTTGGGAGGTTTTTAAGTTTCTGATTTTGGGTTTTAAACTTTTGGTGCTTTTGGCAATTTTTAAATTAGTGCAATGGCAATTTTTAAGTTGATTCTTTGGTAATTTTGGAGTTGGTAGTTTGATGAGTTTGGTACATTTCAAATTTTGCTCACTGACACTTTTAGCAATTTTTTATTTAATATTAAGGTATCTTTGGTAATTTCAAATTTGGTGGATTGATGACTTGGGCACATTTCAAATTTTGCTCACTGACACTTTTAGCAATTTTTTATTTAATATCAAGATACCTTTGGTAATTTCAAATTTGGTAGATTGATGAGTTTGGTAAATTTCAAATTTCTTTCTTTGATATTTTTAGCAATTTTAAATTTAACAATTTGGTACTACTGGCAATTTTAAGTGTACATGTTTTGATAGTTTAACAATTTCAGTCTTGGTTCTATGACACCTCTGATACTTTAAAATTTAACCCTTTGTAATGATGGTAACTTAAAGTCTAAACTCTTGACACTTATAACAATTTTATATTTGATCTCATGTTGTTATTCATAACTTTAGGTTCAACACTTTAAAATTTTGAAGTGGCAAGAGAACAATTTTATAACTTAAAATTGTGTCGTCTTTTTTAATGTTATATTAAACTATTTTACAGTTATAATTTCGTATTCAACACCTTATTACTTTAACAAACCTAATTTTAAATCCCTACACTTCCAACAGCTGCATATTTAACCCTCTATCACTTGAATCAATTGAATATTCAATCCATTACCACTTCAATCAATTTCATATCTAACCCATTATCACTTTAATTAACTTTATATTTAACCCATTATCACTTTAATCTGTTTCATATTTGATCCCTCATATCTTCAATCAGTTTTATATTTAACCTCTCGCCACTTCAATCAATTTTATATTTAACGTATCAATGTTCCAATCATTTATTATTTCATCCAATATCATATTTGATTCAGTGGCATTTCTAATTATTTCAGACTTAAATTCTTGATATCTTATGACGGAACATTAACTGCATAAAAATGCAGGTATATAACCTATTGACACCTCCGTCAATATAATCGCGTATTTATTTTGCAGACTTGTAGCCGCGATCCGTGCATCAACGTTGCCTAAATTGACAGCAGAAGACACTCCAAAGTTTCTTTCGTTGTTAGAAGACGTATTCCCGAAGGTGAATCCTTCAACGTCCACATTTATCGAAAGACAGGATTTGCAGAACGTGTTGATGGAGCTTTGCGCTGATCAAGAATTTGGCAAAGAAACGGCAAACAGATGCATTCAGTTAAATGATCAATTGAGAAGCAGAACCGGTGTAGCCATTGTGGGTCCACCAGGAAGTGGCAAAACAATTATCAGGAAATTGCTGTGCGATGCGTTGACGAAAATCGGTGAAACTGTTGTGCAGTTTCATGTGTTTCCTGGCGCTATGCCCAAGTCGAGGCTTCTAGGAAGAGTTGATCCTCAAACGAGGTAAAAGTTTACTTCATTTGAGTAAAACATAAAATTACTTTTCGATAAGGGCATACACGGAAACTTGACAATTTCCTGATTTCTGAACTATTAGGTTTTCAAATTTTCAGTACTGTAGTTTTTTATTTCGTTAATTTTTCAATTTCTTGATTTTTCAATTTTTCAATTTTTTGATTTTTCAATTTTTTGATTTCTCAATTTTTTGATTTTCAATTTTTCAATGTTTGAATTCTTCAATTCTTCAATTTTTCAATTTTTCAACTTTCCAGATTTTTAGTTTTTCAGTTTTTCAATTTTTTAATTCTTCAATTCTTCAATTCTACCATTCTTCAATTTTTCAATTCTTCAATTCCTCAAATTTTGATTTTTTAAAGTCTTTAATTCTTCAATTCTTCAATTCTTCAATTCTTCAATTCTTCAATTCTTCCATTCTTCGATTCCTCAATTCTTCAATTCTTCAATACTTCAACCCTTCAATTCTTCAATACTTTAACCCTTCAATTCTTCAATTCTTCAATTCTTCAATTCTTCAATTGTACCTTTGAATTTTTCAATTTTCTAATGTTTCAATTTTGAAGTCTTTCAATTCTTCAATTCCTCGTGTTTTTAAATTCCTAAAACTTATAAATTTTTAAATTGCCCGAATTTACAAACCTGACGAATGCTGAAACATTCCCCAAAATATTCCCCAAAATGATCCAACACCTCATTCAGAAAACTGATCTTGATAACATATATCCTTAATCAATGCCAACATCATTGCATGTATTTTTCTACAACAAAATTTTTTCCTGAATTATATATCTACATAAAGAAACAGTAATTGATAGAAATTGACACACTTCAAAAGAACATTTCATTAATCGCTTGGAAATTGAAATAACTTTCAGGGAATGGAAAGAAGGACTTCTATCTAGCGCAGTGGCATCAGCTGGTGATTCGACAACTTGGATCATCTTCAACGGCGACGTCGAACCAGATTGGGCCGAAGCTTTGAATTCTGCTTTGGACGACAATCGATTGCTAACTTTACCCAACGGCGTGGGTGTGAAACTTGGTTCAGGAACAAAGTAAACTTCTATATTCCACTTTTTCTCTTATTTTGCAAAATTGATTTCAACACAAAACTTCTATATCTTATTTTCAATCTCAATTGGATCTCAAAACAGATTTATCTTCGAAACACATAAACTTGATGGTGCCAGTCCAGCAACAGTTTCGAGGTTAGGGGTCGTTCACTTAGGTACCATAAGTCCATCTTCATTGCTGATATCATCGCGATTGAGAACACTTCCTGAAGCAGCGAAGGAAGTGACAAATTCTCATCTTTGTCTTTGTATCGAGGAGTGTTTGAAGATCAATGCAGACGTTTCTTCAGCACCGGGTTTGATGAATTCTGCACTCTGCCATTTAATGAACGCTCGAACTCACACTTCGGCTTCCTATGGTCTGCTGGCGTCTTTATGCAGTCAAATAGAAGATGAAAATCAGAGAAACGAGCTGGCACGCTTTATTTATCAATCGACAGATTGCTGGTGAATGAAATAATTATTATTGATAAGCGGTTCCTGATTCGAACCTCTGTTTCTGAGGTTATTGATGATGGAGAAGTTGAAATAGCTAAATTTTGTTTGTTAGGTGTCCAAATCCACAGAAACCATGTTATGTTTTGTATAACGAGGATATTGATCGATTGGAAGATGCAGGGGAGGCTGATCGAGCGATTGACACTGAAGATGGCCCTATTTGTCTTTCAGGTATTATGGAGGGTGGTGTAGAAATATATTATGTGAGTCTATGTTTTGTAGTCTATGTTTCATAAGTTTGAGGATCAAGATAAATATTGAGTTGTATTTATAATAGAAAGTTTAGTAAATTTACAAAATCTTGTACATCAAAGCATTTCATCCAATATAATGTAACCTTTGATGTCTACAAATTTAAAATCTTAAAATGAAAAAAAAACTGATGTCTCAAATGCCGAAATTCTATAATCCTAAAATTGTAAAATATCAAAATCCTATAACCCCAAAATTGTCAAATCCTAAAATCTTACAATCCTAAAATTGTCAAATCCCAACATTTCAAAATTCCGAAATCTCATAATCTCAAATACCTAAAATTCCAAAATCCTACAATTCCAAAATTGTAAAATCCCCAAAGACAACCCCAAAATTCTAAAATCCTAAAATTCCACAATCCCAAAATCCCAAAATCCCAAAATCCCAAAATCCCAAAATCCTACAACCCCAAAAATCCCGAACTTCCCTATTTGTCAAAGTGCAAAACTCCCAAACTTCCAACACCTAAATCTTCCTAAGATTTCGATTGCACCATAAACTTGTATTTCAGGCGCAATGAAAGGGGCGTTATCATCCGTTTTACCGTGGATCAAGAATAATCAGTCCATCATGATAAGGGGTCCAGATGGTTGCGGGAAAAGTGCCTTGATATCTGTCATACTTTCTTCCATTCGGAGCAACGAGCCATCGACTTTGATAAAAGGTTCATCCCTCTACGGACCCCAGGACCTTGTGATGAAATTGAAAAGGGGTTGCGTTCAATTGAATTCATCTTCCCACGGACGAACGTACAAACCCAGGAACGGATCGAGGGTCGTGTTAATCCTGGAAGATCTACATCTTGCATCAAAGCAGTTACAAGTAACTTATTAACAAATAATACTTTAAATGAAAAATTTAGATGTTATCTATGTACTGATGTGAACACACGAGTCGACGCGTTGGTCCAAAGTAAAAGAAGCTCTCACTGTGAACACTTGCAGTTACATTTCGGCAAATAAGAATGATGATAATAACAGCTGCTGAATGCAAGTAGCACTATCTTACTCTCGAGACATTTGCCTGTCATTGTTTTTCGCCTAATTGGCGACCGCGAGAGTCAATACCGCCGAAAATACGTGTGAGGCGTTCATTTTTCTATTCTGACCAATTGCAGTAGCTCTTCTGAACACCTCAGCCTCTTCACGCGCCAGCTCGTGGGTTGACATCGGTACCTTCTTTCTCTAACAATCTATCGTGATTTAATTTATTACGCGGTTTAAAAATGTTTCAAATAAATAAAATATTCTTTCAATTAATTGCGTCACGCTGATCCCATTTACGAAACTTTGAAATTTTGTTCCTTGATTTAGCGATTGAGACTCTTATTTTAATTTTATATGCGTCGAAGCGACAGCAAGATGTCTGACGAACGTTCACGTACAAGAACAGCATCGTGAGAAAAATTCTGTATCATTATCGTGGATGTAACTAGATAGGGATATCGGGATGGATTTGAATTCTTTTATATATAGCAAATTATACATTTTCAATTTTTTAATCTTAATTTTTGGGAATTCTTCATTTTCCAATTTTCACGCGCCAGCTCGTGGGTTGGCATCGGTATACACTGTGTAAGCTTGAAATTGTTTATTATTTATTTAGGAGCTGGTGCGAGAGTTGATGCAAGAAGGAGGATTTCACGAAGAAGATTTAGAATTCGCTAGAGTGCCTTTGACCATTATATGCACTGCTGATGAAACGAGCAGATTGCATCCGAGACTGGAAGCGCTTTTGTGTACTCATTATCTACCGTTAGTATTGCTTTCCATAGTCAATAAACAATTTTCTGAAAATCTGTGAAATGCAGAATATGAGTACTAACTAATTTAAGTCTGGATTGTTTAAAGATTCAATGTGAAATTTATCAATTAATGTGACATTTGACATGAAATAATCAAGTTTTTTAAAAGCATGTATGTGCAATGCATAATTTGTGCATTGAGTTTAAATTTTATTATGAAACTAATGCAATGTAAAATTTGTATATTGAACTGGGTTTAATATTTAATTTCAAAGTAATGCAAAGTGAAATTTGCGCATTGAAGTATTTTAAAATTTAATTTGAAAGTAATGCAATGTAAACTTTGTACATTAAGCAAGTTCAAAATTTAATTTGAAGAATAACTTAACTTCAAACAGGAATACAGTTACAAATATAATACAAATATAAATATGATGCAGAGTATTTTATAAAGAATGCAATATACAAATTTTTTAACATTAATTTTGAAGTTTATTTCAATTAATAGATATCCAAGTTCGAAAGACATCGCAGCCATTTTGGAGCTTCATCTAAAGAGTTCCTTGAAAGGGAATAACACCGTGATCGAATCTTGGATCGCACAGATGGTACCAGTTATGCTCGAAGCTTTTAAATCGATCAAATCTTCTCATGGAAACGTTTGGACTCCCAAGGATTTGATTTTGTGGGCAGATAGCTTGAAATATTATCCTTCGCCAGAAAATGAAACGAATATTACGGAGTATTTGCTGGATGCTGGAAGAAGACTGTTTAATCCAAGGCAATTTTTCAATGAAGTTATTTTAGATATTGTTAAGTGCTACATTATTACTTTCTTTCAAGGTTTAAAATTTCCAAATATTCAAATTCTCAAACTCTCAAATTTCCAAATTCTCAAATTTCCAAACTCTCAAATTTCCAAACTCTCAAATTTCCAAATTCTCAAATTTCCAGATTCTCAAATTCTCAAATTCTCAAATTTCCAAACTCTCAAATTCCCCAATTCTCAAATTTCCAAATTCTCAAATTCCCAAATTCTCAGATTTCCAAATTCTCAAATTCCCCAATTCTCAAATTTCCAGATTCTCAAATTCCCCAATTCTCAAATTTCCAGATTCTCAAATTCCAAATTCTCAAATTTTCAAACTCAAATTTCCAAACTCTCAAATTTCCAAACTCTCAAATTTCCAAATTCTCAAATTTCCAGATTCTCAAATTCCCAAACTCTCAAATTCCCCAATTCTTAAATTCCCAAACTCTCAAATTCCCAAACTCTCAAATTTCCAAACTCTCAAATTTCCAAATTCTTAAATTTCCAAATTCTCAAATTCCAAAATTCCAAAATTCCAAAATGCCAAAGTTCCAAAACTCTAAAACTTCAAAACTCCAAAATTCCAAAATCCCTAAATTTCTCAAATTCTAAAATTTTCTAAATCACTAAATTTTCTAAATTCCAAAATCCCAAAATCACCAATTCCATAATTCCCTCAATCTCAATATTTCCAAAGCTCCAAATCCTAAACTTTCCAAATTTCTAAATAAACCTACCAGTCCACAAACGAACATCTTAAATAATTATTCTCCCACATTATTCCATCAACTCCATGTGACAATTGCAAACAATTTTAACAATTCTAACCATTCAATTTGAATTTCATCAGACTGACGTCGAAGGACCAATCCCGGTGGGAATCCATAATCCTCTCGAAGACGTTGAAAACCCTGATGCCAGGAAGCGACGTGTACATATGGAAACGCGGGAACAACGGGTTACTTCCGTCGGACGAGGAACAGTGGCGGAATGAGATAATTAACGCTGCAGCGAGATGTGCCAGAGAAGGCGATCCTGTGCAAGCATCGATTTCATCTCACCTGTTGCGCACTGTGGCCGGTAAGCGTATTAAATTAAATTAATTGTACGTTGTTTCCAAACGGCACACGTTCTGTCTGGTCACTTTGTAACTTTAATAAGAGTGTACTGGTCTAATACGTTAGTATTAAGTCTCATCGCCGTGGGATGTTCATGGATCTGATGTTGGTTATGTTAGTTATGAAATTCATTAAATTACAATTATGTTAGTATTGAAACAAATTCACTGCAATTCGACATAAAAAGGAACCTAACCAATACAAGACAGTTAATTAGGTTCGTGTTATTCGAAATCAGGTTTTACTTGTAATTAAGTTTTCTTTTAGGTTTCATAACTATTTTATAATCTGAAATATAGCGTATTTAAACAATTGTGTTTTTATATATCTACAGTCATAATGAAAATTATTAAGTATTGTCAAATTAAAAAATATGAGATTTTTTTTGTTAAGGATTGAGCTGGGCTTTCGGAACGAACTTACGAGGTGTAATTCTAATTGGACGACCTGGAGCTGGAAGAAAGTCGGCAGTGAGACTCGTTGCTAACTTTTCGTCTCTTCGATTACTGGATTCTGGACCTGGTATATTATTCCAATGATATACATATGTAGAAGACCACTAAAGTTAAAATCATTGCTTTTCGTAAAAAGTCACTTGCATATTTCTTCTGCAATGTAGAATTCTTCTCTTGAAATAATTTAAACTATGCTTTAATCATGTCTTCATATTACTAACACTCTTAGAGTTACTTTTAAATCAAGGAAAATCTTTCTGTTACTACTTTTATTTTGTACAAATCCAGCAAACAATTTTTAGAACATTTCATCCGTATTTATCGAATAAAATTATTTAAAACTTATTTACAATACAATTATTACTAGTTATTCGTAACATTATTTTGTAACACACAGGCTGGTAGAATGTCTTCATTGCTTTCAAAACTTGAATATCAAAAATAAAATTAGAAAACAATTTCTCCTGATAAATTAAAAATAATTATTACAATATTTAATAAATAATTTGCACCTTGAAAACAGTTGAGAAATTTTACCAAAACATGCAATAATTTATAAATAATTTTTATTAAATTTCAGAAAGTGTTTTCTATCAAATAATTTGAACCACCCTAAATTGAATAATGATTACAGAATAATTGATCTAAAGATTTACCTTAACATTTATGAAATTAATTTCATGGAATAAAAGTAAAACAGAACAGGTTTCATGTAAAATGCTCAAGCGATTACAGAATGAATTTAATAGGTCGTGGTCGAGCATCGATGAAAACTGCAGTTCAGCTGGCTGGCATTGATGGAGAACCTACATTGCTTTTGCTGGAGGAGCATCATATGAGAGAGGATGGATTGGCTGTGTTGGCGAGTGCAATTGTATCCCGAGGAGAACTTCCAGGTTTATTTACAGTAGAAGAACTCGACGGTTTAATAGCGCCGTTGGCTGACGTGGCGAGACGAGAAGATTTTTCGGGAACGTTGGAACAGTACCTGTATCATCGTGAGTTCAGAATTGAGAACTATTGAGAAATTTTACATATTCTTTCCTTTATTTTAAAGATAGAGTACGTGGAGGAAGATGTAGACTGTAAAATTATTATAAAAAGTTGAAATTTGGAAGTTGAGGAGGGTGAGGAGTTGAATTTTTACAATTTTTAAATTTCCAAAACCCTAAATTTCTAAGTTCTTTAACTCCCAACTCCCTAAATTCCCAAGTCCCTAAGTTTGGAAATCCCTAAATTTCCACGTCTCTAAATTTTCATACCCTTTAATTCCCAAATCCCTAAATTTCCACATCTCTAAATTTCCATACTCTTTAATTCCCAACTCCCTAAATTCCCAAATCCCTAAATTTCCACATCTCTAAATTTCCATACTCTTTAATTCCCAACTCCCTAAATTCCCAAATCCCTAAATTTCCACATCTCTAAATTTCCATACTCTTTAATTCCCAAATCCCTGAATTTCCAAGTCCCTAAATTTCCCACTCCCTAAATTTCCAAGTTCTTTAACTCCCAACTCCCTAAATTCCCAAGTCCCTAAGTTTGGAAATCCCTAAATTTCCACGTCTCTAAATTTTCATACCCTTTAATTCCCAAATCCCTAAATTTCCACATCTCTAAATTTCCATACTCTTTAATTCCCAACTCCCTAAATTCCCAAATCCCTAAATTTCCATATCTCTAAATTTCCATACTCTTTAATTCCCAAATTCCTAAATTTCCAAGTCCTCAAATCCCCAAATCTCTAAATTTCCAAATTCTTAAATTTCCAACTCCTTAAATCCCCAAATCCCCAAATCCCCAAATCCCCAAATCCCCAAATCCCCAAATCCCCAAATCCCCAAATCCACAAATCCACAAATCCACAAATCCACAAATCCCCAAATCCCTAAATTCCCAAACGCCAACATTTAGCAAACCCCAAGCTATTCCTAACAAAACTTCCATAAAAACCTTCCACTCCATAAATAAACCTAAATAACACTCCCTAAAGTCTATCAATCCTCCTAAATTCTCAGGTTTACGAAATTACCTCCGTGTCGCAATAATCCTGGACACCAGCGAGATGCGTTCATCATGGCTACCTCGTTCCGGGCTCCTCAGGAGCTGCGTCCTGATCGGTCCAGGCATAAACAATGAATGGTGGACCTGGGAGAGTTCGTTGATCGACTTAGCCTGCAGACAAAATGGCGTGGATCCCGAAGAAGCCAATGAACAAGCGGGTATCAAAGTGATGGTGAAGGCGCATCTTCAAGCACCTCGACAGCAACAAGCTCCAGCGAGATTCTTCGCGTTGTTGCACACCTGGAAGCACTTACACGTGTCCTGGAGCGAGGAGGTGGAGCAGAAATTGAACAGCCTCGAAGCTGGCATCGGAAAATTGAAAGAAGCCGGCGAACAAGTGGCTAAGTTGGAGGATGAAGTCTCGAAGCAACGTCAAGAGCTGGAGGTAGTTGCTGTTAACTTTCTCGATACTTTTTTTTTACATGATATTTAAGCTCCAACTTTTAATTCACTGAGGAGGAAGTTTTCAAAGGGTAGTTTTACCGATACGTCGGATTTGTTGGGGTTTTATTGGCTTTACGGAGACGTTACAGATATTGGTTAAGATATAAACGATGTAATACGTAAAATAAAATGTAATGGAATTAATAATATGGTGTGTTATATGCAAGCTTATATATTCTGTGAATTGTAAGATATTTTATAAAGTATTAGTTAGAACATATTAATTTTTCAATTTATAAGGAAGATTTATATCGATCAAGATATTCATTTAATCATCACATATCTCTACATATGTGTGAACTACCTAAAACAAGCCCTGTATCGCCACATATGTGCATAGTAATCCGAAACATGAAGCCCTATATCTCCACATATGTGCATAGCACACCAAAAATGAAGTACTATATCTCCACATATGTGTAGAGTATCCAACATATGATGCCCTATACCTTCACATATGTGCACACCAAAAATGAAGTGCTATATCTCCACATATGTGTAGAGTATCCAACATATGATGCCCTATATCTTCATATATGTGCACACCAAAAATGAAGCACCATATCTCCACATACGTGTAGTGTATCCAACATATGAAGCCCTATATCTTCACATATGTGAACAGCACACCAAAAATGAAATACTATATCTCCACATATGTGTAGAGTATCTAACATATGAAGCCCTATATCTTCACATATGTGCGCACCAAAAATGAAGCTCTATATCTTCACATATGTGCACAGCACACCAAAAATAAAACACTACATCTCCACATATGTGCACATTACCCCCAAAATATAAATGACTTCCCACATTTCCAGTACATCAATAACTATAACAAACGAACATAAATTTAGGCTGAACAAGGTCGAGCTAACGCAGCCCTCGAGCAAATAACAGCCACCATGCGAGGAGCCACAGGTCAAAGAGGAGAGATGGTGAATTTAAAAGCAGAAACCGAACGCGAGAGTGCAGAGCTTGCACGTAGAAAGGTAAGAATTCTCTTCTCTTGAAGAAATAGCGGAGTAATTAAAAAGAATCGTGATTTGTTGTTTAGGCGGATATAGAAGGAGAATTAGGAAAGGTAGAGCCATTAGTGGAACAAGCAGCTCAGGCAGTGGCTGGTATTAGTGCTGATGCATTAGCAGAAGTTCGTTCTCTGAGAGCACCTCCAGCCCCAGTTAGAGATGTTCTGGAAGGGGTTCTTAGATTAATGGGTATAAAGGACACGTCTTGGAACAGCATGAAGACATTCCTGGCGAAACGAGGGATTAAAGACGAAATTAGGTAATCAGGATACTACGTTCGCGTACCGCTTGAGTTTCATTTAAGTTTCAGTTGGGTTTCCTGAGGGAATTAGAGCGAATTCGGGGGTTTTAAATGTTGATTTGTCGATTTTGAAGTTGTCGAAGTTTTTAATTATTGAACTTGTTTGCTGTAGCCCCTGTATTTTGGGGTCTTTCAAATTTCAAAACATAATGTCGTCAAGCCTTCACATTTACATGGTCTTATGGTTCAAAATTAATATATGCTATTATGTATGGCCAAATGTTTACATTTCCAAATTCTTATATCTCTAATTTTCTACATTCCCAAATCCTTATATGTTTAAATCCCTATATACCCTAATCTCTATACTCCCAAATTTCAAAACCCTTAAATTCCTATATCCCTAACTTCTCACATCCCCAAATCCCTACGCTCCCAAATTCCTAGATCTCCAATTTCTCACATCCCCAAATCCCTACGCTTCCAAATTCCTACATCTCCAATTTCTAACATCCCCAAATTCCTACGCTCCCAAATTCCTACATCTCCAATTTCTAACATCCCCAAATTCCTACGCTCCCAAATTCCTACATCTCCAATTTCTAACATCCCCAAATTCCTACGCTCCCAAATTCCTACATCTCCAATTTCTAACATCCCCAAATTCCTACGCTCCCAAATTCCTACATCTCCAATTTCTAACATCCCCAAATTCCTACGCTCCCAAATTCCTACATCTCCAATTTCTAACATCCCCAAATTCCTACGCTCCCAAATTCCTACATCTCCAATTTCTAACATCCCCAAATTCCTACGCTCCCAAATTCCTACATCTCCAATTTCTAACATCCCCAAATTCCTACGCTCCCAAATTCCTACATCTCCAATTTCTAACATCTCCAAATCCCTACGCTTCCAAATTTCTACATCTCCAATTTCTCACATCCCCAAATCCCTACGCTTCCAAATTCCTACATCTCCAATTTCTAACATCTCCAAATCCCTACGCTTCCAAATTTCTAGATCTCCAATTTCTCACATTCCCAAATCGCTACATATCTAAATTCCTATGTATACAAATCTCTATACCCCCAAATCCCTACATCCCCAAATTCCTATATCTCCAAATCTCTACATCCCCAAATTCCTATATTTTCAACCTCCCACATTCCCAAATTCTCATATCCCAAAATCACAACATTCTCAAATCTCCACATCCTTGAGTCGCTATACTTCCAAATCTCTACCTTACCAAATTCCCAAATTCCAACATTCTCAAATCTCTATATTTTCAAATTCCAATATCTCTAAATATCTACCCACTTTCCCTCTCCAAACATACAACTTCTCAAACTCCCCAAAATCACCACCCAAATATTAAATCCTAAAATCCCAAAATGTGAGATTCAGTCTTCCCTATGCTATCATTTTCGATAGCGTAGTCTTGAGGAAGCCTATCACGCTCACCAATATATCTAAAAGCTCTATTCTCCCAAAGCTTCGACATTCAACTAATTCAATTCCGAACTACTATAAACACCCTATCCTAAATTCTCCATTGCACGAAACATTTCACAGTATTCTTTGATCTCCACAACGTTTGATCTTCATCAAACGTCAATAGCTTGTATGCAACTCATAGTTACCCTGTTCTTCATCTCCACATCGTTCGTCCGAAATATTCGTGCAATTTTCAAGGGGCTCTTTGTTGGATTCAGAACGTGGGACGCGAGGAGGAGTACACCATCGAGTCTGGAGGCTGTTGCCAAGTTGGTCAAGGAGCGTCCAGATAGTTTTGAGGAGAAAACCGCGAAACGAGCTTCGGTTGCCGCTGCGCCTTTGGCTGCGTGGGTCCTTGCGAATCTTCAATATGGCCAAATTCTTCAGCAAGTGGCGCCTCTGGAGCGCGAACAACGGCAACTTGCTGAGTATGTACGAGATCCTTCAGAAATGTTAGCATGCAGTTTTTTGGGATGTTTTTTGGATGCAGTTTTTTAGGATGTTTTTTGGATGCAGTAACATTTTTGCTACATTTTTCATCAATCTGTATAGATTTATTTTGTAATTTTGACTATTTTGTAATCAGTCACATTCACATCTTTTATGTGATATTTCTTTTTTAATTTGTCATCTTTGTGCTAATCTGAAGAATATAACATTTGTGGACTTAAATGAGTGACTGATTTGATCAGTACAAGTTTATGGATTAGGATGAGGATTCGTCTGATTAGAATAACTTTGTGGACTAAAGTAAGTAACTCATCTGATGAGGATAACTTTATGAACAAAAGTAGGAGATTCATTAGATGAAGATAGCTTTATGCACAAAGATAGGGAATTCGTCTAACTAGAATAACTTTGTGGATTAAAATAAGTAACTCATATGACGAGGATAACTTTATGAACAAAAGTAGAAGATTCATTTGTTGAAGTTAACTTTATGGACTGAAATGTGGATTCATTTAATGAGGCTAACTTTGTGGACTAAAATAAGTGATCCATTTGATGAGAATAATTTTGTAGACTAAAATAAATGATTCTCTGATCAGAATAACTTATAGATAACTTCATAGAAAACTTTATAAATGGCTTCATAGAAAACTTCATAGAAAACTTCATAGAAAACTTCATAAATAACTCCAAAATAACTTCACTAAAATAAGGGACTCGTCTAAAGGAAATAAGTTTATAAACAAAAACAGGGAATTCATCTCACAAGGATTTACAAACAGCAACAATTGATTGCATCTAAATTAATTCCACAGACGTCTGTCAGCAGCCGAAGCTCAGATCGGCAAATTGGAAGCCGGATTGAATACAGTAGAGAGTCGCGTTGCTCAGCTTCAAGAACAACTCGCAGAACACTCGAGGGGTGCAGCTGCTCTTCAGCTGCGAACAGAGGCAACAGAGGCAAGACTAGCAACTGCCAGGGCATTGTTACAGAAATTGGACACCGAACATCGTGATTGGCAAACGCAACTAGAAGAATTAACTGCCAGAAAGGAGAGATTGGATGTTGAAGCTGCTAACGTGGCATCTTTACTGGTTTATGAAGTATGCGTTCATTTTCATTTATTAAGAAGAGACAGTAGGTGGAGAAGATTTACTGAAGCTTTTTGTTTTTATTTATTTGTTGAAATGATGTATCGTATTTATTCAATGTATCATATTTATGATATTGATCACATTATTCATTAAGGATGAATGAGATGTGTTTTAAGAAATGAATGTATTAGACATGTAAGGTAGATTGTTAAGAGTTCATTCAGTTTAATAATTGAAAGACTGGAATGGGTCTTTTCAAGTTTGAGGTGATGTTGAAGTAGGTAAGTTGGAACATGTGGAGTAGTCTAGATAAAGCAAGATTTTATTTAATTGCAAATTTAAAAGGTTAAAGTGAACTTTTTCGTGTTCAAATCAATATATGAGCAGATAAGACACGTGATATGTGGTGATAGGACACTTGCAAACTTGAGAGGTTAAAGTGGAACTCTACTTTCTTCATTCTGATCTAAGACTTAGGTACATAATTACACATATGTGACATAGGCTAACATCACGCTATTTATCCACAAATTTTGCTGTTTACCATCAAGTACTACTTTCTCTATTTTCATTCAAGGTTTAAGGAAATAATTACACATATGTGACATAGGCTAACATCACTTGATTTACCTAAAAATTTTGCAATTTACCAAGTACTACTCTATCTTGACCCAAGACTTAAGTACATAATTCAACCATGTGACATAGGAGTATGTGACGTGTCATAAGGAGTATGTCACATAGAAGCATCATTTAGAAATTATATCATCAAATCCTTCTCCATTTTGATCCAACACATAAACAAACAATTCTAAACCCAGGATCCCGGAAGAGACGACAAATGGAAGAAATCCGCCATCGATCTCCTCATAACCGAAAGAGAAAGACTGCTCTGGCGAGCGCAGGGTCTACCAGTGGACACCGGAAGCCTAGTCGGCGCATCCTGCGCCCTGAGAGGTCCACTGGTCCCCATATTCGTCGATCCATCAGGATTAGCAGTCTCCTGGTTGAGAAACAACGTTGGTTCCCGAATGGAAATCACGAAACCAGAGGATGCCAAGTTCCTCACCACTTTGGAGATGGCTGTGAGATTTGGAAAGCCGTTGCTGGTGGAGGAACTTGTGCAATTCCCGTCGATATTATTGCCGCTGTTACGAAGGCGTCCTCTGAGACTGGGCGAGCGAACTTTACCTGCTCCTCAAGGCTTCAAACTGTTCCTGGCCACTAGACGAGACAAATTGGATGGCTTCCCGAAGGAAGTTGACGCGGTGCTCTTCAAGATCGCACTAGGGGCGGGCAGCAAGAGCCTCGCAGAGAGGTTCGTCGAAAAAGTAAGGAAATTGAATCGAAATTTTTGTAGTAGGTCAGAAAATTTGATACATTCTTTTTATTTGAAGGAATGCTTCATAAGCTTCTTATTTTTAACTGCAAAATTTTTGGGGATTTTTTGAAAGTGTTCACTTTTATCGAGCTGAACATTTATCGAGTTACCGATGTATGGCATACAATATTTCAAGTTCATTTATTTACATTTTCTATCAAGTATATTTATTTACATTTCTATTTTATTTTTGATCTCAAAAAATATGTATATGTGTCTTTGATATATTCAATGTTTTTATAACACTTCACATTTGATACCCAAATCCTTCAACATCCACTCATCGTTGAATTCCCCTTATTTGAATATTTTTCAATGTACACCTTAGAAATAGACGAACAGAATTAATGATAGTAAAATTCGAAACAAGAGTTCAGAAAGATTAATCGGTCTGCGGACAGGTTTTGTTAAAGGAGACACCTGAGCTGGCGACACAAAGAAAGGAGGCGTTAGAACGGGAAGAAAAATTATCAGGAGAACGGGACACGGCAAGATTGGATCTGTTGGCGCAGCTGGCTACAGCCAGAGGTCAAGATCTTCTTCAGGAGTCTGAAGGATCTCAAGGAGGGCTTTTGTCGTCGTTGCAGGCCACTCAATCAAAAGCCAAAGAAATCGCGGCGGCCCTCCAGGAAAGTCGACGAAGCTTCGAAGACGTTACCAGGAGAGTGGAACTTTATTAAGAAATACACTGCCGGATAATAGTATCGGATTATCTTATTCAGTGCCATATTTTATAACGTAACAGCTACGGAAGATTATTTTAGAACGAGGGAAGCTTTTAAGTGCAAGATACTTAATTATCCTTTCGTTGTATCGTGTTGTACACATTATGCAATTTTGATGAATATTAATGAACTGAAACTCAAAGAAATATTTTTAGTTTTTTTTTTGTGAAGCTTCTTAAGAACTTTGGATATTATTTTGGGTGAATAGGAAATTTTTTATATTTTTTCATAATTAAAATAATTATTTGGAAACTGATATTAAATCTTGCAAATTAGATTCTTTGTTTAAAATGTACCTGGTGTTCAGATACATATGTCAGGTATATAATTTTACATATGTCTTGTACAAATAAAATATCAAGTATAAGTGTAAATATTAAATAATTTATTACATTGTCATCTATGTGACACTCCTTCACTGTAGAACATAGCCACTCCATCGACGGCCATATAACGAGACCTTCTGCTTTGCACTATAGGAGAGCCAAAGAGCACGAGAAGTTAGCAAAATTCGCAGCCAGTTTATACAAAACGGTGAAAGCACTGACAGCTTTGAGTCCTCTATACGTATTTTCTGCGGAAGCATTCACCGACATTTATTTGGAAGCGGAAAGTTACAGAGGTTCAATACTCTCCGAGGACAAGAGGGAACAAGACAAAGCAATCGAAAAACGGTGGGTTAAAAAATGTGATAAAAGTATTTTCATTCCTTGAAAATTTTCAAGTTGTCTTAAATTACAATTTCATTGACAGATTAATAAGTTTGACTCTGCATTACTGCTCGAAAGCGGTGTACAGAAAGCACCGTCTCCAGCTGGCTCTACAATTAGCCCTCTCCCTGAACTCCGTGCCAGATGCCGAACAGAGATTCCTGTTGGAAGAAGTTCCATTAAACGATGACGAAGACCCTGATTATAAGGTTCCCGATTGGATCCCCGAAGAACGACGTTTATCTGTTCGATCTCTGGTGTCATCGTTCCCTCAAGTAATTTTCACCTCGGCGAAAAAGTTGACATAATTCAAACAAGAAACTTTCTATAGATAGCCGCCAGAATGAAGCCGGCGTGGTTGAACGACGTCAACAACATCTACGCTGAGAATGGATTAACCACGTTCCAGAAAATTTTACTGATAAAAACTCTGCGTCCAGATTATCTGCACACGGCGCTCTCGAAACTAGCCGCCGAAGTATTAGGTAATATTGCATGTAGTTTATTTTCACACCGTATAAATTTATGATACGGTTAATCTGAAGGTGTGAAGGATTTGTCACCTCCTAATTGGTCCCTGAGGAAAATTGCGGAACAGGAAACGTATCCTGTGCTGTTGCTGCTGTCGCCAGGAGCGGACCCTGGATCGGAACTTAGGGCACTGGCGAATAATCAGGTGGCATCGGCTACGGGGTTCATTGAAGTGTCTTTGGGACAAGGTCAAGTTGCTCAGGCTGAACTTGCTCTGGAAAATGCTTGTCGGTAATAAATTTAGTGAGGATCTTAGATGTTGAAGGTGCAGGGTGTTTCATATAAAATAATCTCTTCATATATTTTCATCTTGTCATATGTTTTGCAAACATTTTGCAAAATGTTTTTAATGAAAGTAAAATGGTTTGGAGTGAAAGTGAAATGATTCTAAGATGACATGCTGCTCTGTACATGTCATTAGTGCTCCATATAAAATGATCTGATCACATGTTTTCACCTCATCATATGTTTTGCAAACATTTTGCAAAATGTTTCTAATGAAAGTGAAATGGTTTGGAGTAGAAGTAAAATGATTCTTAGATGACATGCTGCTCTGTACATATCATTAGTGCTCCATATAAAACGATCTCATCACATGTTTTCACCTCATCATATGTTTTGCAAACATTTTGCAAAATGTTTCTAATGAAAGTGAAATGGTTTGGAGTAGAAGTAAAATGATTCTAAGATGACATGCTGCTCTGTACATATCATTACTTCTGCATATGTGGATCTTTCTGTATTACTTCTGCATATGTGAAACTCCCTGTATCACTCCTACATATGTAAATCTCACTGTATGCATATACCTCCTACATATGCGAATCTCCCTGTATGCATATACCTCCTACATATGTGAAGCTCCCTGTATGCATACACCTCCTACATATGTGAATCTCCCTGTATGCATACACCTTCTACATATGTGAAGCACCCTGTATGCATATATCTCCTATAAATGCATACATCTCCTATCCTTCCACCCTATATACAAGGTATCTGAATGCACACAAACTTGCAAAATATTACAAACCTAAAGGTACGTTATCATTTGGCAGTGTAAGACTTCTACATAAAAAAGACTTCTATATAGCAGAATAAAAAATTAAACAGCATTGCTAGTATAAATAAAAATGAGAAACTGCATACTGAAACTTGAACACAAATTTATTTCTTTTACTAAAAATTTACAATACTCATGTACGCATCACTTTTGAACCGCCCTGTATATCAGTGACTAAGAGAGTAATAATAAAAAATCAAGTTGCACCAATAAATTAATAAAGAATGTATCGACCAGGAATGGTAGTTGGATACTGCTCAGCAATCTGCACCTGGCCTTGAATTGGCTGCCCCGTTTGGAGAGTCTCTTACGATCGCCGATGTGCACCACCACCAAAAACCCCAGCACGAGAATTTGGTTAACCACCGAGGAATGTTCCGGTTTCTACCCGAGTCTGGCTGGTCTGTGCTCGAAGCTGGCGTACGAGCCCCCGGAAGGTGTGAAGAGGAACGTGAAGAGGTCGTTGCAGCAACTACAGCAGAAACAGAAGAACGCGAACGTCGCCGGCACAGTTTTGTTGTCCTGGCTTCACGCGATTCTTCAGGAACGTCGAAAGTTCGTTCCTCAAGGATGGATCAGGTCTTACGAGTGGAACGAGGCGGACTTGGAGGCTGCTTACGAGTTGATAGTCAAAGAAACGAGTTCGAGCATGGGCAGAGACAAGGATGGCGGCTGGCAGACAGGAAGGGGACTGCTGGACGTGGCGGTTTATGGTGGTCGCATTCAGGATGAGTACGACAGCAGAGCGCTGTGCTCGATCGTTAGGGATATTTGGTCAGTCGAGGTGTTTGAGGGTCGACGGAAGTTGGCGGGAGTTTTGAAGATTGCGGGGAATTCGTTTGAGGATATGATTAGGGCTTTGGAGAACCTTCCTGATAGTGATTCGCCTAAGGAGTGCTTTGGACTGCCGGCTAACGCGCATAGGGCTTGGGAACGGGCGGCGGCTGAAGCAGTGCTGGCGCATTTGAAAGGTTTGTTTATGGGTGTTAGGGAGGTGGAGATTTAGGGAGGGAGGAGTATAGGGATGTAGAGATATAAGAACAAAGGGGTATCTGCAGGTATACAGCGTTAGAGATATAGGAATAATAGGGATTTTAGGGACGTACGAATTTTTGGAATATAGGAATTTGTGGACGTGGGAATTTGGGTGATGTAGGAATTTGGAGACGTGGGAATTTGGGGACGTGGGAATTTGGAGACATGGGAATTTGGGGACGTAGGAATTGGAGACGTGGGAATTTGGGGATGTGAGAATTTGGAGACGTAGGGTTTTAGGGACGTAGGAATTTGGAGACGCAGGGCTTTGGGGATGTGGGAATTTGGAGACATGGGAATTTGAGGACGTGGGAATTTGGAGACGTAGGGTTTTGGGGACATGGGAATTTGGGGACGTGGGAATTTGGAGACATGGGAATTTGGGGACGTAGGAATTGGAGACGTGGGAATTTGGGGATGTGAGAATTTGGAGACGTAGGGTTTTAGGGACGTAGGGCTTTAGGAACGTAGGAATCTGGGGACGTAGGGATTTAGGAACATAAAGGTTTTGGGGCTGTAGGAATTTGAGGACGTGGGAATTTGGGGATGTAAGAATTTGGGGACGCAGGCTTTTGGGGACGTAGCGGTTTGGGAATGTGAGGATTTTGAAGACGTAGGAATTTGACGATGAAGGGATTTGGCAACGTAAGAATTTGAGGATATAGGAATTGGAGGATGTAGGGATTTGGGGGTAGAAATTCGGAAGCATAGGAATTAAATCATACAGAGATTTAATAATTTAGGGATTAGAGATAACAGCTATTTGGGAATTTAAGGACTTAGGAATATAGTAATTTAGTATTGTATTAAAGTAATTTAATACAGAGATTTTGAACATAAGGAATATGAGGATCTACCATTTCAAAGATGTAGAAATTAATAATATATTTCACTTTTGATAGGTGTTTTAATCAAAGTGTCGCACAGTGACGAAAAGCACAACAGAACGATAGAATCAAAAATCCAAAAAGATCTGAAGGAATTAATAGATCGTCATGGTTCGATCTTTGGATCATCGATTTACATAGAAAATGATGGAAAATACGATCAATTGCAACGTTTCTTTGTCGATGAGATGAATCTGACTAAGAAAACACTGAATCTTGTTCGAAATGATGTGGAAACATCTCGTTTGGAGGACTCTAAGGTAAAAACGTTTCTTTCGAACATTATATATATCTTTACAATAAAATACTGAGGGGAAATTATCGAGCGGAAATTAAGGAATTAATCAGAATTCGCTACTTTTATTCAAACTATTATGGATTCGATATTCGATATAAGATCATCGAACGGAAATTATACAATTGAAAGTACGAGTCGGAAATAATCGAGTGGAAATGAAGTATCGGGAATTATCAAAGGGAAATTATTGAACGGAAATTAAGATAGAAAAATTCATCACTCGTTTTAATAAATCTATTATGAATTCGATATTCGATGTAAAATCGCTTGGTGGAAATTATTCAGTAGAAAGTACGGTTGGAAATAATCGAGAGGAAATTATCGATAACTTCGTATTTTAAACTTGCAACAATGCACCCTATAAATATACCTCCCTTATTTTTATTCTTTCAAAAAATTGATCAAATTTTATTATTTAATACATTCGTTCATGATTCTATTCAATATATTAAATATTAATAAATAATTAATATTATTAAAAATTAACGAGTGCGTTATATGATTGATTGATAGACTCCAAAACACTGGATGGAAGATTGGAAATATGGACCCAAGGAAATAATACCTTTCGTTAAAGGACTGTTATCCAAATACCAAACCCTCGAATCGATTGTGTCGATTTCTTCAACCGTGATCGATATCTCGCGTTTGGTTAGACCGCGCGCGTTTCTCACTGTTCTAAAACAACATACTGCGAGAGAAACGGGTCAACCTTTAGAAAATCTTCGACTTCGAGTGAACTGGTTCGAAAATCATAGAAACAAAGACTGGAAGGTGTCGATGGTCATCGATGGACTATTAATATCAGGTAACTGACGTTTATAATAAAGTGTCGATAAAATTGCAATAAAATTAAATGTTAAAACAATGTCAATTAAGTAAAATGTTACTAAAATTACTATAAAATATAAAATATCGATAAAATGTCAATTAAGTATATAATGTTAATAAAAGGTTAATAAAATGTCAATAAAATAAAATAATAACAAAATATCAATCAATTATAAAATATTAGTAAAATGTCAATAAAACTGCAATAAAATAGAATGATAATAAATGTCGATAAAATTGTAATGAAACTTAAATAAAGTTCACGTCAATTCTAATAAAATTTGAACATTTCAAAGTTTTGTATATTTTAATATTTACATATTATGAATAATAATATTCATGTTTGTCAAAAATATAAAATTATGGGATTTAAAACTTTTATCTCACAAAATTTTATTATTTAAATTTATTGTAGTATAAAATAATCAGCAAAACAGGATAATCTTTATTAAACATAATCCGCAAAATTCCAACTTCTTAAATTGACATAAAAATATATACAGAATATGAAATAAAAAAATACACAAAATTGTCAATAATAAATATAGAAATAATTCTGAAATCTCCAAAGACAAAATTTGTAAAGAAACTCTCAAAAATTTTCATACCACACAAATTACAATGTCTATTATTTTAAAAAATTAATTTTACTAAAAATAATATAAACTGTACAGGTGCATTGATCGAAGAGGGTGTCCTCAGGGATCTAAACGCGAACACAGCATCCGTTATAGCAGCACCTAGCTGTCAAATCGCATTTTTACCCGAAGATTACTCCGAAGAGAACGCCAGCTACAAAGCAATGGGAGATCGCTTAGGAAATTACGGCGCTGAAAATACTCTTAACATTCCAGTGTACGCGAATTCACAGAGGGAAATGCTGATTTGCTCGCTTCCAGTTGGATGCCCTAAAGAGGAGCACGATAATTGGTTACGTCGAGGTGTCGCATTTCACTTGAAATTAATTTAACTTGTACTTATGTGGAATTATTAGTGCGTAGTTTAATTGTTATTATAAAAAAAAAATGTATAGTATCGTAGTATTTATTTGATGTATTATCTGATTAATAAATTTCTGTATTTTCAGTGTTATTATAAAATTGATACATTCGTATGTTAATTCATGTTTTAATATTTTATCGTATTTTTGTTTGATGCAAGTTTGAATAATATAAATTAAAAAATTTTGAATTTTGAAATTTTTGAAATTCTCAAATTTCTGAAATCTTGGATTTCTTGAATTTTTAAAGTCATAAATGTAATTTTGAAAATTTGGAATTACAAAGTTTCCTCATTCCTAAATTTCCAAATCCCTAAATTCCCAAATTCTTAAAATTCCAAATTTCTAAATTTCTAAATCCTTAAATTTCCAAATTCTCAAAATTCCAGATTGCTACATTTTCAACTCCCAAAGTCCCCAATATTCAAAATTCTGAATTTCTAAATTTCCAAATCTCCAACTTTCCAAATTCGCAAAATTCCAAATTTCTAAATTTCCAAATCCCTAAATTCCCAAATTCTCAAAATTCCAAATTTCTAAATTTCCAAATCCCTAAATTCCCAAATTCTCGATATTCCAAATTTTTAAATTCCCAAATCCCTAAATTCCCAAATTCTCAAAATTCCGAATTTCTAAATTTCCAAATCCCTAAATTCCCAAATTCTTAAAATTCCAAATTTCTAAATTTGCAACTTCCAAAGTTCCCAATATTCCAAATTCTGAGTTTCTAAATTTCTAAATTTCCAAATTACCAAATTTCCAAATATCCAAATATCCAAATCTCCGAATCTCCAAATTTCCAAATTCTCAAAATCCCAAATTTCCAAACCCCTTAAGTTCCCAAATTCCTACATTTCTAAAATCTTCAGTAAGCACTTGATCTGCTCATAATTTCTTTCAAAAAGAACAGGACAAATAAAACACCCAATGTCGAGAATCAGAAATCTTTTTATTACTTATAAAGTAATCGCTTGATACATCCTTCTAATCAGAAGTTACTCGTACAAGTTACATAGACTCAGAAAATAGCAATAATCGGAGAAGTCATTGCAATTACACGATCGTTCCTGTAATAATATTGGTTCGTGTTTAGGTCAATCACCAAATACAACCACTCGATATTCAAACCCGACAAAAACCCGTCGAACATGTTCTTCATCGGTATAATTCCATCATTAACTATGAATTCAACGTTCATGAACAATCAGACCGTGTTCCTTTATCGTTAATTATTCATCCAGTCAATTAACCGACGATCAATCGTGTCTGCGGCAACGCGAAATCGTTTCAAATAAGCTTGCACGGTCAAAAATAAATACGTTTTATCGAGCAGCTGTATTTGGCAAAGACAGAGAATAGAATAGAACAGACCACCCAAGTTTCGCGACAACGAAACGCGAACAGAATAAGCTCGGCTCGTTACCGACAGGAAAATCGGTGTATTTAGGTCGCTGTTCACAATACGTTGCTGGCGATAACAGTGGTCCTTTTGTTTCTCATTCTGACGCAGTTTAAATTAGCGGTTAACCGATCGAACGGCTAAAATAGGAGATACGGAAAGAACGCTTGGCTGTTTGGGTTTCAAGCTTTGGTCAAAAAATTAATCCCAAGTTTCTATCATAAGATACGGAAGGTTCAATCTTCTTATGTAGTTAAAATAATTATGTTTGCGTTTAAATTTTGTATTTCTCAAGTTCCTGATTTTACATTATTTTTAGATACAGGGTGTTCCATATTTGGTTTTTGAGAAAATTTAATTTGAGAATTTTTCTGTATGTTTATAAGAAAATTTGACAGCAAAGAACAGTCGATTTCAGTATTATTTTCTACTGATTTTATGATATTTTTGCGATGTACAGGGTGTTACAGAAGTAGTGGCACAACGAAAGATACGTGGAGGGAAGATTACACTTCTTCATATTTGGTTCTTTGTTTTTAAGAAAATTTAATTAGGGAATTTTCAAGAATATTTGTAAAAAAATTTTACAGCAAGCAAAATTCTATTTTAATAATTTCTTCTGATGTTATATTATTTTTGCAATGTATAGAACGTTACAAAAATAGTGGCACAGCGAAAGATACGTGGAAGCTTACACTTTTTACTATTTGTTTCTCTTTTTGAGAAAATTTAATTTGCTAATTTTCAAGTGTATTTGTAAGAAACCTTCACAACAAACAATATTCTATTTCATTATTATTTTCTTTTAAATTAAAAATATTTTTAGTAGAATATTTTCGAGGTGGCTCTTTATAAGAGCACTTTTACCCTAGAGTACAACGAGCACTTTAAATTAAAACAAAACGATAAAAATAAATAAATAATATTTAATAAAGAGTATCTATCTTGAAGGTTAACATTTGACAAAAGCCACCCAATAATATTTGCGATTGAAAAGAACAAAATTTAGTAATAATATCAGTTTTAAAACAGTTAAGTCACCGATCGCCAGCAACGAGGAAATTGGACCGAAACAACATGGAGAAGTACATAGACAGTGATATTCGTCGTCGACGTTTCTAAGCGAAGAAGGAAAGAAGCGAACGCAAAAATGGACAGACCAGAAGTGATAGCGACGCGAGCTCGGCCCGAAACGCCATGATTGTCGCCGATTTATTGCTCTAAGAAACTTAAGATGAAACTCACGGGCCGAGGCCGCGTCCCTGAGAAAGGCAATACTGTGTTTCTTTTCCACCCTTGGGAAACTCTTCGCGCTATTTCACACGCATACAGAGACACACAGACACATACGTGCTCTCTATTCTTCTTTACTCTCATTGTCATCTTGTTCGATTTTACTTATCTAATAGATAATCGCCGTTTTCGAACCACGTTAAACGCTCGCTTCACTGAAACTTTGTCCGGTTGTTAATCAATTATTTTTTGTAATTGCTTACCCCTTGACTTATAATATCTTTCATATGTTAGTCAAGAACTCTGACAAATATTATTGGAATCTTACTTGTTTTAGTAGATTTCTTAAATAGGAAATTTGAATTTACCGCCATTTCTGCAGCAATGGCGTCTTACACGCGGTAGGTTAAGTACGCTACATTCTTGAAGTATACGGAGATAAAAAGATAGTTACCGAAAGAAACCTATATTAAAACGTTTTATATTTTATTCCAGTGGTACCTATGTATATTGTATGCAAAGAAAATTACTAAGAACTTGTATAATTTTAAGTATAATTAAAATTATACAAGTTTTAAGGTAGCTTCAACAACCTCAGATGATCTGAAATTTAAAGACGATTTTAAAGAACAAATATTTCTTTTATAACAGAATTAGTGCCAATTCTTTTGTAACATAATTACCAAAATTTACAATAATTTAATTTACATTGAGTTCAAGGGGACTACAAATACTTGTGGTTCAATGTGGTCAAAGTTTCTGCGAATTCAACGATCCGACTCATTAAAATTTATCTTCATCTTTCAACGTGTAAATTCTTCAAGTTTATTAATCATACTAATTCAACAGTTGATACATTTAGACATAATCTTTCTCCTACTAAATCTACTCACAAATCGTTCAGAGTTCCAAGTTACAGCATCCTCAATTTCATGAAGACTAATTTCTCTATATTCTTGCAATCAGCAAGCGAGTTTGTTAAGGAAAGTTCGTTCTCGAAGAAAATGTCGGATCGTGCGAGCATTGAAATCACCGGATACGAGCTTGGTTACTCTACCTTCCCGGACAATGCTTATTTTACCGTTTGATCGGAAATCGAGTCGCGAACAAAGGTGGATTTAAGCTTGATTCGTATGTTCGTTACTCGATCTGATCCTGGATTCCACTCTAATTATCACCTAACGATTAATACTATAACCGAGTGGTAGGCACACGGTCCTATGATCGACGACGAAGAGGAAGTTGTCGAAAGAAAAGAACGCAAAGGATTTGTCGGAGACTCGGTTCTCCACTTCTCACCTTTCTTCCATTTTGCTTTGGAAGCAAAATTTTATTTATTCTTTAAACTTTTTTAAATGTTTTTTACCGGGTTGACGAATTTATCTCTCATGTAGAATTCGGATATAATTTATTAGGATACAGCTTTTAATTAAATTAGTTTGTCAGTCCATTGTCAATATGAACTACTAAATTTCTAGATATATAATTTAAAAGTTTACAAAGTTAGAAGTTTGAAAATGTTGAAGTTTGTAAGTTGAAAAATTTGAACATTCACAAGTTCCAAAATTAGAGAATTCAAATTAGAAATTTAAAAATAAAAATTTCTATATTTATTTGAACTTGAAAAGTCTATATCTGAGAACCTACATTTGAAAGTCGAAGTTATACCTCCATAATAAAAATAAAAAATATCATTTCTAAATTATAACAAAAAAATCTAAGCAAAAGGGAAGAAAGGTAAACGGAAACGTTATAGAATCCCGACGATTAAAAGCTAAGATTAACAGTAGAAAGTTTGAAAGGGAATTACGAATTGGTCGCGTTCTGTCCCGTGTTCGAAGAGTGGTCCAAAATGGAGGAACAATAGAAAACTATAGAACTATTATACAATACGTATACATGTAGATCCGCGTGCAACGAAACTTACAGCAAATTCATTAAATTCGAATTCGTCTTTAATCCACTTACGAGGATCGATGAGTATAATCTCGGTAAAAATACATTTATACAAGTTTACACGAACAAATTGACCATCGATGTTACGAGGATAAATGTCACGGAGAGTCTTTCTGAAAAATGTCAAACGTTTCCAGAGTTAATCGATCGTATCTCTTTTTTTTTCATTTTCTCTTTATTATTATTTTCGCATTAGGCTGCGATCACGCGAAATTCCGATACAGGTACAGGAGATTCTTTCCGATATACACGAGAGTATTCGTGAAATACGTAAAATCGAAGTTGAAATATTTCGTAAATTGAAACTTTTCGAATGCAGCGCGAATCGAGAGAAAACAGATCTTACAATTCTAACCGTTTCGATTTGACTGCCATGAAGAACGTCGATGACCCGAAATTAAAAATGAGAGAAAAATCTGACTCCTAAAATTTTCGATAGAGAAACGAATTCTTAATATTATAATTGATATTGTATGCTATTTCTACTGTGGCAGTTCTTCATACAAATTTTAACTATAAGCATTATCTGCAAACTCGAATAATCTCAAAAGTACCTGAACACTAACTTGTAGCTTACAATTTGCAAATTCAACAATTCATAAATTTGCAAGCTCGAAAATTTGTAAATTTGAAACTACGTAACTGTGAAAATGTCTAAACCTAAAATTTAATATATTCAAAAATTTGTGAATACGTTTGAAGGTATCTAAATTTTTGAAGAGTTGAACTTGAGAAATGTATGAATTGAATGTTCTAAGAATCTACGTCTGAATGTTTATAATTTACAATCTTGAAAATTAAAATAGTCAATGGTTATCGTCGGTCTCCACGGCAGTCGCTTAAATACAAAAATCTTTCTCTGACAATTATGGTCCTTTAAATCATGGTGACCATTTTGCAAGTTTCACAAAGAAATACAAATGAGAGGGTTGATCTCGAAGATCACATTCATCGAAAAAATCAATTTAAATTAAAAAGAAAAACGATCGTTCTCGATCTTAACCAAATACGAGAGCGTTTGAACGCGTAACTAGCTCCGTTTCGTCTTTCTTGTTCTCTCTAAGATGGCGGCGTTCGTCGCACGAAGGACTGCGAGAATCGTCGAACAGCATAGAATTAAATACAACGTGATTTTCGATCGTTCGCGCAACGAACGTCACGGATAGATTACAAAGGCATCGTGATTAGTTCTACATATAAAAAATAATCAGAACAACGTACATATCTTACGCTCGAAGGCATTTTCTAGAATCGATTCACCGTTATTAAATACCTGTACTCTACGAAATACTTAATTTTAAATACGCACGTTTAATCCCACTAGAACTCCGCTCTATCCTTTCTATCGATTCTTAAAAATATCGGTTTAATTTACAAGAGGAAGAGGACACGGGAAAACTCGTGCACTCGTCTCGAATTCGTTTGAAACATCTTTAAACGTTTAAGCATCCTTTCAAGAAAAATACTTAGGGTAAGTAGATAGACCTTAACTCTTGGTGCCTGGGTCTTTTCAAACACAGGTTTCTGAGTCAAGAGAAAATGTCTACGAACTTTAATTTTTACGAATATGCATCTTTAAGTAGAACTATATTCTTGAACATTTTGCGTAAAAAAGTAGTAGAGTAATAGTAAAAAATAGTTGAGTCTTGATCGAAATAGAAAAGATATTGAAGCAACTACTTTTGCAAAGATATAAAGCAGTCAACTGCAACAATTAGACAGAGTGAAATGAACTTTGTAATTTATTGTATCAATTTTACTGCGTATGTTGACTGCTATGTTTTTCAGTATTTAATGATAAAAAGAGTACTTACGAGTTTGTCTTCTTTACTAAAACGTGGTAATATCATAAGAAATGTGAAATTCATTACAGAATGGCGAAACGTGTAATTACGGGTCTGAACAGACTCAGGTACCGTTAAATCCACTGTTGAAGAATTAATTTCGAAATCGTCATCGAGATATTTACACAGATAAAAAATCGAGTCGAGTGCCCGTTAAATCACTCGTATTTTATTTAAATCGCGCGTGTTCGACGAGGATTAACCTCGCAGAGGTCTACAGGTATATTATCGTGACTCAAATTTATCTTTTTTTCACTTTTTTCATTTTCCTGTCCGCAGGACGAACAACGCTCGAAGGATATCTATTATACATACACGTTATGCAATACAATTCGACAGTAAAATTAGAGTAGTCTAGTAACAGTATAATAATAGTAATAATAATAATCATAATGTAATAATAAGAGACGATAGACCGTCTTTTAAGAGCTAATTGGTGTTCGTACGTTGATCCCCTTTTTCATTTTGGTACCGAGTTATGATAATTACCTTTTCCCCTTTTAGTCTTTCATCGACTCTCCCTCCCCTTTTCTATCGATACCTGTTTTTCGTTTCGACTGTACTTCGGCTCGATCTAATCGACTCGTCTTACGTGTGTACGTACGTTCTAGGTTCGATGTCATGGGATATGTTCTATAACATATTTTGAGACTTTTTGAAATTTTTATGAAGACAAAATTTTAGGATATTTGAGATTTTAAGAGTTCTTTTAAAATTTCAGAACTTGAGGATTTTTTTTACTTGAACTTTCTTTTTCTTAAAGAATTTTTTTTTAACTCTGACACATTTAAATCTTGGAAGTTTTTAATTTTGATCGTTGAAATTTTTGAATTTTAGATTTTTTATTTTAAATTTGGAGTTTTTGAACTTTGTACATAAAAATTTTTGATCACTGAGAAAACTATGAAGAAAGAATATCATATTCAAAAACTGTACACAGTGTAAGAATTCAATAAATACTAATTTCCCTCGATGTTAATATAAATTGAAGCTAGCAAATATCCCATGACTTCTGAACGACTCCGTTGCTTTATTCAAAGTAGTTCGTTTGAAAATTGCTGGCAAATTATGCACGGGATCGGCATGAAGCAATGAATCTCGATTTGGCAACCTGCGCCTTTGATCTTGAGTCACGTTTACACGGTTGCTATGAATACGAAGCAGGTGGAATTGAATCTATTACACAACCCAGAGATTCACCACGATCGTTTCGTACACAAAGGATAATTTCCAGTCGAAACGTCCCGTTACTAAAGGGTTGATGGGGGACCGAAAGAGAGCAATAAAATTCCATTAGCACTTAGCTGTTCAACTCACTGTGAAAACGCGGCCCAAGGTTCTTTATACTCGTCCATCGATTGGCACGACTTTTCTTCGTGTACAGACGTCAACCTACGAGCTGGCGTCGACTTGAAGTAAAAGCTTCCACCGTGAACACTACCAGTTACACTTCGGCAAATAAGAATAATGACAATAACAACTACTGAACGTAAGTAGCGCTATCTCACTCTCGAGACGTTTGCCTGTCATTGTTTTTCGCTTAACTGGCGACCGCTCGAGCCAATACCGCCGAAAATACGTGTGAGGCGTCCATTTTTCTATTCTGACCAATTGCAGTAGCTCTTCTGAACACCTCAGCCTCTTCACGCGTCAGCTCGTGGGTTGACATCGGTACCCTCTTTCTCTAACAATCTATCGTGATTTAATTTATTACGCGGTTTAAAAATGTTTCAAATAAATAAAATATTCTTTCAATTAATTGCGTCACGCTGATCCCATTTACGAAACTTCGAAATTTTGTTCCTTGATTTAGCGATTAAGACTCTTATTTTAATTTTATATGCGTCGAAGCAACAACAAGATGTCTGACGAACGTTCACGGACAAGAAAAACAGCATCGTGAGAAAAATTCTGCATCGTTATCGTTGACGTAACTAGATAGGGATATCGGGGTGGATCTAGATTATTTTATATAGCAAATGATATATTTTCAATTTTTTCATCTTTATGAATTTTTTAATTTTCAAATTTCTATGCTTGAGAATTTCTGCATTTTCAAATATATAAATCGTTAAGTTTCTCAAGTTTCCCAAACTCTTAAATCTATAAATTTCTCAAATTTTCCAATATCCAAATTACTCAATCAAACATTCAAACGGTCAAATTGCCAAGTTTTAAAATTTCTCAATCTCCAAATTTTCAAATCTACGAACCCTAAATTTCCATATTTCTAAAATTTGAAATTCTTAAATTTTTAAGTATTTATATCTCTAAATCCTGAAATTTAAAAGTTATTTAAATCTACTTAATTAGGGTATCTGACCCACCCCACAAATAAATTTGAATTACGTCAATGATCATAAGGACAATAAATATATATCAGTATTAACGTACGTAGAAAATATATGTATATGTATAATATATGTATATATATATGTATGTATATTAACGCGACACTTATAGAAAAAAGATATGTGTTATCCGATACGATGAGGTATCCCTAGAACAAGCGGAGAGAAAAATTCAACAAGGGAGGGAGGAATAAAGATGAATACCTTGGTCAGAGTTGGACAGAATTTTTTCTAATCGATAAAATTTAATGTATAATCAATCACAAGTATGTATGTATGTCGAATATTTATTATAATCAGTGCCGTCATTACAATTTGAGGAACACTATAGTTATTTATTAAACTTGAGATTCATCAAACTTTAAAATTTGCAAATTTTCCGATTTAAGAATTTTTATTTGCAAATTTCTACATCTTCACATTTTACAATTTTCAAATTTCTCACATTTTTCTAATTTCTAGAAATGACAAGTATTTAAACCCTCAAATCTTAAAATTCTTAAATCCCCAAATTTGTATATTTGTCAATTTCTAAATCATCAACACTCAGATCTTTGATTTTTAAAATTCTTAAGTTAACAAACCCTCAAACTTCTTAAAATCACAATAACTCCCAACTTGTCAAGCTTTTTAATTCTAATATTTCCAAATTTCTCCATATATCCAAATTCTCACTACTCAATTTCAAAACTGCAATAACAGCATTGACTATACTCTTCATACAACGCAACAACAAAATTCGATCGAGTCAACGATCCTAACAACCAATTCAAATTCTCTCCAACTCCGAACCGCTAACGCTACCATCGCCCTCGCGAAGAAAAATGTAAAAATCTACCAAGAACAACGCTAATTATATATAAATTTATAAGGATGTATATATGTGTATGTATACAATATCGTCGAAGTGGCATCTAGAAATGGAACGTAGAAAAATATAAAATAAAAATCATACAAACAAATACCGTGAAGATTAGTCTTACAACGATTAATATCCGATTATTCACCATTGATCCTAGTCTCTCACTAATTCGGTTACGGGTCTTACTCGTCAATTCCACACCCTTAAACTCGCAACGGATGAGCAAAAGTTTGTTATATTTCACCGGTATTGAACGGTCCCTCTACAATATCCAGCATCTTCTTTTCCGTTTTCATCGTCGATCGAACGAGGCTCGAGAGAGAGAACGCCTCGTCGCCATTTTGAAAAATATAATACATTACGTGTACAGGCTCGTGGCTCGATCGAGAATAATTATATGTTATATTCTATACGAAGTACGTGTTATCGTATTAATTACCTCTACGCAGAATGTGATATTAATTTACAAGGTTGACAGTGATCTCGACGAGGAAAATTGAAAAGTCCGGGTGTCACCTTCGAAGAAAGAGTATCGATTTATCACGTGTAACTTACTCTAGATCGCCGAAACAAAGATCGATCGTTGAGATCCTTCTGTATGCGAAGGTCTATGGTCGGCTCAGGCTCTGCCCGTCAGGGCCGTGGGTCAAAGGGCGTTCTCCATTTCTTCCGTTGTCAGCTGGAACTGCTCTTGACCTACATCATCGAACGGTGTCAATTTAACGATCCGGTGTCGTCACAATAAAGATTTTTATTTTTTTGAAGATAATATATTGTCAATTGCAAACGCGATTGCGGTTGAACGCGGTTGAATTTGTGGTCTTAGAGGGTGTCTCATTGTCTATTATATTTACAGTGTTTTGTGCCATGACTTAAGGACACAGATTTTCACAAAAGATATTGAGCAAATATTAAAAATTATGAAATGGATTTACAGTAATAAAAAAGAGATAACTCTGGATATAATATGGTAGTAAATTGAGCTGATTTTAGTAATTATTTTTGTTAACCAGTAATGAGAGCCACCACAGTTTCCGCAACCCCTAAATTCAGTTTACCCACGAGACCCATAATTTGGTTACCGTTATGTTACATTAACTTTCAATTCGATTGAAATCAATATAAACTATATTACATATACTACACTTAATTTCATTCATAAATAACATCATTCTAATATTCTTATTTTTACTAGATTTGTTAAAGTGGTCCCTACATTGAAGATTAAAAAAATAATTTTTGAATAACATTATAGCTTTATGTAAATGAATTCTTTAAGAAGTAAAATTTTAAATAAACTTGTGATAAATTAAATAAACTATAAATAAATATTTTAAGTAAAATCGTAAAAAATATTTTATTTAAAGTCCTAAACTAATTAAGAAGTCCTGACCTAGAAAATATTTTATGCACCGAATATTACAATATAATATATTAAAATATCAATTTGAAGATCAATCTGACACCAAAATTTGACAAATAATAATAGAAAAGGAATTTTTTCAACCATGATTAGAAAAAGAAAAAAATGGATGAAACTTACTGCATAAATATGCTGCGAGTTCACGATCCTCCGCTTGCAAAGCAAGATCGCGAGGTGTGTTACCTTGCCGATCCTTGATACTTAAAGTAGCACCGCCGGCGACTAGCATGCAGCAAACGGAACGACGTTTATATTGAGCCGCTTTGTGTAAAGCGGTTTGACCTCTGCAATTAAAAAACAAGCTCCCCTTTTTTATTCGATTTCCATTCACGTGCTAACAATAAACTGACGGTTCGATCGACGCTAAGTCCTATCGTAATTTCAATTATTTTCATCGCATTTCGATTCGTGTTACGTCATGCTGTCTGCCATAAAATTATGGATTTAATTCGGTCAATTGATTAATAAATTCATCGGTTGGACATTTTTGAGATTAGTGCATATTTAGATCTATGTATTAATTGCAAAATTATAGCGTTATTTATGTAAAGTAAGTTGAGATTACAAGGATAGTATAGACTCTCGTTATATGGCCGAGTTGGGCTGTTATAGCTATCAGCGACTCCTTGTACTTACTATATCGTCAAGTGCGAGAATTTTTATTTATATTGAATGACTTTGTGTAAAATATCGTTTAGGGCAATATAGTGAGTATATGAGTTAGATCTCTAGATCCACAAATTAGGTCCCCGAATTTCTAGTTCCCAAATTTCATGGTCCCAAATATCATCATCCTCAAGCTACTATGTCTTCAAACTTCTAGATCATCAAATTTTGGAATTGCAAATTATTTAGATCCTCATAAGCTCAGATCTCCAAAAACTCTAAATCCCCAAAATTCCTATACTTCTCAAGAACCTCCCCAAATTCTTACACTCTCCTAGGTTTTTTCTTCTATTAAAGTGTTTCTTATTAAAACTCACTTGTCGTTGTCGATCATATTCAGGATGCTCGATGGTGCGCAAGCGATGAGATATCTGACAATATCCTTGTGACCATATCTCGAGGCAAGATGAAGAGCAGTTTGTCCAGTGGCGTCGATACACAGAAGGGAATATCCTTTATCATGGAGTTCTTTTAGAGCCTGGAGGTTACCGACTTTTGCTGCTTTCAAAATACCGTCACTTGTTTTTTCCAATAATCTTGTGTTAAAGGTGTGGACCTCGGAACTTAGACCAAAAAGCCTATCTCGTGGACTGCAAGCAATTCATTTTCACTTATTTTCATTAAGACATCTTCAAACTCCCCAGATTTCTATATTTTTAGGCATTAAAATACCAAATTGCAATATCTTCAAATTTCAAGGTTACCAAATACCACAATTATCACAGATTTCCATGTTTTAGAATTTCTTGATCATTGAATCCTAGATCTTCAAATTTCTAGATTTCTAAGGACTTCTTCAGTTTGAAGTGTTTCTTCAAAATGTTATGTTCTCAATTTTCTTGATCACTAAATGTCTAGATCCTCAGATTCTTAAGTTCCCAAATGACTGTGACCTAGATCTCCAAATTCCTATATACCCAAATTTCTTGGTCCCCAAATTCCCACACCTGAAACTCCTAGATTCCTAAATACCTACTCTCTCAAATTTCTATATCTCCAAATTCCTATGTACCCAAATTTCTTGATCCCCAAATCCCTACACCTCAAACTCCTAAGTTTCCAGATACCTCCTCCCCAAACTTCTACATCCCCAAATTCCCATATTCCTATATTTCTTTGCCCCAAATTTCCAGAATCCCCAAAATTTCAAATTCCCATATCCCCAGCTCCCAAATCTCAAAATCCCAAAATTGTACTGTACCTCCAACCAATTCCTCAAAAATCCTTAAAAGTCAACAAGCAACCTTCCATATTTTTCCTAGTAAGCAAGATTTGCTCTTGACTGTACATACAATCCCCGGCTACCGTGCACTTATCAGAAAATGAGGCAATTTCGAAAATAAGAGTGTTGCAAGTACAACTTACCTAATGAATGTGGGTGGTGTATGATGTTGCGACTGAGCGACAGTCGTCCCAGAGATCGATTTCGAGGAACCGCTTTCCTTTATAACGTCCCTGGATACTTTTCCTTCGTTAGCCTTCTCCTCGTTCTTCGTGTTCAGCGGTTCGTCGCGTGCCACGTTTTTCTTCATCGATCCCTGAGACTTCGGTGTGCCCTGAGTCTCGGCTTGCGTCTTCGCGTCCTCAGCCGGCTTCTCAGTATTATCGCTCGCCGGAGATGGTTGCGCCTTCGTTTCGTTTTTAGGCTGCTCTTGTGTCATGGCTGCGTTTGATTTTGGCCGTTCTTCGCTATATTACACGTTCTTTCTATTAATCTAATGATACGATTCGTATTACCATTACGTTATCATGGACACACAGACGAATGTGTGAGCTGAGGATTAAAAACGTTGGAGCGAGCTCTTCTGCATGCAATTACGAGTCATAGTTTCGTAGCTGTTGCATTTGTTAAGACATTGTGAAATACTATCTACTGATCTAATGAAAGGTTAAGCAACTAGTATAATTATAACATGTATTGGTAATTCTACAGAACACAGAACACATTTGGAAGGATTTAATGAAACTAAAGACAAATCTAATTTGGGACTTCAAGGTTAACTACCTTGGAGAGGATTGAGCAGTCGCAGGTTCTTGACTGGCAGAGACCTTCGTTCCTTCAGGTTCGTTTGACGAACTGGTTGCATTTTCTTCGAGAACATATACAACTTCGACGGCAACGTCGGTCACGTAATGCAGCTGTTCTTGGGCTCTGTCGATCCGGAAGAACCGCTCTGCGGTACACGCTGCAGAAAACGATCAATCGAACTTGTACATAATCTTTAACATGACTGCATTTTATTATACATCAAGGCTTTTAAACTACATACATAAATTATATAATCGATTGTGGATTTTATCTACATAATTTATTTGTGCCTTGCAGTATAAATAAATTCTATAAAGCTAGTAAATAAAAACAATACATAATGTCTCTGAATAAATTTCATAAATGAAGTCTAGAAATAAATTTCATAAATAAAGTCTATAATTAAATTTCATAAATGAAGTCTATAATTAAATTTCATAAATGCAGTCTGTAAATAAATTTCACAAATGCAGTCTATAAATAAATTTCACAAATGAAGTCTATAAATAAATATCATAAATAAAGTCTATAAATAAATATCATAAATAAAGTCTATAAATAAATATCATAAATAAAGTCTACAAATAAATTTCACAAATGAACTCCATAAATAAATTTAATAAATGAACTCCAAAAATAAATTTCATAAATGAACTCCATAAATAAATTTAATAAATGAACTCCATAAATAAATATTATTAATGAATTTGCAAATTTTTACAAATGCACGAAAGCTAGTAACAAGTTCTTCATGAGACAGAAATAAGGATGCTTACAATCAAGGAAGCAACAAGTGTCCATGTTATGATCTTTCGCCAGGATCTTCCTCAAGGATTCCAGATCCGTGGTGGCGTCAAGATCGAGCGGATCAGAGATCCACGAAGACGCGGCGTTCTTCAACATGTCCTTGTCGTGATGATACTTTTCGTAATCCGACATTCTTATTTTCATTACGGGCAATTTCAATCTTTCTAGTTTGACGTCCTGCTGTGGCTTGCTGGTGTTTCTTCGTTTCGCCAGCATCGTTGCTTTGTTCAATAGTTTCATGTTTATTATAGATGGCAGCAATCGACAGGCTTCTCCGTCAACCTAGAACAAGCATTATTTCTTTGTGATGTAATTCTGATGTAATTCATTGTGATAGAACTTTGTCTTAATAACAATTTTTTTGAGTATTCAGAAATTTTGAAGTTTTTGAAACTTGAAGTTTCTTAAATTTATAGGGTCAGAAATAGAGGAGAAAGATTATACTGTTGGATAAATAAGAATGTGGTTGGAAAATTCCCAAACTTCTAGACTGTTAAATTTGTAGATGTACATATAGGTCGATCTCCAAATCCCAAGGTCCACAAATTTTAACATCCCCAAACTCTTAGGAGTACATATCTCTAAATTCTACCATACGTATATCTTCGAATTTTAAGATTTCCAAATATCTACGTCTTCAAATTCTAAAATTCACAAATTCCTGGATCATCAAATCTGTGCATTTCCACATCCATCGATCTCCATATCCCAAAGTCTTCCAATCTTAACATTCCCAAACTCTCAAGTGTCAAAATCCCTAAATTCTAACATATCTATATCTCCAAATCCCAAGATTTCTAATACCTACGTTCTCAAACTCCAAAATTCCCAAATTCCTAGATCATCAAATCTGTGCATTTCTGCATCCATCGATCTCCATATCCCAAAGTCCCCCAATATTAACATTCCCAAATTCCTAAGTGTCCAAATCTCTAAATTCTCAAATACCTATATCTTCAAATCCCAAAATTCTCAAATTCCTAAACCATCAAATAAACATCCATATTCGTCAATCTCCAAATACTAAACTTTCCAAATCTCAACCCCTCAAATTTCACATTCCTCAACCCATCTCCAAACGTACAAAATTTTGTCTTTCACAAAATCTTGCCTTTATTTAAATCTTGTCTCTATCTAAAGATCAAAACTACCATAACAATTTACCTGCATTGGAATGGTTTTCGTAGTAACCAGCTTAGCCGTGCTACACTGAGCGATGCAAGTACCATGACCGCCCGCTTGAAGAAGCGGAAGCTGATAGGTCGTCAAACCGACAACTTCTATCATCCCGTCCTCCGTCGACGGCTCTTTAGTTCCACTCGCAGCGCCCCAAGGATGCGTCCCTCCGCCGTACGACGCGATATTCAAGAAAACTATAGCGTGAACACGATGTTCCTTCAATTTCGGTGTCACATCCGTACCGTCGCATTCCAGCGTCACGAATTCCGAGAGGTCCTTCCACTTCCGCAACACCAGGTCCTTGCCACCCATCTGACCGTAGTACATCTTGTTTCGCAATCGCGAGTTGAACTTTTCTGGATGCGCCTCTGTGATCACATTTTATTCACATTTAACCTACAGTTCGGTACACGAGATCGAACTCGTGAAAGCATTTGGAAACATGAGATTCTTTCGTATTTTAATCTGGGGTGGAAGTCGCTCTTGATTAAATCACCGGATGGAATCGGAGTACTTATTTTTCCGATACTGTGCTTTCGATCAATCGTGACTGCAATGGATATGGTTGTTGAAAATATGTAGGGGTGGAATTTTAGAGAGAATTTTTAACATTGGGAAATTATAGGGTGCATTAGAAAATTGTAGGTACATGTACGATGTTATATAATTTAATAAGATGTATTCTAAATGTAGGTGCATGTAGGTAAGATATGATTAAGGGGGTAGGTGGAGACAGCTCCTTTATTGAACGAAATGCAGTAGCCATTTTTATGGATCAACCATTTAGAAAATTATCATATGCATTAGAAAATTATAGGCACGTATGTTTGATATAATTTAATAAACAGATGTATTCTAAATTCATAGTGCATGTAGGTAAGATATGATTAAGGGGGTGAAGCTGCAGCTCCTTCATTATACGAGATGCACCTAACCTAACCATTTTTATGAAGCTACTGTTTATGTATATTAACTAATTTTATGTACACTATATTGCTCAACATTCTCCAAGATTTTACTTAATGCGTCACGAGTTTAATGCGTTGCAAATATCACGCAGTGTATATTTAATATGATACAAATTCAACGCGCTGTAAATTTGACGCGCTGCAAATTCGACGTGTTGCAAATTCGATGCGTTGCAAATTCGACGCGTTGCAAATTCGACGCATTGCAAATTCGACACGTTGCAAATTCGATGCGTTGCAAATTCGACGCGTTGCAAATTCGACGTGTTGCAAATTCGACACGTTGCAAATTCGATGCGTTGCAAATTCGACGCGTTGCAAATTCGACGTGTTGCAAATTCGACACGTTGCAAATTCGATGCGTTGCAAATTCGACGCGTTGCAAATTCGACGTGTTGCAAATTCGACACGTTGCAAATTCGATGCGTTGCAAATTCGACGCGTTGCAAATTCGACGTGTTGCAAATTCGACACGTTGCAAATTCGATGCGTTGCAAATTCGACGCGTTGCAAATTCGACGTGTTGCAAATTCGACACGTTGCAAATTCGATGCGTTGCAAATTCGACGCGTTGCAAATTCGACGCGTTGCAAATTCGATGCGTTGCAAATTCAACGCGTTGCAAATTCGACGCGCTGCAAATTCGACACGCTGCAAATTCAACGCGTTGCAAATTCGACGCGCTGCAAATTTAATATGTTGCAAATTCAACGCGCTGCAAACTTAACGTGCTTCAAATTCGACGCGCTGCAAATTCGACACATTGCAAATTCAACGCGCAGCAAATTCAACGTGCTGAAAATTCGACGCGCAGAACATTCAACACATTTCAAGCTTAACGCGCTGCAAATTCAACGCATTGCAAATCAAACGTGATGCAAACTTGATCCTCTGTAAATTCAACGCGTTGCAAATTTCACGCACTTTTAGTTATTTTGAAAAATACCCACTGTTACTGAAACTAAACTGTAATATAACTAATAGGCTATGAAGTAGTTCATTTCACAATCACCCAATCTCATCCTTCTTCGATAACAGATCGAACCCATAATTTCCAAACGATTTCACCGAAATGGATTACACACGTGGTGTCAAAATGGGCGCCGTGAGACTAACCTCGAGCCTCGTGAAATTCAAGAGCGATGTGAGCATCGACGCCAAGGGAAAAGTAATTATTAACGACGTTCAGAGGTAGATTCTCTTTGCCCTTGCCGTTGTCATCGTCGCCCTGGACGTCTGGATTCCTTTCGACCACCAGCTGCCATCTGTCCAGCAACGTGGTGTCGCTTTCTCCGATGTTTGTTAAAATTTTCCCGATCGGCTCGTCCGTGTAACCGCCACCCCAGCCTAACGCTCTTGCGAGATCGTTTCCGGTTCCGAGAGGAAGTACACCCACTGCTGGTGGAGGATTCGCTCCGATCTGATCCAGGATCGATAGTACCCATCCCACTGTACCGTCACCGCCACATGCGAGGACTCGTAGATTAGGAACTTTTTCAAACAGTTGTAACCTGGAAAATTTAATGTTTTATAAGGGAGGATAATATAAAATAACATTTTTTAAAATAAGGATAAAGAGCTTTATAGGCTCTGAAGATCTTTATTTTATTGGCTTTTTGAGAATTTAATTTTGGAAAGAGGAGTTTTGTGATTGGGGTAGACTCTCGTTATATGACACTGGGAAGGTAATATATTATTGGAGATTTATCGAGTAAAATAGATAACTATCGGTTGTGATATTGATGGACTTGATGCAAGTTTGGTGGAAGTATTTTGTAATATATCTTGTGCTGCTATGAATGAAGGTGCAATGGAAAATTATTGTAAATTGCTATATAGTGAGATTCTGCGAAGTATTTTCATTCTTGAAAAGATTTCTGTTTGATATTGATGAATTTTATATATGATATACGATAACGTGATACACAATAACGTGTGGTAGTACAGTACTTAGGAATATAACATATGGCAATATAACGCGAGGTAATACAACACGTAGTAATATCAACGAGTAGCAATACAACGCATTTTAATATCAAACCGTGGCAATGTCAATGCATGGCGATGTAACGTGTAGTAATACCACCCGTGGTAATTTAACGCGTGGCGATATAACATGTAGTAACATAAACAAGTGGTAATATCAACGCATGGCGATATAACATGTAGTGATACCACACGTGATAATTTAACGCGTGGCGATATAACACGCAGTAATATCAAATCGCGGCAATATCAACGCATGGCGATATAACATGCGGTAATACCACACGTGGTAATTTAACGCGTGGTGATATAACACGCAGTAATATCAACAAGTGGTAATATCAACGCATGGCGATATAACATGTGGTAATACCACACGTGGTAATTGAACGCGTGGTGATATAACATATAGTAAACTCAACAAGTGGTAATATCAATGCATGGCGATATAATATGTGGTACTACCACACGTGGTAATTTAACACGTGGTGATATAACACGCAGTAATATCAACAAGTGGTAATATCAACGCATGGCGATATAACATGTGGTAATTTAACGCGTGGTGATATAACATGTGGTAATACCACACGTGGTAATTTAACGCGTGGTGATATAACACGCAGTAATATCAACAAGTGGTAATATCAACGCACGGCGATATAACATGCGGTAATACCACCTGTGGTAATTTAACGCGTGGTGATATAACACGCAGTAACATCAACAAGTGGTAATATCAACGCATTATGATTCTTGTGCCCTAAAATACTAAAAAAGTGTAGAATGCTAAAAATATGCATCCATGACAAAAGTTGCAATATAACGAGAGTCCACAACCCTCTTCCATTTAGAAGTTAAATTTTCTTAAAAATGTGCACATATGTTCATAAGTAACCTACATGAAACTTATTAAGGTTCTAAGATAACTGCGGAAAGTTCAAGTTTAGTTTCAGAATTTAATTAAGTGGTTCATCGCAGAAGTACAAGGATATTAATTTGAAAAACAAAATTAAGGGATTTTTATCGTTGTTTGTACGCAGTCGTAATGCAATTCAATGAACGCTGTTTACGCGGTTATGAATGCAGTTAGACGAAATGCAGCAACTTTCGAATAAACTTCTCGAGAAAGTTTCGATAATACCATAGCAAGGAACCTTTGTTCGGAAACGTTCGCCCTTATTCAACCATTTCCTGGCTACGAGCCAGACCCGTGGAACTTTAATTAAACCTCTTGTTCATTTATCATATTTTCCAATATCCTGCTCCCCTTTTCGTCTAATCCATTCAACCAATTCATTGTCATCTCGATTTCCATTCAATTAACCTAAATCCTTATCCGAATCCGGACTGTTGAATTTTAACGGCGTTGCTAGTTACATTTTACTTTTTATTCGTTTAGCTTTTGCATATTCTTTTAAATCTGGTTTCATAGAAAGAAACGGATATACCGGAAATATAGATTGTAGATGTAGATTTACAATCTGTATGTAGATTGTTACGTACTTGAATAAGTTCAAAATTAAATTTTTTCGTTTTAGTCTTTTATTTGTATATCATTTAGGGTAGATGAGTTAATATACGAATGATATTTACAGTAGAGTTAGCATGTGAATAATGTACGTCATAAATAAAATTGTTTGTCTGACATACAACGTATATAAAATACGTCGCATGTACCAGTTTTTATCTTTTGCATTTTAGGACAGTCGTGTTTGGGACAGACGAGTTAAAAATTTACAAAGTTTAATATCACAGAAGCAGAGAAACAGTGAAACGATCAACCCGAATATTTTTTATTTCCCAACAAAGCATCTCAGGACATCCATATCAAAGTTTAAATTTTTCATATTTTTAAACCAGAGCAAGGTAAAATAAAATAAACCACAGTGTCATTTTTTTCAAATCCTCCTGCATTCTTGTTAAATAAATAAATTAAGTAAAAGGAAGTATGATTAAAAATGAAGAAACATAACTATGAAGCTTGAATTTGCAACCTTCGGTTTTGTAAGCTTAGTACGAAACCATGAATAGTCTAGTGGAGGACTGTCTTTAAATAATCGAGTATACCTTGCAAGAACTTCAAACACAAACTCCTCTCTTGTTTTGCAGAGATACTGAAGATGGTTTGGCCAAATTACTATTCCTGGAAGGTTCCATAATTATGCAAAGTTTGAACGAAATCGGAGATTCAAATCTCGAGTACTCCCTTTGTAAATACAATTTTTATCAGGTTCTGTTTACCAGTGAGAGATAATCAAAATGAACAGAAATTATTAGGGAACCTTTCACTGTAAAACGTGTAACCTCACGTATGTACATATAAAATATTGAAACACAGATATTTAGCTATTTAGAGTTGTTGTTACATGAAAGGATAAATTATATGTTGGATCAGTTTAGTCGTATACATGTATACATATGTATATGACAAACCTACACATGTACACATATGTGTATGAAAAACCTACATATGCGACTAAACTGATCCAACATATAATTCATCCTTTCAACAGCAACTCTAAACAGCTAAATATTTGTGTCCCAATATTTCAGAATCGCAAATATCTGAATCAATATGTTTACATATCTCCACACGTGAATATGTTTCATATTGACAATTTTGTCCAAAAGTGTTCCACAACCAAAGAGTCAAAGTTTACAACAATAAAAACAAAGTTTACTGTAATAATATCCAAAGAAACTTACCCCATTTTGGGTCCACCCTGCGTCAGATCGAACACCTGTCTAGGATTCAGCAGCCACTGAAACTTCTGCAACAGCTTGGCACCCTGATTTCCTCCGGATTTCGGGTTAATGAAAACCAGCACCGGCTTCACGGATGCCGTAGGTATAGGCTTGACCACCCACAATCGTCCTTGGTCCTTGTCCTGTTCCTTGTCTTTATCCTTCTCTTTCTTCTTTCTGCTCGAACCACTACTGCCACCACTACCAGACTTCTTCTTCCTCGGCGATTTCCTCAAACTGCTCTTGAAACTACCCTTTCTGGGCAACTTCACGATCCAAGATGGCGGCACGATGATCGAAGCATGCGCACCTAGTTCGCAGTTCTCGCCGATTTTCTGCACGTTGAAACACGCCTCCTTGTTGTGGTAGGCTCGTTTGCACCAGCTGCAGCTCACCGCGACGATCTCCTTCGAGGTGAAACTCAGTTTCGATTGGAACGACTTGCCGCAGTTCCCGCATTTCCCTTTCTGAGACCGACGGTGGACCCAGTGGTGTTGCGTGTTCGTTTGCTCGCGATATTGCCGGACTCCCACGTCTCTGAAGCTGGATTTGCAGGCGAAGTTCAGGCTCGTCGCGCACACGGTGTGGGCCACCACGCGACACGCCGCACACTTCATCCTGGCTCCATGTTTCTGGAAATTCAATTTCATATTTCGTTAAATGTCTCGCGGAATTAAGCCCTTGGGCGCATTTGAGCTGGCACTTGTCATGATGCTTGTTTAAGTGTCATGAGGAGTTAGCGGTAGTTTAAACTGACACGATACTTAACATGTACATCCTATGAGATACAACTATCTTTTATAATTAAAGGAACATGTCAGACCGTTCATATAATAAAGATTTCAATACAGAATTTCGAATTGAACAAGTGACTGTAGTGATTTATAAGTGTCTTGTTTCTAAGTGTCAGATGAGGAGTTAGCAGAAGTAGTTCAAACCGACAGGATGCTTAACATATACATACTATGAGGTACAGTTACTCCTTGTAGTTAAAGGAACATGTCAAACTGTTCATATAATAAAAATTTCAATACAGAATTTCGAATTGAACAAGTGACTGCAGTGATTTCTAAGTGTCTTGCATTTAAGTGTCAGATGAGGAGTTAGCAGAAGTAGTTCAAACCGACAGGATGCTTAATATATACATCCTATGAGGCGCAACTACTCCTTGTAGTTAAAGGAACATGTCAAACTGTTCATATAATAAAGATTTCAATACAGAATTTCGAATTAAACAAGTAACTGTACTAATTTATAAGTGTCTTGTTTCTAAGTGTCAGATGAAGAGTTAGCACAAGTAGTTCAAACCGACAGGATGCCTAACATATACATCCTATGAGGCGCAACTACTCCTTACAGTTTAAGGAACATGTCAAACTGTTCATACAACAAGTGTTTGCATACAGAATTTCGAACTAAAGAAGTGACTGCAATGATATCAGAGCTGGCAGACACTGTCTGCCATTTCTTAATGGATGCGTCCTCTCATATACATTGTATGGCAAAAATAATTTTGTACACAGCAGGTTTGGCTTTGCGACATGTTAATACATCATTAAACACTTAAGTTCCAACCTTGAAGTTACTTAAGCATCACAATAATAGTCTCCAAACACAAAATCTTAAAAATATAAAATAAATGGCAAAATTCGTAGTGAATGAATTTTTGCCAAAAGTATCGAAGAAAAATGGTGAAAATGAAGAACTGCAAAATGTATAGGCTCAGCCCAGTTACCCAAGATAAAAGTTATTCTGCATTCTTGCACGGTGATAGCGCAGCTGTTCGATAAATAAATAATGACAGGTGGATGTTGGCAGAGACAGGATGAACGATACAAATGCTGGTACGAACGAATAAATTTAGACGTCGTGCGTATGTTTTCCGGCATCGTTCCCGAGGCTAAATTTATCTTAACGTTAATACATAATGCATAATGCAACGCGGTGTTGTTCCTTTGTTGCTAGATATGCGATAAAGACACAGTTACCAGGGAAGTTTGCGCCATTAAAATCCAATAATCGTGTAACCGTATGTAATCGGGAACTTAAATGACCCGTAAGTTTAGAGGGTGCATTAGGAGCACGATAAACTGACAACGAAGAAAAATCACCGAGAGATTTTTCGAACGTAACGTTTTTGCCTGCTAATGAGAACCTCGCCGAGCTAATGTTCCAGTTCTTTCGCTTAAACGAACCAATGCAGCAAAGCTTCAGGAAGTTAGAAAAAGTGATTAACACGGGGAGAGCGGGCTATTTGAAGGGGAGATGCTTCTCTTTTACTTTTTACGGACTTTGCTTCATAAACTTGGAAAGATGCGCCGGGAATTTATCTTACGATGTTGTAAACACGTGGGCGGGTTATTTTTGCTATTAATTATCTGTGGTTGAATATTCTGGTTTAAACGAAAATGGTTTTGAACAATAGAACAAAAATTATATTTACATTGTTATTAATATAACACTGTAACAATATACATGACACTCTGATGTGTGTACATATGTAAAATATCTGACAATAAATGAATATGTCGATTAGTCTGCACGTTTTCACAGTGCAGCTACAATACAGATATATGTACCATATGTGAACAATGTATCATATGTAACGACATATGTACACGTATGTATAATATCTAACAACAAACGAATTTATCAGTTACTTCAAACGATTTCATACTGCAATAGGTTCCGCAGTACAGTACATGTGTGAACAATATGTGAACAGTATATCACATGTAACGACACATGTACACATATGTAAAATATCTAACAATAAATGAATGTGTCAGTCACACTAAACGATTTCACATACCTACAGTATCGACAGTATACAACATATGTGAACAATACACGACATGTAACATATGTAAAGTAACATGTGTACACATATGTAAAATATCGAACAACAAACGAATTTATCAATTACTTCAAACGATTCCACCCTCCTACAGGTTCCACAGTACAGTATACACATATGTGAACAATATATGACATATAACGACATATGTACACATATGTGAAATATCCAACAATAAACGATTATATCAATTACTCTAATTACTCTTCTCACACCCCTCCTCCAGTACAGTATACATACATTCAGTACAGTATGCTAATAATATAAGACATGTAACGACATATGTACACATATGTAAAGTACTCAACAACCGAATACGTCGATTACTCTCAACGCTCCATCCCTACAAAATGGTTAAATGCCAGACACCTAGAACCTTTACAAAATTAAAAAACAGCGAGACGATACCGCAAACAAAATAAAATAGTACAGAAAAAAGGGATAGTACAAAACACGTGTTAAATCGCGTTATCGTATCTGGACACGTTTCAAACGATTTAAAAGCTTCATCGATTTTCATTGTCTGTCCCATGATCAAAGGGGCAAACGGTCAGACGAGGTCAAACAAACTAGCATCCCCTTCTACCCTGGTAGCAATGGCTGCATAAGCTGTGCACCAGGTTGTGCTCTAGAATTGTGACGATTTCAGTGAGAAACGCGGTCGAGTAGACAGCTAGAACGGTTTCTAGAGGGTCAAGGCTGGTCGACAGACCCTCGTCGAACCTCTTCTTCGTCGTTTCTGCTCCTCTCAAAGAAAGCTTTCCCCTTACGATATTGCTCAGCCGTCGCAGTTTATATTGGCCTATATGAGTCACTTGTACGTGCCTCGATTCACTGTGCAACGATCATTTGTAACAAAAATTTTGAAAAAGATAATAGATGTGGATATATTTGTTTTGGAGAGACTGTCTTAGGGGTTTATGATACTTTTCTGGATTATTTAGTGGGGTATATTGTGTGGATTCATAAACTTTTGAATTTGCAAATTATTTAGTTTCGGAATTTTTGCTTCTTTTATGCTTATAGGATTTGGGGAGGTAGGGATTTGGAGATGTAGGGATTTGGAGACGAAGGAATTTGGGGACGTAGGAATTAGGGGATGTAAGAATTTGGGGAAGCAAGGTGTTGGAGACGTGGGAAATTGGAGACGCAGGGTTTTGGGGACGTGGGAATTTGGAGATGTGGCAATTTGGGAACGTGGGAATTTGGAGACGTAGGGTTTTGGAGACGTAGGGTTTTGGGGACGTGGGAATTTGGGGATGTAAGAATTTGGGGAAGCAAGGTTTTTGAGACGTGGGAATTTGGAGATGTGGAAATTTGGAGACGTGGGTATTTGGGGACATGGGAATTTGAGGACGTGGGAATTTGGGGACGTGGGAATTTGGGGACGTAGTGTTTTGGGGACGTGAGGATTTGGGAACGTGGGAATTTGGGGATGTAGGAATTTGGGGACGTGGGAATTTGGAGACACAGGGTTTTGGGAACGTGGGAATTTGGGGATGTAGGAATTTGGGGAGTTTGAAATTTGGGGATGTAGGGATACGAGAACGTTGGGATTTGGGGATGTAGATAGTAAGACATGTAGCAATTCATAGATATAGGGATTTGGGGATGAAAGAATTTGGAGATGTAGGTATTAGGTGATATACCGATTCGGAGATATATGGATTTGGAAATGTGGGGATTTGGGGATGTAGGAACTCGGGTAGGTAGAGATTTGGGGATGTAGGGATTTGGAGATGTATTAAGGCATATAGCGATTCAGGGATATAGGGATTTTCTACAACCGAATTTCTCATAATTATTTGACTCATCAAATCATATTTATATTTGAATTATGGTGACGCACTCATGACGCACATTACAGTTCACATACGCTAAAATTATATTTGCAGATTGAGTCTGGAGTTTAACACCAATTAGCATAATCAAGGATCTCTAAACCTAAAATATACCTAACATTTCATCTTCCTTATTGCAGTAATTAATTCTACTTGACACAGCCGTCGTCAAGAGTTGTTAAAGCAGTTCCCAAAATATGGAGTCAAACTTTAGAAATATTTCAACAAACTTTAAAAGTATTGTGTGATAGAAGATTTATAAATCCATAGATCTAAAGTTGAAGTGACTGCACGTTGCGTGCAAGTCAGTAAACGGGTTTGAAGCGATAGGGCAATTTCGACACGATAAATAAATCTCACGGGCTGTTAACGATGCGACCAGACGTTTTTTTGTCTGCTCGTCGAGAGCAATTCCATGTACCATAACGAAGATTGATTCCATCGGTAACTCGGGACTTTGATAAATCGGTAGCCGTTCATCCGTTGAGTTTTCCATTTAAGTTTTCCGCTGGTCGCGTAGCTCACTCTTTTCTCACCTCGTTCTGACGGTCTGTAGACCGTCTGGTTTTTGCTCGTAGAGGCTTGATCCTACGCTGCGAACGCTATTAAGATGATTGATCGACGACAAGTAACGTCTCGCATTTTCGACCGTCGCGATAGGTAAATTTGCGAAGTAATTCTCATTTAGCTGCGTGTTTTGACTGGCGACTAGAGAGTCGCGGAAAGAGTTGCTTGAAAAGTATAATAAGAGTGAACCTCTTTTGGTTAAAAGAGATGTGATGGGTTTTAGGTTTTGGAATAGTGAGGATTTGATCTGAATGCAAGTTTCTCCCTAAATATCAAATTCACAAAATTTCAAATTTATCAAATTCCAAGTTCACCAAATTCCAAATTTACCAAATTCCAAATTCACCAAATTCCAAATTTACCAAAT